TGTTGGGATCGCTTGCCCGCCTTATCAACATGGCACCAGAGGGACGACACTACGCCAATAAGTTGGTCTTGGATCGCAATACAAACGGCACCATCTATATATGGCGTGGCTGAGTTGTGTCGAGTACAACTCAAACGTGGCAACATCATCACACATGTGTCCTATCAGTCCAACCAATACAAGGATCTCCTTAATGGCACAAACACTCGCAACGTCACATACAAAGAGACTATGAACGTCAGACATCCAAATGTATTTGACAAGTACAGAACAACACATGGCATGACCGCAAACACCGTCAATTCCCACCATGCTCACACATGCGACATTGGCGACGAGGAGGAGGTGGGCGAGGACGAGGACGATGACACGTATGCATATGGACAAGTTGCACAAGAGGGACCGAGTGATGACGAGGATGGACACGAGGTAAATGAGGACAACGTGGAGATGGATGATGATCAATCAAATGTGCAGGACGAGTGCAACATCGATTCCGGTGGTGGTATGAACAATAGTGACGGCGAGCAAACACATACTGGTACCAATGAATCGCATGTTGTTACGATGGAAGATGTATCACCGATGGAGAACGTGGCACCGGTGCAGGAAGACACACTGATGAATACTCAATATTACAAAGATGGCGAGAAAGTCTATGCGATGTCAGTTGAGGTGGACGCTGGAACATGGTGGCCTGCCACAGTCAAGTCCTCCACATACGATCAGGACAACGAGACAATGACGTATAATGTGCAATTTGAACAAGGAAAGGAATATCAGTTAACTACACAAGAGAACGTGTGCAGTGCCAATGCCTTCACTCAACAGAATGAAAGTACGATCAAAGAAGTCGATGTACTTGTCTTCAATTACAATGGAAAGTCTGGGCGATTCTACAGAGGAAAGGTTGTCGAGCTCAAGACTCATCGACGCAAGAAGACCTTTCAACTTGAAATGCCACCCATCGGCAGAGATGGAGTACTTGAGAGATTGCACAATGAGTACAACAACATCCAAGAGAGGATATATGGTCTGGGACGTTCTGGCATCACGATCTCCAGCGAAGACAAGGCCAAGTATAACACTTCCCTCAATGAGTTGGAAGCTCAAGTCGTCAAGTACAAGACACCATCGTACAGAAACGGTAAAGAGGATACGTATTGGTGGCATTGGTGCGATGACAAGTCAAACATATTTGTAATCCAATAAATGTGATGGGTAACGTAGTTTTTGTAATCAATTCACCAATCGTTTCCACTTTGATTGTATGATTGATTGATTGATTGATTGATTGAGGAAGCAGTCACCGTCTCCATCCAAAGCCATCACTCTGTCATGTTCACCATCACTGTCAACGATCGTGCCTATCTTTTGCATCTGGATTCTCTGTTGTTTGGTCGCACAAAGACTACGCAAACAACTTCTATGATGATTACAAGAATGTTGACAAGAAGAAGAAGTATGAAGCCATCCCCATCAAGACCCTACAGAATAAGGTGCAGACATGTAATTGGCGATGTGGACTCTATGTGTACAAGTTCGTAAGGTCCTTCCTCAGCATGATCGCATCAACAGATAGCATTGGTGAGGATCATTTGAGCCAATACCTCCAATCGATGACAAAGCTGAAGTGCAGAGATGCTGAAGACTTTGACAATGTGGAACAAATCATTCAAATGTACACCAGAAGCTATCGATCAACCAAGTAGATACGTTGAATGTATATTCATTAAATTTCACCTGTAACATATTCGTCTGTGTTTATCTGTATGAACGCATGATTATCTGTATGAATGATTATCTGTAAAGAATGTGTTACTGACCCACCCACACACCTCTTCACCCACAGAGAGTCCGATCTGTGAAGGTGGGGGCAATACTCCTCATCGTCAAAATCTTGATTATTAGGTCATTTATCTGTTAGACCAAATATTCGACTTCTATTACCATATTGGGAACATCATGCCATGCTATCACCAACTACTTTACCTTACAAGGGTATCTTCATAGCTCTAATTTTAATACCCGTCAAGATACGTCAACCTAATGACGATCCTCTCGTAGTCAACTATGAGGAGCATTGGGTGGAGGTGTTCAACTGTCTGGTGGAGTGTGTATGGCAAAGTACAAAGACGTTTGCTTTAGGGTGAACATATGTTGACGCCGGCGCGGCCCACGCCGTTCCGCCACGACGAGTTCGCCGTTCGTTACGACCGCACCCAGCTCAAGATCAGCTACGTCGAATTCAGTCTGTCCAAGCGCTACCGATTATGATCGCGATCAATACATACTCGCGCGCACGCGTGTGTTTACTCTTGCAGCACCTTTTTTATGCCCTCGCTCATAGCCTTGAGGAACTCGTTGGAGGACTGCGACACGCGCGCTGGTGCACAGCCGCAGAGATGCTCGAATTCGTCAATCGTACAGATGGTCGTTCCAGAGGACACAATCTAGCTTGGAGATGATCTGCATCATGTCATAGTCAGGTGGGAGGTGTCCGATTGGAATGATGCCGCCACGCAGTGATATGTTCTCCAGCAACAATATATGACCGTTTCCAAGATGGCGAGAGCTCAACTCGAGCAGACAAGTGTCTTCATCATTCTCGGCCATCACAAGGTGGAGTGCTGGCACACTGGTAAAGAGAGACAATGGGAGGCGGAGAGGATGTATCTTGCTGTGTATCGGTCGGTCCACTCTAATATTTGGTACGCCATGCGGCAACAGTGGCGATGCTGTGGGCTCGGGCAGGTTGTACACATCATGTGCATGGGCGCCTTTGTAGTAAAAGATATCTCTGGCGGCGTAGTGGAACGTCACCAGGCCTGGTGGCAGAGCAGATACATCGACAAGCGTGGTGCCCAGTGTAAGATGCGTGACACTCGCCGGAATCACCGTGCCGTTGATGGCGCTGAGGTGAAGACGCGTGGCCGTCGGTGGCAGGTCGAACGAGCACGGTCGCTCGTAACCAAAGTGTGTGAAGTCGGTGAGACTGGCCGGAAGTATGAGACGCTCGTTGTCGGCGAGCCCGCCAAAGTCTTGAATGCTGAGTCTGGTCACGCTGGGAGGGATCACACCAGCGTTGTCGCGCAGTCCTATTCGGCCGAGCTGGAGATCGACCACCGACGACGGGATGCTGCCGCAGTCCAGTCTGCCATCCACTCGGCCCACCGAGAGCTTGGTAACCGATGGCGGGATGTTGCCGGGGACAAGGCGGTGTGTCTTTCCAATGTTGAGCTCCGTGAGCGATGGGAAGAGCGCAGGTTCGTAGACTGAGGGGGGCTCGAAGATGGGAGGGAACCCCTCGTGTGGCGTGTCTGGATAGCCGTCCGGATATTGTGTTACCATCCACTCGTCAATTGTGAGTGACTCGAGACGAGGATACATGTTGTATTGGCTGAGCGACGCTTGCTCCAAGTTGGCCCTCTTGATGCCGGACGGCAAATAACGAACGTTGGCGTGAATGCTCTCGAGAGGCAGTTGAAGGAGTATGTCCTGGTCTTCAATATTCACATAGCCTTTGATGGTCAGAGTGCGAATCGTGCTGGGCAGCGCGCGCAGCGGAATTGTCACCCGGCTAGTGCGGTCAGAGTTGTTATTGCTAATGGTGAGTGAGACCAACGATGATGGGAGTGACGCCAACACCAGGGGAGTGTCGGGAAGTTGTGTTGTGTATTGCCTGGACCAGTCGCTTTCTCTGAACAACGACATCTCCGTCACAGAGTCTGGGAGGCGGGCGACCAGTGGGGTGTCGCGCAGTGAGATCGACTGCAGTCCGGTGGGGAACTGCTCGATGACACCTGCACAGACACATGTGATTGCGGTCACGGTGTCTGGGATGATGCCCTGTGCAATCGTTGGCTTGTTGTGGCACAGCCACAGAGTCTTGGCCCATCTTGGGATCGAGTGTGGCGTGGGCTGGCAGCTGTCATTGTCGAGACAGGCGACGAGCCCCGCGTTGGGCGAGGCGGGTGCGGGCAGCTCGGTCACGATGTATTCTCGATAGAAGTCACTGTGCGTGAGGTCGCAAGAAGCTTTGAACGATCGGAGTGAGAGGCGGCATTCGTCAGAATCGTGTTCGGGGAATGTGTGGCCCCAGTGCCTGATCTTGGATGCCAATGTGAAGAGGCGCTTGGACACCAACACGAGACACACGCCATCCACCAGGTTGTCGAGCAGCTCGATGATCATCAGCAACACTCTGTCATCAAGACTCTCCATCCTCGCAAAGTCTGTAACAAGTTTTGAAAATTAACTCTTAAGTCAACTTTTTTATGGAGTTGCTCAATGACCCGATCTTTCCTCCAACTCAAACTTGATGATGTATTTTAGTTCCCCATCAAGTACTGGCAATAAGGAACCTACAATAATCAATCCAAGACCATGGAAACATTGGAAATCAATCAATCAATAAATCCCTCACAACCTTTATTCAAACCGATTAACTCTTAATTGTTACTCAAGTTATGATTCGTAATGTAATTGAGATGGTGGATACAGGTCAATTACAAGTTGAGGTTTACTATTCATAGGTTCTGGTTGAGTATGGCTGATCCATTGATAGAATAGGTCGACCTTTCGGACCTTTGTATATAATAATAATAGTAATAATAGTAGTGAAGGATAGAATAATTAGAAAAGACAGATTGACGGTTCAACTACAGAAGAAGTTTGAAGAGCTGGAGAAAGAGAAGGAAAGGATGATGAAGGAGTTGGAAGAGATGAAGAAGAAGGATAAAGAGAGAGAAGAATTTTGAGGAACTGAAGAAGATGGTGAAGGAGACACTCAAACGCAAGGAGAGAGAAGAAGAATCAACATCAGATGAAGAGGAGGAAGAATCAACATCAGATGAGGAAGAGAAAGAAGCATCAACATCAGATGAGGAAAAGAAGAAAGAGGAATCAACAGATAAGAAAGATCAAGGATCAAACGAGAACAAAGGCACAAAGCCGAAGAAGGAAGAAAAGAAGTCCAAGAAGAAAGATGATCAAGCCAAGGGCAAGGACGAGTTCGACATTGACAGCGAGTACTTCAGAAGGAGAGTCACGGACTTAGACAAGATGAAGAAGGTGGAGGATTATATCCAGCAATTGGGGTCAGCCTTCAACAACTACAATGCACCAGATACAGGAAGAGCAGGAATAATCATCATGTTGAGGTGCATGCCGGAGAGGGAACTGGAAGCCTTCACCATCTACTACCAGGATAGAGAGAAGGAGAAGAAGAATCACACTTGGAGACAAGCAGGTGATTGAGTCGTATTGGCCGAAACAAGTGGTGCAATCCAGCATCGAACGCAAAGAAGAGTTGGCCAAGAAGCTCAGGAAGTCGAAAATCACACTAGCCGAGGCCGCAAGTGGAACAAGACTGAGAGATTACTACGACTACTACAATACGGACAACATGAATCCCCAGTTGGAGTCGTTCTGGAGCAACCTTAATTCAAAGGAACAGAAGCGGAAGATCAGACAGTGGACGACCAAGTTGGCAATTGGACTGAAGGAATTCATGGAAGACCGGGCAAAAGGGGCGATACCACTGGACAAGAAGGGAGAATCCAAACTGGAATGGCATGAGTTGGAGGCCAAGATCAAGGTCAAGGCAACCGAGTTGATGGAGAACAACAAGAACGAGGCAGCCAAGGGCGAGGAGACTAGACCGGACCCAAGCACTTTATCCAAGAAGGATCTACGTCACGTGATTGATGCCAAGAACAACAGGAACAAGAAGCACAAGACCAAGGACAGTCACATCAAGAAGAACATATACCTTGGTCCAGGAGATCGTGACATACCTAAGGAGGAGTTAAACAGTGCGAGCACATGCATACCTACTATGCTGTACGACGACCTGACTGTTATTTCCTTTCCTCCCTAGAAGATTGCCAATCCCTAATGTACGTGTCGGTGTTATTGATGTTGTCGACGTTGATGTTGAAGATGATGAAACTGGTGAAGTTGATGATGTTGACGACGATGATGATGATGATGATGTAGATGATGTTGATGATGTTGATGTTAATATTGATGTTGATGGAGGTGATGTTCTTTGACGTTTGAGAGAAGTGAGGATATCAACTGTTGACAAATCAATGTTGCCAAAACCATTACTGCCTCTGTTGCCACCGCCCCAGCTGCTGCTGCCAATGCTATTACTGTTGCTGTTGCTGCTGGATATTTGAAAATAAATATACCCCCTCTCTGTGTGGTTGTCCACCTATTCTGAACCAATCCTACATGGGATACTTTGGCGTGATCGTCTGCTAAGTGCATATATCTCATCGAGCTTGGTATGAGCGCAGATTGTCAAGCCCAAGTTGATGTTCATCGCTCGTTTGTAACCAAATGGACCCTGGAGAGATACCCTTTATTCACTGACAGTAGCAACCTGACCAATGTGGACAAAGATGCACAGTTCGAGCCAAGAACAATTGATCACATTTGGGAGACGACCAAGCTGCTTGGATTGACAGAGTTGATGAGCACAAAGCAACACAAAGCCCGTGCCAACAAGTTCGAGGCCTTCATGTATCCACCAATCTTCAGAGATGCCTTTGAGATGAGCGAGATGAGCCAATATGTTCCTGATTTGATGTGAGGGAACAAACCAAATTCAATTTATTCCCGCACATTCACAAAGCACAGAGTAATGAAGGAATAGTTGAGACAGATTGGCAAGGAGCCTGAGTACACACCTGGATATCCCGGAGGCCAAAGATTGGCCCAGAGTGTACGTCGATGCAACACTTTCATATCTGTGGCAGTAATGTCAGGAATGGTTGTTGTTATCTAGCCGCCAGTCGACCCTGGTAGCCTCATCGTGGGGCAGCTGGACCAAGCACTCAAGATATGTCTGGAAATATTTGTTTCTCTTATCGCTCGCGCCAACCAACTCGATGACAATGTTTGTGTGCGCCTAGTGCTGCACGTATGGAAGTGAAGTTGACTAATATGTCTTCCACCTTATATTGTTGGTATCCCTTGATTTGTAGAGAGCGCGCACATTCTCGACTCGTTCGTAGGACATGCCGCCCTCGAAGCCATAGGTCTCCATTTGTTGAAAGTCGTCGCCGTACTGGCAGGTGTACTCAAAGCTGTCACTGCTGATGAAACCAGCCATGAATCTGTCAAGTGCATCGTCCATGTCCAAGTCTTTCTGCGAGATACACGAGCACACCGTGTTGGGTCGTGTCACTTGTAGTTGGTAGCAGAACACCACCGTACCATAGTGCTCCACTTGCGACAGGGAGGCGGTCTGATTGATCAACTTAAAGTGCTTGAGTGCTCCCGGTGTCACTGTGTCCCGCATTGAGTGGATAATATTGCCGGGCCTTTGCCACTCAAAGATAATGATGGGATAGCTCGCACAGGATTGCACGCAGCCACCTGTGGCAGGTACCTGTTGGTGCTGCTGATTGATCTTGACCGCCTTTTTGAACTCATCATACGATAAGCATTCAGTGTCGAGCTGGAAGCCATCCTCGAGCACCTTGAGCACCTTCTCGACGATCGAGGGACTGGAGTTGTAGGGCACGTCCAATTTGATCGTCCAGTGTCTCGAGATGGCCCTCGGCCAGATAGGCCTGCCACGCACACATGGCCGGTACCAGTTCCTCTTCTACCAAGCCGCCGCACAGATCGATGGTCAGGTGTTGCAGCGAGGCCACACCGCTGAGCAGAGTCGGGAGCATCCGGATGGTTACATAGGAGGACGTGTGGTAGAATTGGTAGAAGCGGAGGTGTAGTGATGTCAGGGGGTAGGCCAGCGGTGCCTGCAGCACATGATCGCGAATGGAACGCACGCTATAGTAGATGTTGCGATCGCTGCGAGATGAGAGTATCAGCGACCTGAGTGTGGCTGGTGCAAACACAATGTCTGACTCGTTCGTCTCGAGCTGGAGGTGTTGCAGTTGGGGCAGCTTGGAGGCGATCACCTCTACCTGTGCTCGATCACGTATGAATCCAACGGTCAACGACTGAAGTGAGGCTCCATTGCTGATGAGATAGTCGATGAATGCGGGCTTGTAGTCGTTGTCTTGAGTGCTGTTGCTTAGCCACAGCTCCAACACACGGAGTCGAGTGTTCTGCTTGAGCGCCTCAAAGAACGTGGCTGGACTCGCCATGCGATAGCAGACCTCCTCGTAGTATTGCCTATTGCTTCCAAGCACGAGCGTCTCCAGGCCCTTGAGCAGAGCACCATCGCACGCAAGACTGGGCCACGATGCACCCCTGACAATGAGATGATTGAGCTGGGGAAGAAGTTGATGCGCAATCGGACTGGCGTCACTCTCTGTCTTTGCTAGACACAGAGTCAGTGACTGTAGCCTGCTGAGTGGTCGAGGCATTGCGCCAAGAAATCTTAGGACATCGTCTGCTGGCCAGTTGAGGATGTTGCAGCGTATCGATGTCAGAGCAGTGTTGTGATCGTTGTCAAAGTGTTCTCTGACGATGTGCGTCGGTGTGCTCTTCTCGAAGACCAACTCCTCGACGTGGCCAAAGATGAGATTACTGTGCGTTGAGAGCACGTCCAAGTTGGTCTTGTTGACGTACTCCTCGTCGTAGGCTTCGTGGATAGTCACGCGCCGAACTGTCTTTAGCAGGCAGTAGGGTGAGTTGATGTGCGACACGATGTCAGTGGCACTGGTGGTGTTGACAGGCTCATTGAATGGGTTGTTTATCTCCTTAAAGTCGAAGTGCAGATTGATCGAGTTGGTGTATCGACTCGAGATGATCGAGAAGAACTGTCGACAGACCAACGCCAACTCGAGCTTTGATCGTATCGATTGCGTTGGATCACTCCATACATATCCTATGATGCGGCCAATCACGTGAGCATGTCCAGTGAGTTGTCGTGAGTGTTCTTGTAGTTGATTATTATTCATCCTCAAATTATTATTATTATTATCTTTATGTTTGATTCTCTTTGAAATTTGATATCCTGTCAAAGCACCGGATCGGGGGTAGCCAGCTCGCTCGATTGGGTAAGACATCCTTAGACACCATACGGTATTATTCATCCTCAAGTCAATTATGTCTCCAAAGATATTATTATTTCGTTCACTATTATTTCTTACACTACTGGTTCTTTCTTCGATCAATGCTGCTCCAATTGATTGCGCCTCGACAACTGCAAACCCAGTCAGTTGTCTCAGTCCTACAGGAGCGAACGTTGCTTGGTGGGTTGTGCTAACAGATGGCCAAGGCACTTCCGAAGGTACCTACACTAGCGGCATCTACCTTGACAGCACAATGATAACCAAGTTGTGAAGAATACATTCGTAAGTTAGTTGCCCCTGCATAATATTTCAATTGAGATGGAGATTAATTATATGTTGTCCATCCAGGCTTTCATGATGAGGACGGTGGTGTGAAGAAAACATTCTTCAAGGATCTGATTGATAGACACATCAACAAAGCTTTTGATGCCAATCGGGCCTTCTACGATAATATCAATTATCGCAGCAATGAGGCTACACTCAAACAAAAGTTGAAAGATTGTAATGTAGTCAACCAGAACTGGTTCCATGAGACTGGTAATGGTCAATCAAACAAGCCCGCTAGTGCTGTCAATCCTAACCTTGGTGATTACAAGGAGGCCCACTTCAACTTCTTTTCTCCCTCTTGCTCTGGTCAAATCCTATTGGACAAAGAGATGGTCTTTCTGACCTCTCTATTTGGCGCCCTCAAACCCTCAATATATGAAAATCCAATGCGACCATATCCTCTCGACCTCTATTATCTCAAATCGCTAAAGTCAACGAACGTCCAGAATATACTATTGATCGAGGGGTGATGGTGTACCTTTAACGTAGCGGTAAGGAGAATGATCGCTCCAAGCGGCTCTTACGATAGCCCAGAACCTCTCTCTCCAACTGAACAGAGACTCCATGATGCCCGTGCGACCATATCCCATGTATCCAACTTGACAGACTGCCACCTTGATGTTATGTTGCCCAGAACCTTTGTCTCCAATCGACCATTTCCCAGACCTCTGGCCTCGATCTAGACAGCAGTGCAGCCGCGCTGCTACAGACGTCCGCCACGCTGCCCTGAGTGACAACAGCCCAGAATCTATGTCTCCAACCAGACCACCATCTTGCAATAACTCAGTACTGATTTGATGCAAGGATGAATAATAATATTATTACTATTATATTATTTTATTAAATCAACTAATAAGTGCAGTTCAAAATCAAGTTCTGCTGCTGCAGCTTTGAAAGGTTTGGATTGGTATTTGGTGTGCTCGTGGTTGTTGTAGTGGAAGTGTTGATGTTACTGGTGTTGATGCTGCTATTGGTTGGGGAAGTTGGAAAAGGTTTATCCAATGCTGAGGGGCTGATGCTGTTGATGCTGCCCACTGACGTTCCCTGTTGATGGAGCATCTCGGTCGGAACCTTTAGATTCGATCCATGGGCAAAGAAGTTGGGTGATGGTGTGGAGAACTTTGGTGACGATTGTCCCGTTGATAGACTGGAGAAAGGATTTGGAAGTGTCTTTGAATCGCCATTGATGCTGATGAGTGGAGAGGTGCCAGTGGAGAGATGGTTTATACCCTTGTTTGGCGGGTGACCAACAGAGGACGTAGCTCCTCTCCAATTAAATGGAACCGAGGGAATCGGTGCAGGTGAGTGAACCTTTTCGTTGTTGCATGCACTACCAAAGGAAAGTGGAACGATGGGGCTGGTGGACTGTGAGCGTGGAGAATGGTGATGCTGGTCAATGTCAACCTGTGAATGATGCATTGGTGATGATAGGTGATGGTGATGTGGTACATGATTATTTGTTGTCGTGTTGTTGTTGAGCGAAAGGTTATTGCTAAAGTTTGACAATGAGAAGTAAGCACCTGATGATGCAGACAGCATTGGACTGCTACCGGATATAATGGATGGGCTAGTGGTCTGTGAGCTATTGGTGCGTGGAGTTCGACACTTTGGTGAGGGAGTCTCTGCATATATCATAGGTGAGTACTTGAGAACCAACAGGTCATCGCCCTCCAGACTGACTGGATGTGTATAAATCTCTGCATCTCCAACCTTGCGCTTTCTGTGATCCAGCTCCTCATCAGCCATCGTGCCCCGAGTTGTTCTTTGTACTGTCTTGGGATGGTTTCTATAGAGAGGGTCCTCACGCGGGCTCTTGAGTGGGCGAGGACTCTGCTCTGGTGTATAGCTGTAGCTATCGTCATCGTCAAGGATAGAATCACGCTCTGGTGGGAAGCTCCATGGGTTGAGTGGTTGAATCAAACGCCAATGACCATTACAGCCCATGGCATCCCAACCAGACTCAAAGTGGCGACAGTGGCTGAGCGAATCCTGCACCTGTTTCCTCCATCGATCCGATTTGGCAGTGTTGATCGAGAGAAGATCCCAGTGGTTATCGACATATGTATAGATGTCTTTCTTGAGATTAAAGTACTTCTTTTCTGGATGCAACAGGCTGAGACAGTAGAGCGCCACCCGCAGTTTAAGCGTCCATGTGGCACGACGCTTCTGAAGACAACAGGGCGTGCCATTGACGCACAACATACAACCATCGTACTCATAGTGTGGAGTCTTTGGTGTTGGTGGGGAGGATGATGAAGGAGGTTTGTTGGTGATGTTGGTGAGATTCACTGTTGGAATCACTACAGTTGGATGCAGTTTCTCTTTCATCATCTTTGTACTATGTACTATCTATCCTGGAATCGCCAAGCTATTCCTCAAACTAATAAACTGAATGTTAAATGATGAATAATGTGAATATAAATATATATATTTATAACTTAAGTTGTTATAGTTGATAATGTTGCTGCTGCTGATGTTGTTGATACTAATGTTTGTTGTTGCTGCTGCTGCTGCTGCTGCTGCTGATGTTGTTGTTGTTGTTGTTGTTGTAGTTGATATTGAGGGAGATGGAATAAGGGAGTGGGAGAGATGGTGGAAGGGGAGTGGAAGGGGTGGAGGATAGAGAAAGACGGATAGAGTACATCGTAGCAAGGGGTTGGAGAGGAGGGAAGCGTTGCTCAATGATATACATAAACACACTCACACCTATCTCTTTTTTTCTCTCTTCTCACAGTTATATAGCGTTGTCAACAACACTACCCCCATCTCCAATCAATATTTGTTAATTGCTTTGATCATTATGTTCATTCAAATACTTTATACTCATGAGTGCGCTAAGTGGACATTCTAGGGGATCGACTTTGATTACTCTCGGTAACGTGATCGGTCATGTCATTGTTATTAAATTGAAGGTTAGGACTAATGAGAACATGGATTGACCTTATAGTTAAGAGGTTGTTGTCCAAAGGGCAGACGTCACCGTAGCAAGTACCTCCGCGAAAAAGGTTATTGTAAACTTTATGATTCATAGGAACAGATGTCAGACAAGAACAAACTTGTATGTGTGTGTTTGTCCAAAACTTCATTATTCGAATGGTATCCTTGGTCTTGCACCTTCCTTGGAATACTCCTTTATTATAAAGGTGATCAGGAAAAAAAGGACAAAATCATAAAAAACCACCATCAGGATCTAGTTGGCCTATTATCAAAAGCCATCATGGCTTAAATCTGTGTGCGATCTATTAAGCAAAGACGAGAGCAACTTGCCATTGTTGGGCGACCTAAATCACGTGCATTGTGAACATTTGTGCCTCAAGTCCAAAGCTTAACATCAAAGCTACTTCTGCTGTTGATTTGATTGGTAGTTTATTTCCCACTCCCTTACTACTTCTCTATTATCTATCTAATTATAATCTTGAACAGATACAAATACATATATATATATATATATATTGACTGGACTAGTTCATTGTCTTTGATCACAAATCAAACAACAGGCTCTCACCCAGCCACACCATTTATTATACTGCAGGGCATGACATCAATTGCTAATAAGAGTCATCCTCGCCCATATTGTTGAAATACTATCGTCAAAAGACTGCTTTATCACTGTTGTAAATAGCTCCACACTGCAACAACATACATCCATCCATCCTATCTACCTACTACCCTACTTCTATTTATTATTATTATAGCTTAACCTATTTATTTATTCACCAATCCTTTACCTCCAAACCCTATTGTGTTTGTTGTTTTTATTTATAACATGTCCAACTACCAGTCACCAACCTCCTCCTCATCATCATCCACCTCCACTTCAACCTCCAACACCACCTCCTCCTCCTCCTCCTTGGCAATGGCCAACTCTTTTTTGAACCCAAATGAGCAAATGAATTCCATGTTCATTGTGCCACATCAGCCTTCGCCCATGTACCTACACAGCTCTGCCAATGGTAGTACCCACAGTCTCAAGCGAAAGCATCCCTACATAGAGGACATACTCTCATATGGACATGGCCAGCATCATCCACCCGGCTCATACCTAATGAATGATGACAACGCCAGTCACTTCTACCCGCCAAAGTCATATCCAATCAACATGACCAATCAGCAACACCATTACCATCATCATCATCACCACCATGGATCATCCTACTCTAATGCACAACTACCACCACCATCAACCGCCTCATCATCATCATCATCATCATCATCTTCTTCAATGCATAGTAGCAGTCCGGACTCTCCACCAACATTCTGCTCCCCTAATGGATCGTCATCGTCGCCACCACTGTACCCTATCACTTCTCCACGCAGCCTTGAGGTATACTCTATAACTCAGAGCCCTAGAACGACTTTGGGTAAACCACAGATACTACCAGCATTGACTTCATCAATGATCAACTCAAAGCATACCGGCGGTGGTGGAAGCTATGCACCACATTGTACAGATATCAGCTCGTCGTCATCGCCTCCTCACCTGAGCGACATGACGTCACATTCGCAGGATCGCGTTTCCATCCCCCTGCTCAACCTCAAGAAGTGTATTCCTATCCCAGAACCCACGCTTGTGCCGTCAGTGTCACCGCATACTCCCAGTGCTGGCAACACATACTTTTCCTCCCCGTCCAGCCTCCCATCAACACCGTGCACTCATCGGGATGGCGCTTCCAGCTACTCACTTCCAAACTCTGCTCGAGGTGCTGATTCACAGCGCTGCCCATCGTCTCCGACCTCCTCCTCTACGTCCACAAGTACTACACCTGGATCGACACCCCGACTCACTCACTCTTCCTCTAGTGAGAGCATAGTGGACGAGGAGTATCTCAAGCGTGCCGAGGTTCAATGGAAGAAGCTAGAGTACTACACCAACGAGTTCAATCACTTCATATTTGACACTTTCAAGTCACGTGACTTTGGTAATGGCATCGCATCTCTCAAGTCCAAGCTTGAGGATCTCACCAACACTGTAAAGGAGATTGAAATTGCCAACAATGTCTATAAGCTGTAAGTAACAGATTTGTTGTGTTGAACAATCAATGATAGATTACTAATATATATCTATTATAGTATTCCACCTCAGACAAGGTCAAGGAAGAAGAGGTCAACCAAGGCCGAGAAGTATCACAAGGAACTTCTTGGTATCAAGAGAACCTATGTGTCCACACCCAAGAGCAAGGGACTGTACTGTGCCTTCTGTGGCACCTTGGAGACACCAGAGTGGAGGAAGGGTCCAGGCGGACATAAGACGTATGTATATTGTAATACCATAATTATACCCAATCGATCACTAATGCCATGGCTCTACTACTTAGGCTTTGTAACGCATGTGGTATTCACTACAGCAAAAACATCAAGAAGGAGTTGAAGCTAAGCAATGGCGGTGCCTCTGCCAACAACCCTTCTCCTGCCAACGCCAATGAACCAACGACACAACTTCAAGGTCTTCAATCGATGACAGTATCATCACTGATCGATGATGAGCGCTGAAACGAAACAGCTGTTTCGTGATGTCTTTAACATACACATACCCAAGTAAATGAATGGTCAAGATGTGATCTTTCATTTATATCCATATGTTGGTTAGGTTCTAAACATAGATTGGGACTTAGTGGATAGGTGTCAATAACCAATGGGGTAGGCTTGTACGCAATTTGCTCATATTTGGAGGGAACGCCTTGGGGACAACCTGTCCTCAATGGCTAATTTATAATAAATCCTTTCTAGTTAGGATTCCTACGATTTGGTTGAATACATTGACAACGACGACGTGACGTAGTCCTACTAAACGGAACAGTTGGTAGGCCTCAGACAAGGAGCTGTAGTTCTTGATGCTGACAACTGCAAAGTTCATGTAGGGACGCAGATCGATAAGCTTGTCCATATCCTGTGTCGGTACAGTGTGTGCTACCTCGCTCACTGTCGGGAACTTGCTACTGGCGAGCTCTGTGACGAATGTGCGGTGGTCTATGGGCAGAGGATATTGACCATCACGTGAGCAAAGATTGATGCTGTCGAGATGGTTCGGGTCTGAAAAGACCTTGTTCTTGATGAGTACCAGAAGTTGGTTGCGCAGTATCAATCCACACAGGATCTTGTCGTCCTTTTCATCACGTTTGAACAACACTTCACTCAGACGGTTTGGCTGTTGAAGTCTATGTGTTCCGAATTGATCGCTACTATCGGAATTAATAGATGAGTTTAGCAATCCATTGCCAACGTTGATATTGATATTGCTACTGCTGCTGCCATTGTTGTTGTTGTTGTTGTTGTTGTCATCCTCTTCAGACTCTTGATGTAGATTCGGTACGAGCACTACTGGGAAGCCATTGTGAGTGGTGTTGCTAAGGACCTCCAGAATAGTCTTGACTGAGACCACTTCGGGAAGGGTGACCACCTCCTTTGCCATGACATCAGAGACGGTCAAGTTCTTCATGTGACGCGATGGTTTGCTTGGCAAATAGGGTATGTGCTTGAGCTCAATCAGATGTTCGTAGATAGATTCGTTGAAAGCGTCACCAGTCCATTTCGAAATCATAACGACAAGGATCACTGGTAGTAAATATTGTGTGCCCTCGGTGAGCTCCACAATGATGACGACCAAAGAGATCGTCATCCTAAGACTGCCACCCATCATTGCTGCCGATCCAATCAGTGCATAGAGGGATGCATCCACGTTCATAATGAGGTCAAGAGTCTTACCAAATAGTCTTCCCCAAGCACCTCCAATCACCATCATTGGTATGAATATGCCCTGTACGAAGGTTAGTTATATGTCTGTGAATGGTGATGATGTGATGTAACTAACTAACTTACAGAGGCAACGTATGTACCAGAGGTTATTGTACAGAGAATGAAGTAGATGATTGCAAAGAATAGGAGAATGTAGGAGTTGAAGATGTTGACATCACGATTGTACAGAAGCTTGAGTGCATTCTCCGATGTGGTAAAGGTAAGACTGGCCAACTCATTGTAGTAGTTCTCTGGACAGAAGAACTGAACGCTGGTCATCACCTGTTGAACATCGCATACATCAGTGGAGGCTTGCATCACTTGATTGACACTGGTGCACGGAACGACAAGTGCTGGAAAGTAAAATATGCATGATGTGAGGATGACCACCAGAATCACCTCAACCAGGCGATAGACTGGTCGAGTGCCCAAGTATACCTTGCGATAATAGTTGATGCGCACGTTGAGATGTACAAACAGTGCACCGAGCAGACCGCCAATGACACCCATGATGCAAAAGGGTACGAGCTCGTAGTAGGTGTAGAGGAAGTTCTTGGAGAAGCCAAAAGTGAGCACTCCATAGTCGTGAATACGCACGCCAAAGCCCTGCAGGAAGAAGTTGGCCGTTAGGGTTGCGATGAGGCACGAGAAGAATGTTCTCCATGTGAGTTGTCGAGACCAGAAAGATGAGCCCTCCTCTAGAGCAAAGAGTACACCACCGATTGGGGCACCAAACGCTGCGGCGATACCGGCAGCAGCACCACAACTGATAAAATCGCGCTTGTCCGAGTCGTTCTGGAAGACCCAGAAACCTCTCTTAAAATGGATGCCCAGTGTCTTGGACTTGAACTGTGAGATGGATGAGCCAATGCATGAGCCAATGTGGAACATGGGTCCTTCAGGACCAACCACCATACTGGAGAATGCAAAGATGAGAGAGGTAAGCTTGCCAAAGAAGGTCTTGAGGTTGAAGGCTTTCCTGATTCTGATACCATTGAGATAGCCCTTGACCTCTGGTAGGCCAGAGCTGCTTGCCAAGGGACCGGCTATTATCACCAAGACACAACTGATAATCGAGTACAATAGGTTGAATGATAGATATATAAAGAATGGTATAGATTTGCTTTTATCCATGACTATGTATTGTTGTTGTTGTTGTTGTTGTTGTTGTTGTTGTTGTTGTTGTTGTTGTTGTTGTTGTTTGGTAGGGAACCAATAATATTGTTGGTTAGTTGAATGTTGTCAAAAAAAAGTGTATTGCAATAGTAAATGTAAAGTGGACTTACACTTCTCTACAGAGTGAAACTTTAGCTCCTGTAACTGATCAACAGATCCTTTGAGACAGTAAACAACTATACCAACGATGATACCAATAAGGGAGCATATTACCCATTTTCCCAATGACTTGAACACCTTATTACGCTTGTTCTGATCGTCATGGTTAAACTTTCGCAGCAGTATATTATCGATCTCTGTAAAGTCCAAGCTCTCTATTGCCTGCATTGCATCTTTCTCTTTTTCGGAGACCTTGTGTGAATGTCTTCTGTGAGTAAGACTCTCTGAGGCCGTCTGTGCCCCGTCCTCATCTTTATTGACGTTTAGCAACAGATAATCCTTTGAGTTCTTCATCTGTATGTGTTTGTATATATGTATGGATGTATTATTGGATTTAGGTGTCTGAACACTAATCGTAATTATCTTCAGAGGCTTCTGCCCGCTCTGCAAAGCTTTGTTTTGATCAAAAAAACTAGTTTGAAGTTTTTAGGTACCCCAACGCACCCAAAGAACCAGGTTCAGTTGACAACTGATTTTTGCGTATGTAACAGCCGGGTGTTCCAAATAAATAATACAAAGTAATATTTAATCACTGTGATCATATTCTAAAGTCAAGACCAAAGATGCAAGCCTTTGCTGTCTTGTCCCAACTAGCAGTGGCAATGATCGACTCATATGTCTTTAGCGTCGATATTCTGTTGGTGTGATTGTGGATGGTTCGGTGCGACTTTCCAGTGTCAACGTCCCACAACTTTACAGTGCCGTCGAATGAACCAGACACTACAAGGTTGTTGATGAAGTTCTCTACTCCCATCACCTCGTCATTGTGACCGGTAAGCGTGGCACTCTCCACACCATTGTTTGAGTCCCAGACCTGAATCGTAGAGTCTGCCGAGGCCGTGACAAACTTGTTGACGTCACCCTTCTTGTGGTGCAGTAGTGAGTTGATGCTTCCGCTGTGTCCTTGAAGTGTCCTCAGACACTCACCACTCTCGAGCGACCACACCTTGACCTTGCCATCGCAGCAGCCACTAAGAAGCACGTCGGCATTGTCGTACTGCAGACACTTGACCCAGTCAGTGTGTCCCGAGAGGATCTTAAATGTGGTCATTGTGCGCAGGTCCCACACTCTGATGTTTGTATCTCTGCTGCCAGAGATGATCCTGTATCCATCACTCAGTACACTCATGATAGGCTGTTGATGTCCAAGTAGTGTTCCAGCTGGCTTTGTTGATCTATCATCCCAAATGAACAAGGTATTGTCATAGGATCCAGATATTGTTTGATGATTGTCAATGTTCTTGAGACAGCTAACAGATCTGTGTTGGTTATGTATCATAAGGTGGTCTAGTTGTTAACAACCAAGACATAATATCACTTGGATCGCTCAATCATAATACATACCCTTTATGACCTCTGAATGACTTGACCTTGGTGCACTTGTTCAGATCCCAGAGCTTCAATGTCTTGTCATAGGATGCACTGAATATCTTGGAGTCAGATACAAGTTCCACGCAGTTCACCCAACCTCCATGGTCCTCCAGTATGCCAAGACAGTTTGTTGAGGTGACATCCCACACGCGTAGTGTGGAGTCGGCACTGCCAGTGACCAATACGTTATTCTCTCTGTGTCCCTGTGCTGTCAATGCCAAACAGAGAACACCTTCAGTGTGTCCATTGAATGTCTTGACCACATAGTCTCCTCTGTTCTCTGAGATGTCTCGATAGTCGATCTTGGCGCTGGTCTTGGATCGCTTCTCGGCCCATGCACTCTTCAGGTTCATGATTCGACTCAAACTGCGGAGGGCAACAATGTTGTTGGATTTCTCATCGATCAGATGAGTGAGAAGCTCGCGACCCTCGTTGGCCTTTGTAGAGTTCCTGCCACCGATCGAGATGTATGTGTCCTTTGTAAATTGGTGGAGATCCTTGTCGACGTGCTTGTTGCCGTCCATCGTCACACTGGTACTGTCGTTCTCCAAGTTGTCCATGTCGTACATCTCACGTGCTCTGGTGATGTTGGAGACGACCTGCATCATGATCTCTGTTCGATCATTGTCAAAGTTGATGGTGGAGCACATCTTGTTGACGAATCGTCTCATCAGGTCTGGTTGGGTGCCCAAATGAATCATGTAGTAGGCCAGCTTGGAGAGCAGAGAGAACTCCATCTCACGCTCGTCGTTCTTGATCTTGTCCTGTTTGTCGCCTGCATAGCTGTGCCACTTGAGCATCTCTCGAATGATGTTTCCATAGAGCATACGACAACGTTGCTCGATCGAATCGTAGAAGAACTGCTCCCAGAACTTATAGTTCTGCCAGATGTCTTGATTCCTCAGTCGCTCACTGACATGCTCGTTGGACACCTTTTGGATGCGATGATAAATGAACGATGCCTCGAGGAACATTCGTGTAGAGGCAAAGTCCGAGTGGAGGTTGGCTTCACGCAATGCTGCCTTGAGCATGTCACCCAAACAATAGAACATTGCATCGCTGAGTCGAGCCTTGCTGGGGACATTCTCATCGGCATTGTTGCGCTGGTGCTTGAGCAGTAGGTATCCAAATAGTTGACGACCAGACTCAAACTTAAGCAGCTCAAGCAACTGCTGAGTGTCAGATGACTCTGGTGGCACATCACCAGAGATCTTTGAGAGGAATTGTTGAATAATGGTATCGAATGACTTGTGTTGCTCCTCGACAATGGCCAGTGGAAGTAGTGTGTCATCGCTTGGATTGGCAGGACCGCTCTCTGCCATTGCTATCGACGTGCTGTAGATGTCCATTGATACTAGTGATGCAGTCGAGACAACATGATCCTGACCACCCGATGAAGAGCTCGTGGTCACCATCAGATCAGCCTTCAATGGAGGGAATCGACTATACTCTCGTATGGTGGTGGGTGCTGTGCGCAATGATGAGGGGGCAGGGGCATTGACCACAGAATACTTGGCAGGTTCTTGAACGCCCAGTGCCTGTGGGATGGCTGTGTTGTTGAGAACACACAACTCCTCAACAGGCCTCTTGAATCGTTGTGTCTCGATCAGGTAGTCAAAGACGTTCTTCTTTGGCCAAGAATGTTGATCCAGGAAGTAGCTAAACGATTGTGTCTCCACAAATGACGTGTAGAATAGTTCACTGGCTGAGGTGGCACGTGTCCTAACGAACTGTAGTTTGTTGAACAAGGTGATGGGCTTTGGGAATACGCGCAGATATTTGAGATGCGAGCGATAGTCCACCATGATTGAACAGAAGAACTGTAGGAAGGATAGTCGTATGTGCTCGTCTACTATAGTGGATGCGGGAGGGGTTGGCGCAGGGTTGTAATGATGTCGATGATGTTGATTGTGATGGTTGTTTGTGAATCGACGGTTGTTGTTGCTGCTGCTGCTTCCTCCTCCACCAAGGTCAGTGTTGATTGAGGACTGAATCGGTGACATTGAATTGAGGTCATAGTTTGGCATGTCTGAACATTGCAATTCGAATTGGGTCACCTTTCGCAGTTGATAGGTGAGCTGAGCGGTCTCTCGCTCTGGTAGACTGGCCTGATGTAGTCTGTCCTGACCCTGAGGTATGAGTACCATGTTGTTGTCCAAGTCAGCAATGACAATCTCGCTTAGAAGGTTCTCCTCGTTCAATATATAGTTGCTCATTGACTTGTGGACGCCCATGATAAATGGGAATGGGGAATAGACGTACTCCAATAATAGTTCTGGAAGAACTGGAACATATACATGGGGCTAGGAGTGATGCTTGTAAGTGAGAGTACAATGAGAGTGAGAGAGTGAGAGAGAGGATTGAAGTAACTTACCCAAACGAATGGATGGAGAAGTGCTGAGAATATCTCTGCTACATATGTCAACAGAGAGTAGTGTGTCGATATGAATACAATCTTCTCTTCAAGTAGTATGCACTTGAGAAGCATCAGTACATTCTTGATGTCAAGACATTTGAATAGAAGGGAGAATGGTAGCTAAATAAGGTTGGAGGTATATAGAGTGAGTGAGTGCTACCATAAACAAGAATAGAACCCAAAAACGTACGTCGGACATTGGTAAAAGACACTCGGGCGGTCTTTTCAAGCTTATTACTGTCTTGTTGATAGTGTAGTTGACAGTGCTGACGCCTTGCACGGGCAATGGAACGTCGTGAACCATGTTGAGGATGTATCGTTCAATGGGCAGTGGCGCCGACATGAAAAACACCTTTTGATAGAGGTCATTCAGACAGACTCTGAAGAAGCTGTAGAATGGATAGTGTGACAGGAAGCATATGCACTTTGGGGTGTACATCTGCTGTTGTGATGGCACCAGTCCTGTGGGTACAGCACTTGATGATTGAGGACTGGTTGTGTTGTTGCTCGATAGTTGTACTGGGGATGTTGGTGTGGACAATGGTTGTTGTCCTGCACTGGGCAATGGGGTGGACGCGCGTTTGGACCTGTCATTGCTGCCCGCCGTTGCTTCATCATCCTCATTGTCTGATGAATTGTCTGGAGTGGACTGTTGTTGTGCACTCTGATAGGCATGTCTTCTCTTCTTCACTTCTGTTGACAGCTCCTCAGACAATGGTTCATAGAACATCAAGCACGAGCCGTAGAATCTTGTACCAACTTCGTTGGTGAGGACGAATGGGAAGAATGATGGAGGAAGCTCCTCAGTAGATAATGATACACCCTTGGGGAAGCAATACTGTATAGGATGATGTTAAGGGAATGTCGTTAGTTTGGACATATTCGTTCTTTTTGTCACTGACCAAACATACCATCCATATATGTGAGGGAAGTATCTCCTCATCCTTGGGAGGATATGTGTCGAGCAGCTCACCCTTGTAGCATATCTCCATGGGGTCTGTAAGCTTTGAGGACATATCATATCTTTGATCGATTGGCTCCAACTTGGATGAGCAGCCAACCACAAAGAAGTAATCGATCGGTCGTGTTGGTCGCATGCGCTTCTCTCTCTCCTTTCGCATCTTTGCCTCTTTGGCCTTCCTCCTCTCTTCCTGGCGCTCCTTCTCCAGCTGTTTCTGTAGCTCCTCATCTTCTCGCTGTCTAAGCTTCTCGCGTGCCCTCTCCTTCTCTTTGTCGATTGCCTCCTTTTCCAGCTCTTTGACACGCTCCTTTGCCACTTGCTCCTCAATGATTGCCATTCGCTCGTCGTTCTTTCTTTGCTCACCAGCATGTGAGCTGGAGTTGCCTCCCTTGTCAATCTTTGATGTGATGCGCTTGGTCAGTTTCTTGATGTGGCTGCCACCCTTGCCAATCAAAGACATCTCTTTGGGGTCCTTGATGGAACCGTCATGGTTGTGTCGACTGTGGTGATGATGGTAGCGTGATGGAGGCACCAATTGTGTCGGGTGGTCATCAACCGATGTGGAGCTGTTAGTGTCTGTATCATTGAGCAATGAGATATCACGGATCTTGACCACCATGCGCACTTTGAGTTCTGGCGGTGCAGCAGGTGATGGCCCAATGCGACGCTCCAAGGGCAACCAATGATTGATATTGATGCTCTCCACAATGGGTGTACTTGACTCTGATACTGTATCTGACGACACTGTCATAAATGTAGTAGAGCTGCTTGAGGTGAAGGAACTGGTTGATGATGATATCTCTGTTGTATCAGCTGACTGTTGTTGCTTGTTTATATCTGTAGTGGTGGTGGATGCACCATTCTTGCCATGTAGTGAATACTTGACAGTGCCAACCTTAATGTTATTGCCTAGTAGATTCTGGCTGTAAAGGGTGAACTGTATCTCATCCACTTTACTGGGCGTTGATCTTATCAAATGCATTGGAAATGGTTAGAAACAACAACAACCACAACAACAACAATAAAATAGCCATCATCCAGTCATACTTACAATGTATACTTTTCATTCCAAAGTGGACTGCTGGTTCTCTTTTGAGTCCTGGTTTTGAACTTCTTCCTGTCCACCTTGAACTTGACAAACAAGTCCTTCTCATTGATGTTCCTGGCCTGTATCTCTTCGATGTATACGGTGGTGATGCGTGATGAGAATGATCCAGAGGTGGATGGTGTGATTGATGAGAGAGGTGATGATGACGAGGCTGTAGTTGAGGCTGGTGGTGAAGATGATGATGATGATGATGATAGTGTTGGTGTAGCTGCTGAGGAGTGTTCAACAACAACATCTGGCTTATTCTTTACAATAGTCGTAGTGTCTGGTGGTGATGTTTGCAAGCCACCAGTAGTTGGTAGTGAACCATTAGCAACAACAGGGATCACCTGAACTGAAGGTGATGTAGACATTGCGATGTGTTTGGGTCTACCTGTTTATATATATATGTATTCAAATAAGATAATGACTTTGAATTGTTGATTTGATTGAAAATAAAAATCTGAGTTTCCTTTTGGTTGAAAGAACTGTTTGCCCAACGAAGTTTGGGGTGAGCCATTCTGAACCATGCAAGGGGTTGCTGAGATAATAACTTGTTTATAAATAGTTAACAATTAATTAATGTTGTCCTCCTTGGAGAGGTAGGTGTAGCCACTTGGATTGAAAAGTGATCTAACTCTCAGCGATAGGGCCTCAGAGTAGTTCTTGGGCAGTGCAAGGTAGATGATAAATGTAAAGTAGAGGAAGAATGAGATACACAGAGTAAGGATCATCCACCAGGCAGTGGACACGGCCATTGCCGCTGTGATGATCAGGTAGATGTTGATACCAATGATCATCAATGACAGGAACTGAACACAGATATTGTTCAACCAATGGTTCTTAAATTGACCCATTACCTCCTCACCTACAAATTATGGTGATGTGTATGTATGATGATGATGATGAAGAGGATGTCAGTTAGATGTTCATAGGTTATAATGACTTGAAGACATTTTGATCAACATACGTGAAGTGAAGAACAACACTGGAAGAATGGCGAATGGCAATTGAACACTCTGAAGTACATTGAGCCACTCATCCAAACTGTCGAGATGGGACTGCGACAGAATGGCCACTGCAATAGCGGGAACGATGGCAGTGCATCTTGTAATCATCAAACGCTTCCATGGCTTGATGCGAAGGTTGAGGAATCCCTCCATTACGAACTGACCAGCATAGGTACCTGTCATCGTTGAGCATTGGCCTGCAGCCAATAGTCCGACAGCCCAGATGTACTTGGCTGCCTGACCGTACTTTTCGGCGAGGTAGGTGGCAGCGGTCGCCAGACCAATGTCGGTGACACCTTGGAAACCAACGGCAAACACCGAGACGACCAAAAGGTTGATAATGAATGAGATGAACAGGGCAATGCCGGACTCGATGGCAAAGTACTTGTTGGCAATCTTGACTTGTCTGCTATCCTTACGGTCAATGTCACGTGACAAGACCAAGGCAGAGTGTAGGTAGATGTTGTGCGGCATGATTACCGCCCCAAGTATACCCACTGCCATTGTGACATTCTTCTTTGAACAGAGAGGGAATACTACACCTTCAAACACTTGCAGTTGGTCGGGCTTGCTGATGATGTACTCCACAATGAAGGTGATGGCCATGATCGAGATGAGACTGCAAAAGAATGCCTCCAGCTTACGAATGCCGTAGTTCTCCAACATGAGGAAGGTGAACGTATCGGCAGCGGTAATGAGCACTCCAGCCCAAAGTGGGATGTGACCATTGCTTAGGATGTTGATGGCGATGGCAGTGCCAATCACCTCTTGAATGTCAGAGCCAATGATTGCGAGCTCAGTCATGATCCAGAGAAGGATACGTGCGGTTTTGGGATAGTAGTCACGACAATGCTCGGCCAAGTGACGACCTGTAGCCGTTCCAAGTTTGGCAGCCAACAACTGGAGCCACAGACCAATGACTGTGGACCACCAGACGACCCACAACAACTGGTAACCTCCAGCAGCACCAGCTTGTATATCAGACTCCAAGTTACCAGGGTCAAGATAGGCAATGCTCATCAGGAAACCAGGTCCAGTGAATGCCCACAATGTTCGAAAGTGTATCAATTTCTGTTTGTTTAAGTAATGGGGGGAAAGTGACGAGAGAGACGAAAGACGAGTGAGTGAGTGAGTGAAGGTAACGAGAGGATAGAAGAGGACCACTATCATCAACTATAAGAACATAACACATACGCCCTCAGCATCGAGAATGCCATTTGAGCAGTCAACCTTGCCATGACTGGTCTTTTCATATTCGTCAAGCTCCTCTACCATAGGGCCACCATAATCATCGCCAGGTGTGGAAACACTGGTTGCATAAGATGATTTGTTATCTTCGTTGACCATTGATGATGTATATATATTTATATATATATATATATATATATTAGTTGTTGAGGTGTGGAAGAAAAATATTATGAAAAATCAAGAGTTTGAGCTGTCAACCAGTCTTTAGTAGTACTTTGTTGAGACGATATGGGGGGTGTTTGACCCAAATCATTGATACCACCACCCTTTTGATATTTATATTTGTCATTGGTTTATTTATATATTCTTCACCCAACTCCTCCTAAGGTCATTAATATCTCGACGGACGGCCATTTGGGAACACTTCCCTGCCAAGATCAAAAAGTCGTCTCTGTTTGACTAATCAAAGGGGGCAAACCATGTGATCATGTACGAAATTTGTGTGGAGAACGAAAAGACACACAGTACTTTGATCGTTCTTCGTGGTCCAAAATCCGATGCGAAGAACTTGAAGAATGATTACCCCCTCTGGTTTCAAAGTTCTTCAACCTTCTTTTGATGTGGCGTCACAGCTAGAGAAGACAGATACAATTAGAGAAGATCGGTACCATGTTGTATTAACATCTTTTGGCACACGTGTCCAATGTGGAGCCATTGATGATAGTATAGGATTGTCAATGCCAAACAATTCGGAAAGAAGAAGTGTTGACCATTGTGATGTTAATGTCGGAGGAGGGTAAACCAGACCAATCTAAAACAAAGTTGTGTTCATAGTAATTAATGTGACTAACTTTATGTATTGTGTTTCCTTCACTCTTATCATTGAGGTATTTTTACTTATCACTTCAAATGAAGTCTATTGACTTTTGATCAATCACATGTGATGTGGTGCATTAAAGTTGAAATGTTGGGGTTTTGGTTCGATGAATCCTATTCCAACAACATTTTTTTTGGTAACAATAAATAATCAAAACAGATACTAATAATAATAGCACTCTGGATTAAGGTGCACTGAATGAATTATTATATATAACATGGTACCATCAGTGAATTAATAACTAATGTAGATGTAAATACTTGTACTATCTTTATATATAAATATATATTTAAATTATGGGATCAAAGATCAGTTGCATAAGATCACACTACGACGACGATTATATATCCAAGATTGTAGTGTCACACCCAATAAGAACTGATGTATGGGATGTTCAACCACTGGAAGAAGAGGCCGAGAACCAATCAAACATAATTACACCACCCGAAGTGTCATGTTCTACTAGACATACAACAACTTCACCCAATGATCTACTAAAGTTAATCAATTCAGTCTCGTTCGAATTGGACTCTATCGAGCTGAATGACGATGACTCTATATCATTTATGTCATTGGAGCTCCTACAACACATTGCATCGTACCTACGAGTGGAGGACATCATCACAGTTCAATCAGTCAGTCGATTCTGGTACATGGTCGGTGGAGACAATCAACTCTGGAAGATGATATTCAAGAGAGACATGAGACACTGGAAGAATGATAAACAGCCAAAGGAGTTGGTGTCCAGATATGATAGGATCATGGATGTCAAATGGAAGAAGATCTACTGTGACATCTATCGTCAGCGTGTGTGCACCAGGTGCAATGTCACCTATCAACAATACAGTAACACTCGAGCATTGTGCACGATGCACACTGACATCAGAGAGATCGTCGAGACAAACAGAGGTGTACCTTCAGGTGTCTACTGGAACTGTTGTTTGGCCAAGCCAAAGGATGCTCCAGGTTGTTCACAATCAGCTCACCAAGACGAACCAACTAATCATAAATACTATTATTAAACTTGTATGTATTATTATTTATTATTATTGAAACATATTCATTCTTTGTTCATTCAAATTATTTGAATTTAAATTTGAATTTGTAACGGTGGGGTTGTTGTTCCCCAACAGCTGATTGATCATCAGGTATGTGTGTTAATAGCTCATTATGTATATTTATGTAATAACACAGATACAACAAGAAATAGATAAGTTATAATGCAAAAGTTTGGAGTTCAAACTGAGAAGGGAAAGGTGATCTACTGTTGGAAGAATGCTGATAAGTATCAGGTGGAGGGTGTCAGAATAGTTGTCCATGGAACAAAGTATAAGAACTTGGATCAAGTTTGTATCATCATGAATCACATCATCATCACTCGTGAACAATGAGTATGGACAATTTTGCTAATACCATAACCCATCATATATATAGCTCAAGGTTGAACTAAACAAAAAGGTCGGATTGTACACTGGTGCAGTGCAGAGGATCTACTCGGCACCTGACAAGAAGCAGATAAAGACATTGGAGGACTTTGAGGATCAACAGAACTATGTATGCTGTGGTGCCGAGAAGTTGAGTGAAGATGTCTGTATGTTGCCCGTGTTTTTAAGTACTCAAGAGTTCCAACAACTAATGTCAGGTACTCGTTCAATGAACTATAATAGATGCAAAGGGACTAGTCGGTATATTTGGTGTTGGATCTTCAAAGCCAGCAACAGCAACAGCAACAACCTCGACTACAACTACAACCACCGCAGTACCCTCTGTCGATAGCACTGCACAGCCAGAGAAAACACCTGTCATTACAGAGAGCATCAAGGCTGATGAAACAACAACTACCAGCACAACTAGTACTGGCGAGACAGACGCATCAAAAACATCAATGTCTAGACGAACACCAAGCCCAAACTCAAAGAAGCCTGTTGTGTCCAGTTACACGGACGGCGTGCCACAGCCCTTTAAGATCGGTACAGAAAAGGCCAAGGTGATACGAGCCTTTAGGAACTCTGACAAGGTCCATGGTGGTGAGCGCATCACCATCCACGCCACCAAGTTCAAGACCTACGACCAGCTGAAGGAGCACCTATCCAGCAAGGTCTGTCTTGTGACTGGTCCAGTCAGGAAGGTCTTCTCATTCGATGGCAAGCAAGTCAAGACAATGGATGACTTTATGGATGGACAGAACTACATATGTTGTGGAGGTGAACCTGTAAATCTAGAGATAAGTATGTTATTCTATGTTGTAGATACCAACCCTTACAGGTCATAATGATTGACTGACACTGATCATTTAGAATATAACGTGTAGATAGATATAAGAGTGACATGGACTCCAAGCAGCGTTGCACAAGACAGGTATGGCCTGTTATTATTATTGTGTTGTAGAATAAAGAGATAAAGTATAAGTACATTTATATTTGTAGCGTTAGCTAGCTAGTGTCGTTTATTAAGTACACACAATCAAAGGGCATTCATTACAATGGAGTCCAGTGAGAGAGAGAGAGAGAGAGAGAGATGGTATTGTTTTTGTTGTTTAGAGACACTAAACTAACTATTGATTAGTCATAGCCAACTGGCGCCAGATCAGACAAGACCTCTTCCAGAACAACCTTGATCTCTGATGGTGACTCATCAGACAGTGCGCACTTGACAAAGGTACACTTGACCTTCATCTGAACCATTTCGAGAGCTCCTCTCATGACGCCACACAAGATGTTTGAGTAGTAAAGCTTGTGCTTGAGATGCTCAGGGAGCTCGACAAAGTCCACCAAGGGATTGTCATCGATGATCAGATGGAACTCCTTCTTCTCGGCGTCCCAGTCACTGATCTGAGCACTGACGCCCAAGAACATCTTGAAACCAACCTTTGCAATCACCTCTGCCGTCTCGATAAAGTCTGCACAACGTCCAATGCTCGACTTTGCCAAGAACTCCTCGATCAATCTAACGCCTATATTATATCCCCTGTATTGATTGTATATGATTAATATCTACATAGATTGAGTACTATTGTAGTATGATCATCATCTCATATGAATGATCAGAATAACATGTTGAATCGACATACATTTGCTCAAGCTTGGTATTGACTTGGTCAATATCTTCATAGTCCTTGATCAGTTGTGTAACCAATGCGCCATATGTAAGAGTGAACAACTCTGCACTCTATAGATGGTGACAGTAGGTATGTTAGCAACGCTTGATTGACTTGTGTGTGTAATCGACCATTATTAACATGTAAACTACCAACATACAATCTTGTCTACCTTGCTGAAGGCAGCATCACCAAGCTTGTCGTATTTCTTGTTCATCTTTATCTATATATATCTATGAATCTAGTACTATCAATATGATTGTGTGTCTTCAATCAAAAAGGGTGAGAATCAGATAAAACCTAAGTAGTGAGCTAGTGGTTCAATGACGCCAACACCATAATACTAAAGCAATCTCCACTTCTAGTGTTACTGTGAACTTATGATAACCCAGAACTCTTGTTGTTGTTGTCTTGGACCTGGTGTTATGGTCTACCAAAGTCCTCATTTCGTGATCTCTCTCTTGAGCATAACTCTTTCCTTTCAAATACTACAGACTTGATTCTTTGAATGAACAAAGTTGACCTCGAGGAAAGTTTGATTGGTTCGTGTTGAGTTCTGTTTGTCACACCCCACGAACGCTCAATGAGAGAGCGAGAGGTAGGGAGAGATAACCTGTCAGTGTAGGTGGTAGTGGTGTGTGGTTAGTGATTGGTGGTAGTGGTATGATCAACTGTTGCATCCAACTTCCTGTTATAACATTACCATTTTAATTATTATATATACACCTTAAAGTGAGATAGATAGATAGAGTGACAGAGAGAGATAGATAGAACCTGTCTGGACAATCACATGTTGTCTGTCAGTGCACCCCCACTACCACTACCTCAACAACAGCAACAGCAACAGCAACAACACCTACAATCGATCGACATGTCGCCAGAGACATCCATTGGTGTGGTTGCCCTAGCAATCAATAATAAATGTGACGATCCACAACCACCGCAAGGAGTGGACGACGCAATAGACAACGACTACGACAACACAAACAGCAACAACATCAACAACAACATCAACAACACCATTTATTCATTATCACCATCAATGTCAACATCAACAATAGCTAGTTCGACTTCGATAGAGAATATAGTCGAGTGTTCGGACATTAGCAGCAATAGTGGCCGCGGCAGTATCGGCAGCAATAGGAGTAGAAGTCGTAGCAGTAGTGGCAGTAGTAGTGCCGCCACTCTGGACAATACTGCGGCCGCCATTCCTGACGCAGCGATGGCCGAGCAGCAACAACAGAAGGATGTGAATGCCTTGGTGGCGTTGGCCATTAAGCGTTCTGTGAAACGTGCCGCCAATGGTGGCGGATCATTCCTCAACTCGACTGGCAATTTTGTCAACAGCTGCCTATCATTCCTACTGCGCACCTATACCATCAGACGGTGGATTGAGAAGTTGTTGGAGTTGGAGTTGCCAGATGGCACGCAGCTGTTTGGAAGCCTGGGCGATGGTGTCATCCTGTGTCGCCTGATGCTGTCTGTAAAGGCCAACTCTATTCCAAAGATTCACACTGGCACATCACTGAACTTTAAGATTCGCGAGAACTTCCTCTTCTTTACACAGGCAATGGAGGACATTGGAGTGTCCCGTTTCTACCAATTCACAGTGTCCGATCTGCATGAGAGGAAGAACTATATCAAGGTGCTAGAGTCACTCGAGGTGTTTGCCGATATGGCCAGCAATGAATTGCTGACCAAACAACCAGAGAAGACCATTGACCCGCTCACCGATGAGCAGGCCGCCACCATCCAATTCACAGAGCAAGATATTGCCAGCGCAGAGGCACACCTGAAGCGTTTGAATGTCAACCGTCTTGCTCGACAGCCTTGTCGCAAGTCAACAGCAACAAAGGACCAACCAAAACGCCAATCCAAGTTGGTTCCACTCGTTCATCAGTCACTGCCAAACCTGTCATCAACATTGGTGAGCTCTACCTCATCATCATCATCTCCAAGTGGATCACCTTATAAGTCGATACTCAAGAACAAGTCTGCATCCCAACTATTGACACCAGGACAGATACGTAAGTCATACAAAGTCCATCCTCCAATAGACAGAAATTCTAACATTTATATATTCCCAGTTCTCAAGGCTAGACCATATGAGAAGAAATGGATCAAGGTACAGGCACTGGTACGAGGACATTTGGCGAGGAGGGACTTCCACAAACGAGTTCGCAACTCTGCATACAGACATAATATAGCGGATGAGCTGTTGGCCACCGAGGAGATGTACATCAAACATTTGGACCGTCTCATCGTTCACTACTTTGAGCCGATTCAAGAGCAGGCCACACGTATCGGCATCAAGGCAACAATGCTAGAGGAGTTCAAGAAGATATTCTCCAACATTGAAGTGATCAGGAACTACAACAGTTCCCTCTTGGCAGACCTCAAGCCAGTCATAGAGAACTGGTCCAACTCCAAAACAATTGGAAAGATATTCATTCAGTTCGTAAGTACTTAATATGATCGTGGTGGATGTTGTAATTATGTAATAGAATACTAACATTATAATGGGATTGGATCACTAGATATTCCTTCTAAAGGTGTATACACAGTACGTCAAGGAGTTCACTCAAACCTTTGAGACAATCAAGAATATGCGCAAGAACAATCCCAAGTTTGATCAATGCATTACCGAGCTTGAGGACATGGACTACAAACACATCAATGATTATCTCATTCTTCCAGTCCAAAGGATACCCAGATATACATTATTGTTGGCCGTAAGTGGAATGTTGATCGATTACCTTTATTCCCAACTAACATATAATCTATTATTAGGATCTTGTCAAGAACACATGGCCAGACCATCCTGACTATCAAGATCTCACTGAATCACTAAAGAGAATGCAGGATGTTGCAATGTCCATCAATGAGAAGAAGAGAGAGGCTGAGAATATCCAAAAGGTCTCAGAGATACAGAGTAACTTTGTTGGAAAGTTCGAGAACCTGGCAGAGCCACATCGAAGGTTCGTCCATGAGGGTCCTTTGTGTGTAGTGGCCGCCAGCGGCAAGGAGTCACAACGAATATTCTATCTGTTCAATGATGTATTGGTCGGAGCAAAGTCTACCACCAGTGGTTTGCTGCGCAAGGATGGAAGGAAGGTAAAGGAGTCCATCAGAATGAATCTGGTCACTGTCAAGTTAATGGTCAAGGAGGTGCCTATTTGTCCAGCCAAGCCACCACCTCCAAAGGTTTCACCAAGATCACACCTTAACCAACTACCAGCACCCATCTCTCCTCATCAATCATCACCTTCTACAACCACCGCGGTGGGTGGTACCTCAGCATTGTCTTCAGCACCAGTGTCCCTAGAGAACCCACACATCAAGGTGTTTACCAAACCTCTGCCACCATCCAAGATGCGCACTGTGACAAATCAATCAAATGGTCAACAGACATTGACCCGACAGTCAGCTCCACCCTCCACACCCTCTTCCTCATCCAAGCCACCTCTTGTCACACAATCAAGTCGAAGCAGGACATCAACAAACTCTCCCACTGGTATACCACCATTACCAAAGCAGAGGTCACAAACTTTAGTCTCGCCACCCCCATCACAAATCAACAAACCAACGGCACAGTCATTGACACCACCTCGCCCATCACACTCGGCTCTTACACTGTCTGCGAATCGTTCCCCCATGACATCACCATCTAGTCCATCACAGGTCAGTCCCATCATGTCACCAAGTGGCCAATCTGCTCAGTCCCTACAGCTCTCTCCATTGAACGACAATACTACCACCAAGCAACCAGACCTGATCATCGAGCTGGTTGATTCTTTTGGTGCCTGTATCCTCAGGCTACTCTGTCCAAACTTGAAAGACAAGGAAGCATGGCTAGTGGAGTTCAAGAAGGTTCAAGAAGACTTGGATAACAAGAAGTTGGTCAACGAAGAGGCAATGAAGAGATCACAGGAAAAGGCAGGGTTTGCAAAGGCTGCCCTCAGTCAACAGTACGCCACCCTTCGATTCCGTGGCAAACACCTGGCGCTTACAGACATACAAAAGTCAATGGAGGATGCGGACAACAAGTCTGTTGAACAAGTGGACCAGCAGCAGACAACAACTGCGGCTCCTCTCCCCATCGGCTTTGCCAGTCCCAAGGTAGAGCGTGACTTTATGACCCTCAGGAAGCAGACGATTGGTAGACGATCACAACAGACAACAAAGATCACAGGATCATTGTTTGAACCGCTGGATAGCAATCCTACTCCACCACCATCATCATCATCCTCACAGTCCACCCCGCCATCCACCAAATCCTCAGCCACTTCATTGGAAGTAATCAACTCGAGAAGCAACAACAACAACAAAGAGTTACTGTTACCATCGACAACAACACTTGACACTGCATCCGCAGCGGATGAGTTGGTGGCATCCAACACAATGGGCAATAACAAGAAGTCTGGAACAGTTTCATCATGGTTTGCAACACTTCGATTCAAAAAGAAGAAGCCTGCATCTCAATTTGATAGCAGCGGCACTGTTGGCAACAGCACTCAGATTACTGATCACCACTCACCATAGGATTGTTGTGTGGACATGATCATGTATCGAGTGTCTCTTTAAAATATACATATATTTATTTACTCTACTCATTCTACAAAATCCTTGAGTGTGTCGCCACAGATTGAACGCACAAACTCGTTCCGATTGTTTGTACCGACGAGGTCGTCATATATTAGATCGGGTATACCTTATCCTCGATCGTCCACAACTGGATATAAATGGGTTTCCGGTCGGAATGGATTTGAAATTTGATTGATGATTATCCACAATCACAAAGGAACCTGCGCAAGGTATACTAATTAGGTAAATTGCCTAATTGAGCTCATCATCCTGTCTTGATGTACAGTGCACTGAATGTCATTGGACAGCTCCCAAACAAAAAGGATGATGAACAAATGACAAAGGTGCAACAATTTCCTTTTTAGGCGTCGATCGATTCCTCCCCAACGAGAAAACATCGAACTGGCCCAACCCCCAACCCATTTAAGGAAAACCACCACGTCTCATTTTGGACCGGACAAAGGGGTAGGTTGATTAGTTCAGGAGGTGATGCCCCCTTTGCAGCTTCTGGACCAGTGGATGATGTGCAAAGTTGATGCACATTGCATCTGCTGAATGAGGGTGTGCGTTTCAGTGCACTGATTCACCTAAGATGATAGGCCTATAGTGTGTGATCACCATAATAGTCAGGTATTAGAATTTTAAACAATTAGCAACCTATATAGGTGGGAAGGCACTCGCTCACCTAATCATATTATTAATCATCAACATCACCAACATCATCAACATCATCATCATCACATATATTAACAACAACCAGAACAACAAGTTCCATTAAACTTTTCCAATCATTATCATTATTCTTTAAGTCAATCTTTATTCATTTATACTAATACAGATATTAGAATTATTTATTTATTAACATTTAAATATCAATAACCCTTTAATTAATGTATGTACTCCTATCAGTATTAGTTTGATCAATCAACCACCAACATATCAATCAAAGTCACAATATTATTATTAAGTTAAATAATAATATCAATTCAATCACAAGCATTATAATATCTAAATATTGTCTTATAATCATAATATTATTACTACTACAATTTTAACTTTAACACCAATCAATTACAATAAGAAACGATAGTGTCTCTTCAACCTGTTCTCTCTCTCTTTCACTTTATAATCACCAAAGTGATGACCTAAACCACCACACTCCATATCAAGTCATTCATCTCCACATCATCTTCCATTGACAGAGAGAGAGTAAACCATATAAGTGTATGAGTTTGTTTGTGTGAATGTTGGTTGCCATGAGAACAGTCACCCCTATAATCTCATAATTGGGGATTGATTTCACATCCTCTCCCTGTCTATCTGTCCATCCAACGAATACATGAAATTCACCACACACGAATCACCCCCACCCACAGTTTGCGTCACACCCCCCAACTACTTGATTCATTGACATCACCCCATCGCCATTCACAACGATCACTCCAATCTGTCTGTCTTTCTTCTGTTGTACACTCTCAACACACACACACACACACACACCACAGAACATGTGATAACCAACCACTTCGATCTGTTGTCTACTTCATCACCATGCCAGTCATGGAAGGATCGAGAGCAGGCAGGACATACATTCCAACTGCCTCATTCTAAATAACGTATCATATATACGATTGACACTACGCACAATCTACAACTAGTTGTTATTTCACTTACTTGTCTACACACAGATAATCATATACACACAGATACACTCATACACATACACTCTTTCTCCTCCTTGTACAGTTTGCAGAGTTTTCATTGTTGTCGAGACAACACGAATTCCCTCCCACCCAATCACACTCGATCACTTTGTGATCACACACGCCATCAGTCATCTAATTTTCCTCCTAAATCAATCAATTAATCAATCAGTCGATCAATCTGCAATCAACACATATCCAGCCCATTTGAATCAAAGATACCCCTGCTCCAGCCAGTCGGCCACAGTCCACAATCAACTGATCGCTCTTCAATCAATCAGACAATCAATCAGTAAACAATTATCCCACGCACCACATCTTACCACACCCATTTCAATCAATTCCAATTCATTCCTGCTCCCATTCCTGTGCCAGTGCCAGCCGCCATTGAGTCGATCACACCTCAACAACAGACACACTTGCTCTCAATCTCCAACTTGTAATACATTACACTTACGCTGATCATCAAAAAAAATGATCGACGACGAGAGAGTCGACACTGGAATGTCATTCCAGCACCACACCGATCACAACAACCATTTCCAATCAATCACCAAATCTCATCCTCAATCTTCAACATCTGAACTATTCCCATTGGAAACCAAGCCGATCAGTTCCAGCTCTATAACAGGCTCAAGTGCCAAAACACTGCCCAGCCTTAGCCTCAATCTCAGCAATATCAACAACATCAACAGCAACGGCAACAAGAGTCTTGGTCAGTTCACGCTTCCTTCTCCCACACCATCACCAAAGCACCTACCTTCACTCCCAATCGTTCTCTCTGACTTGAAGACAATTGGACAGACATCAGCTGCAACAACACCAACTTCAACTACAATGTCAACAATTTCCACTACAACCCCAGCACAACATGCCACAACACAACCAGTGAAGATTATTCCCTCGGCAACGGTACTACCAACCCAATCATCAGCGCCCACCATGAGTCTGCCGCCACCTACAAGCACAACCGGGGACAAGACCATCAAGACCCAGTTGGACAAGCCAAAGCGCCCCAAGACAGAGAAGGTGTCCTCGTCCTCATCAACAAGAGTGTGCGAGTTTTGTAAATGTAATACAACACCAACATGGAGAAGAGGTCCCTCTGGTAAAGGCTCTCTGTGTAATGCCTGTGGAATCAAGTGGAGGCTAAAGGGAAAGGACTCGTTGGTCAAGAAGCCAAAGCTAGACCTCCTTGGTGCCAAACAGGGAGTGAATCCTCTTGGCCAGAAGATTCATTCACAACAGTCATCATTCCCATCCATGAAGTCCGCCACAAAGATTCTACCCTCATCATCATCATCCTCCTCAGCCAACTTCAACTTCCCACTTCATTCACTTTCCTCCAACAACAACAACTCAAGCACCATCTCCCATTTCCCATCCAAACCATCACCCACTGCACCTTTCACATCATCGTCGTACTACCCAAGTGGTGCACCATCAATCAACCGTCTGCATCAGGAGCAGAAGCAGTTCCAGCAACAACAACTGCAACACTCTATGCAGCACCTGCACCAGCAGCAGATGTTCCACCAACAGCTGCCGTCCATGAGTCGCAGCTCCAGCTCAAGCGAGCTGTCCGTCCCCTGCCGTTCACCAGAGTTGCAGGCACCACTCAAGAAGAGGACTCTGACCCTCACTGAGTTTGCCGACAATGCACTCCTTCCCTTTGACTCTGACAAGGGATACTTTTGTAAATATTGTAAAAAGACATGGCCACAATCATCCTTCAAGAACAGCCAGCAATTCGGCGCACATTGCAGCAACTGTTCCAGAAAGCCAAGAGGCGAGAGTAAGTAATTCATGGAACATACCTATCGGCCACAATAATATGTCCAGTTATCTAACATATAACCTCCTCAATCCCCAGTCGAAGCCTTGATGTCCCTCAAGAAACTCACAAAGAGTGGAAGAGTATTGGAAGACGACGGAGCCGTACCTCTATGGGACACCAACAGCAACAGCAGCAGCAGCAGCAGTCAGAACCCACTGCTAGTCAGGCTCCTATCCATCGTTGAGAACCAGCTGCTAGAGCCCGAGGAACTATCATCGATCAAGGAAGAGATCAACGTATGTTATATAATCTTTTCTAAAGCCAAGCAACCAGTACTAACATCTAACTCTAGGGACTAAAGTCTGATATGTTGGAGAAGAAGAAGAGAAGAATCGACCAGTTGGAGTCCAACAAGAACAACATCAACAAGGAGCTGAACGAGATGCGTGCCAAGATCAACGAGTACATCACGAGCAATGAGCACACCAAGAGAGACTATATCGACACCATCAAGAAGGAGTATGACGACCGAGTGCACGACTCTGACACCCAATTCGGCGAGTCGCCATCGCACACCGTGCCAGCGACCAAGCACCACCTCACTCCGACCACAAAGCTCCCCATGAGTCCAGAGATCATTGACTCACCAACCAACAAGAGACCCAAGTACTATGTCGATGGCCAAGGCACACGTCATCACATTGACATGAGAGATATTCCAACTACGACTTTAGAATAAACAACTACAACCAACAAATAACTATCAATCATCATTCAAAGGGTGGAGAGAGTGATATATTTGATGACGAATGAATGAGATTATTACTAGATAATACATATACATTATATATAATAACTTCTTCCTTTATTTAGAGAAAGAAAGATTGATGTGTACAGGGGATCAATAAATAGATAGGTGTTATATATATGATCGATCAGTTCAAGACAGCACGTGTATGAGGCTCTGGAGGATTGATTTGGTCCACACTAGCACTGCGCTTGAAGGTCTTGACTCTGTATTCAGAGGCCAATGAGTGGTCTTCCAGACGCTTGGCACCAATTCTATCCAGAGGTTTCAGTGGGAATTGAGATGTATCCAACTGTGAAAAGGTTCGTAGTTCAAAGTAATACTTGGCATAACTGTAATGATGATGGTTAAGTTAGTTGGCTGGATGTACTATTATTCCGCAGTAGAGGACGGTCTAAACAACACTTACACACTAGCAGTTAAGCTAACATTGTACTGAATCAGTGCAAGGAACTGACGCTCTAAATTATTCAGGTCGGTGGCGGTCAGATTGTCAAACACGGGCAAGAAGTCTACGTTCCATACAGATTGGTCCTCCCAAACTTTGGACGCCAGTATCAGTGCAGACAGTACGATCCTTCTCCAGTTGGTCGAGCTGATTGTTGTCCCTGAGAATGTAATAATTCTCTCTATATATGCTAGACACATTATTGCACATTCAGAGTCCAACTGAGTAATAAATCTATATGTTAGTAATCATGGACATTGGATATCATCATCAACAACAAGAAACATACTCTTTCAGCTTTAAATATATCTCTAAGGAACTTATATATAGTATCAACTGTTGGTAGCATTTTAAAGTCCAACTTTCCTTTCTGTTGATGATTGACCAGGGTCAGACAGTTAGTATATCTCATTGTACCATTGATTGATTATAAATACATACAGTGATAGGATATTTCTCTTCACTGAATATCTCAAAGGTCTTTTGTGGTGAATGAGTTCCTCTCTCGATATGATATAGAAGTGCGTTTGCCATGCATTTGAGTATCTCATCATTGTCAGGAGTGGACAGAGTGCTCTTGATATAAAGGGATGAAGTTGAATTATGCTTGGCCCTCTGGAAGCCCTCCATGCGCATATGTTGTGGGATAGCCAGTGGTGTCTTGAATTGTGGACCGAGTCCGGACCTCTCAGTAGACAGTTGTCTTTGATGTTGTTTGGCCGGCTTGGTGAAGTAAATAGCATGTGAATCGTCCATAACAGAGTTTGAGTCTTGAGCAGAGAGAGTAAAGTCGCCGTCGGCCGAGATACTAATTTGTGAGTTGGAGTGTCGCTTCTGCTCAGTGAGAGGTTTCATCTCTGAAGAATTGATAAATGTGGTGGACAGTCGTTTGAAGAGTCCCAGACTGTTGTCGTGTCTATCTCGTCTATTGTTGCTACCGGCACTTCCACTGCCACTATCGCTACTGTCGTCGCTACTGCTGTCGTCACTACTACTGTCAACGCCCGAATGACTATTGATATTGGGACTACTGCTGTTGCCTGACAGTCGTACGCCCTTGAACTTTAACTGTGATGTGGAATGTGAAGTGTGTCTTCTTCTTTCTTTGATGTCGTCAATGTCACCGTTGGTTCCTTTCTTTGTCGAACAACAATTTCCCATCGGTTTATATTGTGTGTGTGTATATATAAATATATATAATATATAAATAAATAAGTGTGTAAGAGTTGGTTGGTTGGTTGGTTGGTAGGATTGACTTAATGTGTAGTTTACTATGTACAAAGTGATTCTATTGCTATTGATGTTGTAGGTATTGGTCAAGTAGTGTAGTAGTTAGTATTAATGTTATGACTTGAATTGAATGAATGTATGAACGATGATTTGATTGAATGATAATCAATCACTTTAAAGAGAGAGAGAATGTGTTACATTAACCAACAACCATCAACCAAAGCATTCCTTAAAAGTAATGTTTGGGTGGGTGTGGTTATTGTGTGTATGTATTTGTTTACATGTAATAAATATTTAAAGTGTGTATCTTCTTCGACACATAAATATAGAGAAGGAGTGGGGTGTGTGTGATTGTTTGGGGGTGTGTGAGAGTTGGGCCTCCTACTCTTGTGCCCCAGAGAGAAGGAGCGGTGGTGATTGACACAGCACAGTGTTTGAATTGCAACTTGAAGTTGGTGGTGGTGATGATGTTATTTACTTGAAGCCTCACTGCTGATGTAATGTAAATATTTAAATAAATGTGATTGATTTGTATTGACGATGAGTGTGTGTGTGCAACCAGTTATTCATTCAGATGTTGATGATTGATCGCTTCTAGTTGGGTGCAATGGCAATATATTATGAGACACAATGCCAAGAGATTAAACACAATTAATCGAGGTGATGCATTGCATGAACTAAGTATCTGTTTGTGCTGCTGCTGATGCTGTGATTGTGATTTAATTATTTATCCCTACCATTCACAGTTATAATTATTAGTACAAAATAATAATATAATTATATATATTTGCGTGTTGTGTGTCTCTTTGGTTATCTGTCTATTGAATTTACTACTAGGTTATCATTTACATTGATGTGATAGGGTTGTAGATTGAGCCACACACATCATCCCAGGCAATTCCTTACATCAGCCTAGCACCAACTGTGTCTGACACCCCTCGAAACCTAAGCAAACGACCCCCTAGATTGTCACCCATAGCATCCATGGCGTCTTTCAGGTAATGGTGACCTTTTTTTGTGAAGCAAGGAATTATTATTGTTTGATTGTTTACCCCCATCTTTCGTTTCAAATAACTTCATGATGGCAACTTTGTATTACGAACATTCAAAATGCTGTTGGGCTAAAGGACAACTGTATCCAAAGACTCTGTATCTTATGATCAACAGGATACCACGTGCAGTAATGTTATTTTCTTATCTGTAATCAAATGTTATCGAGAAGAAGTGGACAATAGCAACGTTAGCCGCCTAGATATTTGAATAGAATGGTTAAAGATGAAGGACAAAGATGGATGGATGAAGAAATGATGGTGGTGTGTTCAATCGTCTCTGATCTACGGATCTACCTTGCAGCAGTGTATGACAATGTATTATTATATATCTTGTAGCTTAGTAGAGATACACTGCAGATGAAGTAATCGCAATGATCGCCTGTCGTCTCGGTCTGTACCGAACAATCTACACTATCAACACCAAAGAGTTGTAAGTACATAAGAATATGATGTAAGTGTCGCTGGGTCATCCTCGAGAGTCCTTCCATTGGAAGTTCAGCTTTGCCTGGACAGATACTCTGAACATTACGCCTGTTATCGGGAGGGTGTCAACATTACAAACATGTCAGAAAGAGGGCGATCACCCATATTGTCATTAAAACAATAACTCTGCATTATCATTAGTAGGGCCATAAATAACAAAAGATCGGCCCATTCGGAAGGGAGACCATGATGGATCAATACACAATCGTGTGGTGGTTCCATATCCGAGCTTTGTTTTATGTGTCCTGCGACGTCCACATCCATCAGATATGTTGGATAGATATTTTTTCAAACATCAATATCCCTGACGTCACTAAAGGTAGTATTAGGCCTTGATCAATTATGAAACCATTCATCAACATTATCCAATTCATACATACACATACAATGTCCAGATCATACAGTTTATTATCATTATTGTTGATCATTCTGGTCATTGCTATTTCACAATGCAATGGTATGGAATGGAACATTCATCCTACAATTCCAAAGGCATATAGTTAACCCGATCAATCAATCAAACAGGAATTAACTTTGCAATAACCCAAGCTAATTACTATGGAACGACAGTGTTGATTGATGGTGATAACTTTGACAAGATCAACATCCCACCAGATGTAATCACCTTTGTCGGCATGAACTGCGTCAAACCTGTCAGAAACTCAATCAACAGAGTGGAGTGTGAACTTCAGCAACCATACACTCAACCAACAATCACATTCCAGATGATGGTCAATGGTACACTCGCCAGTGGTAACGGCACATTCACACTCACCAACCCCTACATCTTTGTGGACACTTTAACACCCAATGTCGTGTCAATGAATGGTAACACCAAAATCACTCTGACCGGATCGTTCTTGGGCAATGCCAGCTCAATGGGTACCACGGTCACGTTGAAGAACGACTCCTACTCAATTGATTGTCTGGACGTCCAGTACATTACCGACAGTGTAAAGATCTCTTGCACTACAGGTGTGCCAGAGAGCGAGGCAAGTCTCTCAGTCGAGGTCTCCAATTCCGAAACTGGATATACCCAGTTCCCAAATGATAAAGTGGCTGTACAGTTTAGAGGTAAGTCCATTCCAATCATTCCAAGCAATTAATTAGTCTAACCACGTTCGCTCACTCTATCATTTAATTTATAGCATTCTCTATATCAACTGTTGAACAAAACAATGATACAGTCACTATCCATGGCAATTACTTTGATGCCTATGCTGGTGCATTAGAGGTTACAGTTGGCAAAGGAAAGACGAAAAATCTATTATACAGTAGAACACAATGTATTTTTACAATTCCTCCAACAATGACCAATGGTGTCTTGATATTAACAGACACTACACCTGGATCAAGCCTAGTCTCACAGATTGGTGTAATATGGAGTAAGTAATACATTAAACCATGATGATGATGGCTTCAATCACTAACCTTGGTATCATCACCACGATAACATAATTATCAAACAGAACCCATTATCAGGAGCTTCAATACAACACCTGGTAATTTCACATTAAAGGAAGCAGACAAAATGACGATTGTAACACAGATGATTGAGAATGCTGACTTTGTCACACTGTCAATCGGTGGCCAAATGATCAATAACATGTCATTCTCCAATCCATTGACTGTGGAACTTCCTCAGCTCGTTGGAACTGTCAGGATTGATCTGATCGTCTACTCTGGTAACTCATCATTCCGCTACACGTACCCGCAACCCCAACTCTTGGGTATCTCGTCGTCCACTTTGAATGACATTGCCACAATTGTTATTCAGGGCAAATATCTCTACCAATCTATTGCGCCTACTCAAGTACCAGTGATCAGTGGAATCGTTGACAAGCCATTGGCTTTTCAGGTGCTGCCCGAAACCACCTACTTCTACCTCAAAATGGATCTGCCCCAAAGTGCTCGCTCAGGTGCATTCAATATCTCGATTGGTGGCCAACAGAGCAAAAGCACGACCAGCCTCATACCCTCATTATCCTCAATATCCTCGCCTCCAACTGGTGGTGGCATCATAACAATCACTGGATACTACCTCTCACCAACATCGTTCGACAATAACAATATATTGGATATCACGATCGATGGCAAGGCTTGTACCAATCTGACGATGGTCGGTACATCATTCGCTCCTTACACCCTCACCTGTCTTGCACCAGCGGGACGAGGTGTTGCCACACTACATGCCAATAACTTGATGGCCGTCAAGAACTTTACCTATCAGTCCACGTCAATCACATCTGTAACATCAACCGTATTCAATCAGCCTGGTGATGTCACCATCTCTGGAACAAACTTTGCCGGCAACAACTTGGCCGTGACAATTGGATACGTGCCATGCACCAATCCAGTTGTTAATGTCGACTACACTCAGATTGTTTGCAACTTTGCCTCAAACGTGAAAGTGCCACTGGTCGTAATAGTATCGGGAGTGCCTGAGAAATACCTCTCATTGCCAGTGACCATCTCGATTGGTGGTCAGGATGTCATTACCGAGTTCAAGTTCATTTACAGCGCCAACTCTGGAACATGCGCCACACCTTGTGGTAACTTTGGAACGTGTGTCAGTGGCGAGTGCCAGTGCCTGGAAGGATACACAGGTGCCAACTGCACCATAGCAGTTAGTAATGGTGTCGATGTACCATTGCCATCACCCGACTCCACGACCGTCGTTCTTGGATCATCTTCCAATAATGTAGAGTTCAATGTCGCCATTGCTGGAATCCGTGAGATGGACGCCACCAATGGCACCATAATCAAGTATGTCAACATACGCGACACACTTTGGAACATTGTCAGTACCAGCTCGGACAGTGCCAACAACACCTATTATGTCTACAACACATCTTTGCCAAATATCTCTGGCTTTGTGATCACAACCGAGATTGCAGTGTTTGTCAATGAACACTCAGTCAACTTTGAAGGAGACACATTCAATGTGCCAAAGAACTCGATCAAGTACAAGATCACTCTGTCCAAGTGGCCATTCGTCACCATGAACAACTACCTTCAGGTGCTATTCCAATCAAGTGCTGGTGCGCAGTCCATTTGTGATGGTGAGCGGTTGGTGAATGCCAAGGTTGGCGACTCATCGATCAATGAGAAGAACTCACTCAGACAGATGGAGATCTATCAAGGCAGTGGTCTACTTCGTGCATTCTACTCTGATAGACTGTTAGTCGACAATCGAGTGACATACAGTCTGGTAGAAACAGTCAAACCAAACGATCCCTCGATGGCCGGACTGAATAGCAACGGCTCACAAGTTCTAGCGGTGCTAACATCGGTGAATGTGCCATCATTCGCAGAGAGTGCTGTGATTGATCCAAACTTTGCCTCTCTGTTGTTGACTGACGACAATAAGAGTGAGTGTGGAGGTGACAAAGAGAGGAAATGGTTGATTCCAGTCGTTGTAGTAGTGTCAGTGGTTGGTGCAGCCATCATCATTGTTGCTGCAATCATTATTATCAAGAAGAACCACATCAACTTGATGCGTGTCAATATTAAACTTAGAGAGCTGCGAGGAAAGCAGTAGTCACAACATCATATGTTAGCGGAAGGTTATAATAACCATAAATAAGAGTTTACTTAAAATCAATGGTTGATTGCTTCCTTGCAGTGCCAATGTCACAAGAGTTGACCTTGGTGGCGAATCGAAGTGAGCTATATTTCGTTTGAGTGTGGACATGATTGCCAGATGTGTCAGTGTTTTGTCTCGTCGCCAATCTCAAGAGTACCACTACTACTACTTACCAAAGAGTCTCCTGAACGTCTGTGGCCTCTGGTGATATATTCACAAACATAAGTGTCTTGGAGCTGGCGGCACCAAGTGTACCCTGCAGAAGGTAGGTGAGCTTGGAGTTGCGATAGGGCACATGCTTGTCCTTGTTGGCCAGCGCTGTGATCACATCGGACAGACAGCTCAATGACTTGTTGATGGCCATAGTTTCCTTTAGACGATCGCCCGATGCTCCACTCTTGGACACTCGCTCTGATCCAGCCAGGTCTACAAGATTGAGTGTACCGGATGTGTTTTCTCCAGTCACGGCATTGTGACCCTGCAGTCGCAATTGGAACACGCTGTGTGATCGAGATGACCGATCGTTGCACAATGTCTTGGCAACGGCCCTGTTCCTAGAGGCGATTGACAGGAGCGTATGTATCTCCTCTGGCTGACGCACTCTGACCACCCGCAAGTTGGTGACAATTGTGTTGGCGCCATCGTGTCTGATCTCGTGCAATTGTTGTTGTGAATTGTTGGTCAATAAGTCATTGATAGACTCATTGTATATCTCTAAGAAGAAGACGTCCATGTCAAAGACCCAACCCTTTGGTTTGAGTGCCTCGGATGTACTGAATATTTGCTCGACGGTCCTTGGAATCATTCCACGCTGTGCCGATGTGTTTCCACCCTCCATCGTATAGGTCTTACCCGATCCAGTCTGACCATAGGTGAAAATACATGTTGAGTACCCATCCAAGGCACTCTGCACGAGCTGTGAGATCTCCTCAAACACCTCCTCTTGGCATGCTCTTGCTCCAAACACTCGATCGAATGAGAAACTGTTTGTCTTTGTTTTGCTATCGCCAGTCAAAGTTTGTGTCTTCATTGGATGGTATTAGTATTGATCTGATTGATTGACCGCACTGCATTACTAACGACACTTACGAGTGTGTTTACATTCAATGTAGTGTCGCCAATTGTTTCAAATATGTCCTCACGCTGCTGCTGCTGACTCTCGGACATGCCTCCAAGACTTGGACGAAGACGACAAAACACTCGGATGTTTCCTCGCAACTCTTGGATGGTGTTGTGCAACTTCTTACGCAATTGCTCATCTTTGATACTCTTGTTTGTGAGCTCGGCAATGATCTGGTCCCTGGCAATGAGCTCCTGCCTCAGACTGGCGGCATCGTCCTCAAACTGAGCGGCAAAGGCGTCCTTCTGCTCCATCAGTGAGGTCAGATGGCAGACCTTATCCTCAAACGAACGAACAATATTGGCCACGTTCTCTTTGAGTGAAAGACGCTCCTGTTGGAATGAGTCCAGCACTTCCAGACTCTCATTGTACTTGTGCATCAGTCCAGTATTCTCTGACTTGAGGTTTTCCACCGTATTGTTCAGTCTCTCAATAGTGGCCTGTAGTCTCTCAACCTCCTTGGACTTCTCCTCATAGTCCAACTGTGTCTTTATGTCTGGGAGGGGCAATGTTACTGGGATGATGTGAAGAGTTAGTAAATGCAATCATGGCAATCATTGGCCTTTCTTCAAGTGCATATATATACTCTTTGGCAACTTTAGTGGTCTATCATCGACCACCATGTTCTGGTTGCGCAGGTCCTTCTTCATACCATCAGCAAACATGGACAGATGTTGTATCCTTCCCTTGATATCATCATGCTCAGGGTACTTGCTGAGTATAGATTTTCCGGTCACACTGTTGTTGCAGTTCAAGGTGCTGTTGTTGTTGTTGTTGTTGTTGATGTTACTACGTGTACTACTAGGAACAGGACTTTTTGGCTGATGAGACATGGCAGTGCTAGCGGCTGATGATGGTGGCTGTACGTATGATCTCAAAAGACTACCATTGAATCGATGTGAACTAAGCACAGGTGTATCAAACGCAACGTCGCTGAACGAGTATGATGAGGTAGATGTTGACATGAGTTGTGATGCAGTGAGCTCCTGCTGTTCCTCTTCCTGAAATGGCACAGGACTGTCTACCATCGATGAGCTTGTATTTCTAGTCGTCGTATTATGACTGCTACTAACTGGCGCATACTATATATAGTGTGTATTAGTAATGTATGATGATCGATCAGTATAGTTTGATGATAATGCTCTGAGCACCTACCTTTGGAATGTTCCTCTTGTTGTTGTTGTTCTGAAGGGAGGCCAAGTGAAGAGGACTGCCATCAGAGGCAATGGAGTTGGTTATCTCCTTGAATGGTGATCTAGGTATAGACATGTTGTATATTTATGTAAGTCTGTTGTGTTGTGTTGTGTTGTTGTCTCAATGTGTAATGTAATGTTTCAATGATACATGATCCAATCAACAGAAAATTTCCGTTAGAATTGAGCGCCATTTTTTAAATTCTTTTTGTAACACTCAGCCAATCTATCCATCAATTAGGTTTAGGAATGATTCCTAATTACCCAAAAATTTATTAGTGATTGTGTAGATACACTGACATTACAAACCTTATTGATATCAGCATCACAATAAGACATACACTGGTGTATCGATAGTGATTTTGATTGTCCACTATCCTATGGATGACTTCTTCTTCTTGGGGACTTTTAGGGAATTCATTCGTTTGGTTTGCCTTTTCATTATAAACAGCAGACAACAACTACAATAACAATACAGATAAATGACCTTTGTACTATCAGGTTGGAGCTGGTATAAGGGGTGCTTGCAATCGGCGCCCCTCACCACTAAATGTCTCACTAGTGGAGGTTAGTCAATCATCAATGAGACAGACAGACAGACAGACAGACAGACATATGATGGCTGACCAATCACAATGATGATAATGTCTTCAAAGTTATCTTTGGTATAGGTGATAGGTTAGCTCAACGCTTCGAAGGAAAAACTACTTGGAATCATAACAGGACATTAATGATGTCCACTGTTGGCATGCTCTGCATCTCTCCTCAGATACATTTGTACGATCGATTAATCAATCATTCAATTTCACACTACCATCACTGACTGATTGACACTAGTTGGTTCAAGTTCCTTGACACTACCATACCTGGCACCTCAAACCCCAGGATCCTAGCCAAGCTTGCCTTGGACCAGCTGTTGTTCTGTCCTTATATCATAGCGTGCAACTTTGGCGCAGTCAACCTCTTCAAGAACAAAGGACACTTTGACATGGAGGCCTACCAGTACAAGTTGAACAACGAGTTGTTTGCATCACTGAAACAAGCATGGATGATATGGCCACTGACCAACTTTGTACTCTTCAAGTACGTACCCATCGACTACAGACTGCTGATATCAAACTTTGTCAGTGTCTATTGGAATGGCTATCTATCGATCATTGGCAATAGAGAGACGACCAACAAACACGACGTGGTGTTGGTTGAACCTACAACGACAAAGCCACATACAGATTGACCATCAAATATAAAGATAGATAATAGTAGTTGTAGGCCTTTTCAATTTATTAGTGGGAGGGTAGAAGGTGATTTAGTTCGATCTGAGTATGTCCGCACTCGCATCTTGGCGAATCAATGAATGGGTTTGAAGGGGAGGAGGGGAGGTAGGTAGGTAGGTACAGGGTATGGCCATTGGTATTACATTTGTTAATAATAATAAAGATAGGTATGTTGAATGGATGTTGAAGGTCACCAGTGTTGCAGATGTTGATCAATGTTGGTGGTATTATACATGTTTGTTAGTGATTGGTGAGTGGTGTGATCATTGTAGTACATCGCGTCGATAGTTCGTTTGGGTGACATTGTAGAGGATTTGGGTGAGATTGGTTGATGATCGTCCAGTGGAGATGACATTGATGATGTTGGCGATGTGGATTGATTACTGTCATTGGAGTGTTCGGGACTGATGATCTGATGTTGTTGATGGTGATGGTGTGAGCTTGATAATGTGGTGTGTGGCACCATGCTGCCACTGCCACTGCCAATGCCAATGTGCTCGTAAGTGAATGCCAGATGGCTCTTGTCAACGCCGCTGAGGAAGTGGTCGTGGCTACCTTCTTCCAGATCGACGTCCAGGAAGCTGGTGGGGACGGGTGGCGACATGTGAATGTCGAGTGACTCGGATATTGAGTGCAGTTGGGGTGGTGCGGGGATGGGGGAGTGCAGGTGTGGCGAGAACATCACGCCAGACGATGTCGATAGTCCAATTGGTGGTGATATATCTGTAGTGGATGTGTTGAGTTGTTGTTGTTGTTGTTGCTGTTGCATTGGATATGGTTGGATGGGTTGGTATCGCGGAGTAGTCATTGATGAGGACGTCAGACTGGGCGAGGGTGGAACGCTGGTACATGGAGGCAAGGGGATACTGGCATTGTTGGGGTCAGCCAGCATCAGTAGCTTGAAGGCATGGAAGTTGATGAGCTTCTTTCTAAAGGTCTCGGCACTGACATTTGTGTCGTACTCGGGCAGACGGAAAAAGGTGGTGCTGTCACTGGAGAGCTCGGCAAACGACTGAGACAGCTCCTTCTTGGTGCTGTCGTTCAACGTGCTGTTTATCACACCCAACAGCGCCTTGATGCTGTCCTCGATTGAGGGACGACTGTCCTCATTGGGCACGAGTGTCTCTTTGAGTTGCTTGACAAAGTCAGGGTTGGCAAGCACACTGGCCATGCTCTGTGACTGTGACAATGACGTCGACGACGAAGAGGATGTTGGCGAGGGAGAACGTACCCGCGATGGCGGCAGACCATCGGTCGAGTCCTGCAGGTCAAACTTGGACATTCCAGCGGTCAAAAGTGATGTGGTGGATTGGTTGAGAGGTGAGAACAGGTGGCTTGGGGATGGTGCCGTGGCCGACTGGAACAACGGTGACTGTGCCAACGTGAGTCCCGAAAGGACGGGTGTGAGCAACGTATGTGGAGGACGCGACATTGAGTAAAGCTTGGGGCTGGGCGCTGGTGACTGAGCGTCCTTTGATGCCTTGATCTGGACGTTCTTCTTTGATCTTGTTGGTTTGATTAGTGAAGATGATGATGGTGATGTGTTGTTTGTGGATTGATCTGTTGATGTTGATGTTGTTGTTGTTGTCGATTCGCTGTCGACACCTTCAATATTGAACAGTCCACTATTGTCAGAGGTGTCAGTGGAGCTGGCCAGTGGATTGGCTGTGCTCTCATTGAACACCTGAGGCAAGAGACCATTCTCTGAGCGATCCACAAAGCTTGACGATGCAGGTGATATCTCAGAGAGCAATGACGAGGAACTATTGAACGCCGTACACTGTTTCTTCAATATAGGCATACTGTTGGACTTTTTGCTGGACTTTAAAGAGTTTGGACTGCTACTACCACCCTCTGCCGCTGCCGCCAACACATTCTCTGTTGATGTATTCTTCTTGCTCGCCTTCTTTCTTGGTTTGGCTATATTTTAAAATATAATAATAATTAATTAAATAAATAAATTAATTAAATAACTTAATTGCGTTACTTACCTTGCTTACGAGGGCTTCCAGATACTGGTGGCACATTGCCACTGCTAAAGATACTGGGGGATTGCTGGGACTGAGCAAACACCTCCAGGAATGTGTTGGCTCCTGGAGACATGGCAGATAGACTGCTGGGGATGGGTGGGATTGGCGAGTTGGTATGGTGGTCACCAAGGGACGACGCCAGTGTGGGTGAAGCCAGTCCGAATGGTGCCATATTGTTTGCAGCTGGAATATTTACAAAGTGATGCGTTGATGTGGCGCTTGCTGCTGGAGATGAGGGTGTGTTTGATTGATAGAACAAGTGTGATGTGGAGTTTGGTGTCGACTGTGTGGATGATGACAATCCAGTTTGATTATTATTATTGTTGTTGGTCACCATTGTTGGTGACTGAGGTGATTGAGGTGGAAAGAATCCAACCATATATTGTTGTTGTTGTTGTTGATTGATGTTTTGGTGATGGTGTTGTTGGTTAAGGAAGCCTAAGTATTGGTCAGGCTTTGTGTCTTTACACTAATGTGAATGGTATGGTTAGTTGGTCACCCAAATATGATTGAGATCCAAGGATTGTGAAAGAATCTTACATGATTGGCCTGTAGGTCATCATATGATACATTGATATGGTTTGCCATGATGTGGCCAGCCACAACATTTCCTGGATGGAATCCATTGGTGGTGTAATATGGACTGCCGCCGCCGCTGCTGCCTCCACTGACAGGTTGTTGTTGCTGTTGTAAAAATTGATGATGTTGTTGAGGTTGGTGGTGTTGAAGGGTCTGTGACGTGCCTGGTTGAGGCGTGAAGACCATGCTTGTGAGCTCGTGGTCCGAGCCATAGGACTGACTGTCGTTCAGGAAGCTAGTGTCATCATCCAGACCACTCCCGTACATGCTGTAGAGCTTGGTACTGAGGAAGGGCGACGTTGAGTCTGATGGATCACCGATGTCCATTGTGGTGTGCTTGGCAGATATATATTATATTTTAGGAGTCGCTGTGGTATGAGCTGGTAACAGCTAACAAGCGTGGACAACACAAATTTGAGGGAAGGTGGTGGTGTGGCTTAGCCAAAGTAAACTATTGTTATTGTTGTTGGTATTACTACTACTACTATTGTGATTGAATGAGTGTGTATGTATTAATAAATAGGGAGGAAGTGATTGGTGGTGGACGTGAAAATTGATGGTGTTGTGTGTTTGATTGTTGTGTTGGTTGGGTCAATTGATTGATTGATTGATTGACAGACAGAGACACAATCAATGTTAGATAACACAACAATTAATAAGAGGAGGACCTAATTGCAATTAATTAAAAAATGCTCCTCACTGTCTCTATCCATCATCCATCTAACTCTCCCTCTCTCTCACTACCACTCAATCATCATTCACTCACACAACACTCAATCAATTCCAAACCACACCACAACACAAAAATACAATACACAATAGGGCTCTGGTACAAGGTGGACCTACCCTTGAGAAGACATGTTTGGGGTTAAGACTGCATAACGACAAACACACATGGGGGCTCGCGACCAGATCACGCAGATGTTCCCACAACAAAAACAAACAGCCCAAAAACACTCAAAAGTGATTAAATTCAATTTGGAAAAATTATGTGATGTTTCTCCAAAGGACTATTTGATGCGGACCTGAGTGGTCCTAAAAAAAGACACTGGCAGTTGAAGCACATGCCTGAGCTGATAGCCTCAGTCCTGGATAGCCTAGCCCAACCTGTCCATATGATCAATCGATCCCATGATCAACCAATCAAAGTCCAGGCCAAATCAACGGAGGCGTTTCAGTGCATCGTAGTGGTGCTAGATAGATAGATTGGATGGATGGATGGAAGTGCCACAGTTGGTTATCTACAACTATGACAATATTGGGTGTTTATGTTTGTATGTTGTTACAGTATTATTATCATTATTATACATTGTCAGCAGTTGAATTGTTTGATCCGAGATATATTATTGGCTCTACTGATGCACCAACATTGACACCACTGTTCATAGAGTCCGTCCGACTGTTCTGGGCAGAGTATGAAGTCGTCGTCTCGAGATCAACCGTCATGCTACTGGAGCTTTCCATGTTGGACGAGTGATCGTACTTCTTTGACAGGTCCACTGACATTCCATTGGAGTTCTCCTCGGTGGAGTTACCCGTGGAGATGGCATTGCGCGTCCTTCTGAATAGGATATAGTTGAGCAGACTGCTACGATCGGCCATAATCACCATGACCACGATCATTTGGCCAACATCCACAAACATTGTCATAAAGGTCTCGAGTGGGAAGAAGCGATACTCCTTCTCCAGCACATAGTTGAATATAATGTCATGTGCGACAATTATCGTTACAGAGATGGCGGCGGTCCAGAGCAACACTTTGGTCTTGAAGATGATCCTGTCAAAGTGCTTCATCTTGTTCTTCTTTTGCGACGTCTTCATTCCCTGTACAAACTTGATGCCATTGAACAGGATCCAAACCAACAGGGCGCCAAAGAATGAAAAGAATCCAATAGCCTCCAACAACGTCTCGTCTCGCGTCAGACATACAATCTGAACAGGAATTTGCCAACAGAAAAACAGTGATACCAAAGAATAAGTTACTAACCATGTTCGCTTCATGGCTCCAAATCTAACTTCATCACTAATAAAGAATGTATATAATAGTTGGATCCTGTATTATACATTTGTTAGAATAATAATAATAATAATAAGTTGATTAGATGACATACCAGAATCCACATATGAATGTCCATGCAGCCATTGTGAATGTAACACCCAATGCAAAGAAGAAGTAATAAAGACTTCCAACCTTGTAATCATAAGGATATTTATATCTTAATGAATCACCTATTACTCTACCTAAAGGTTATAGAGGAACACTGATTGTTAGTTTGATGTTTGATCACGAGTAGTTATATATAAATAACCAACTTACATGCACAGAATAAAGTCATAGACAGGAATGTAAAGAATCTTGTGTTGACGGAGCGCTTCCTGACAACGACTTCTAATTCAAACGCTGTCTGTACTGAATTCATTATAAAGAACATTATATATATTATTATACGTATACCCCAGAATGTATACATCAACTTGTCTGTGGCCACCGATCCAGTGAACGTCGAATCCGACGAGGTCGTTGTATTGGTGATGGCCATGTAAGTCATCTTGTTTTGATTTATCTATCTATCTATCTATCTATCTATTTTTATATCTGTTGTCTCTAATTTATTTTAATTAATAAATTAATATTATCGATCAAACTTTGGATCGTCGGCGTGATTGTTATTTGTTTGATTAAGAATTGTGAATAATGAATGATGATGTGTTATTGCTTTGCTGACATTGTGTTTGTTGATAAGGAATGAGATCACTCAGACAAGGACGCATGGCGTGTCGGCTGAGGATGCATTGTGAGGTCATGTGAGTTTCTGAGCATGTATCAAAGAATGTCTGTCTTCCTCCCCTACCTATCTATCACCATTGGGCATGTATTTAGATTGGGTGTTTGTAGTGCCAATGCCCACAGTTAGTTCAAGAACACACACGCACACTCCATTTCGACATTCTCCCGAGCCATAAACCACCGACATCTTGTATCGGGGAACACATAGAAACTTGTTTAATACCCCCCACTTGTGGGTACACCAAAAAAGATCTAGTTGTCGTTGTTGCCAACACAACACCCTCTACCAACCTTTCATCCTACCTACCTCAACTAACACACACATTTACCACACTCTCTTACATCACAAACAATAAACACAACAGTAATCAGCTGATCGGAATGAACGGTTGATCTTGTAGAGCAATGGATTGGATTGGGTCAGACAGACTTTCACGTGGTAAGCAACAGTTAATTTCTTGTGGGGGTGACCAGCGGCAGAGGTTTGCCAACTACCCCTTCCCAGTGCGGTCATAGGGTGGTATTGTTGACAACACATTGGATCATTCGGGACGAGGAGTAATGTATTTATAGACTTTCATCTTTCTCAAGTAGTAATTCATATTGTTATTTGGGATAGGTGATGGGCGTGGATTGGTGGATGTTTCATACCCAATGTCTCTTAGTTTGGTACTGGCGGCAACAGTTGCAATCTTTGATGTGGCGCTACATCATCTTTGATAGCGATTTAAGGGAAACTTATTATTAATAATATTATTTGTTCGTTTATTGTTTGATGGAAATGTGGGAGTTGGTGGAGTGGTGTCTAAGGGATAAGCAATTGCAATTCTTTGTACATAGATGTGATATATTGATGTAGAGAGGTAGTCTCCTAGTGATGGTTGAAGCGCATTGGTGTTTGAAGGCCATAGTGATGTAGTTCGTAGTCCTTCTTGGTGGCCGATGTGTTGTTGGTGTTGACCATGTTGTTATTATGGTAGTTGTTGTTGGACAACAGCATATGTTGGTGTTGTTGCTGCTGCTGTTGTTGGATCTGGTGGTGCTGCTGACTATCAGTTGAGTAGTTGTTCAACATGAATGATTGCTGCTGCTGTTGGTGATGATGATGATTATGATGATGATGTTGGAGTTGATGGATGATGTGCGATGGACTCTCTGGCGCCTGCTGCTCACTGACCACGTGTTGGTTTGGTAGTGGAGTAGTAGTAATAGTAGAGACTGAACCGCTGGAATGAACCGTACAGTAGTGTCTCTGCTGGTTGGCAATCATCTGGAACTCACCCATCTGCTGTGGCGACATGTGAGCACTGTGGTCGGCAATCTTTCGTACGACGGCCAACATCTTGTCATCGGCGTACACCGAGACGACGATCCTGCTCTGGCAGCCACACTTCTTTGACACGACCTTCTTGCGGTTGAGTGAGTCCTTGTCGTCCGAGTCGGGTCGTCTCTTTGGGAAGCCAGCACGGGAGCACACGTACTTTTGAGTCCACAACAGCTCGCGCTTGGTCCTGCGCAGACCATTCCTTGGTCTCTCGTACTCGGCCTTGAGGTTGAGCGTCTTGCGGTCAGCATGAGCGCCAATGACCTTGCCTCCACTCTTGATGTACGAGACACCAACCATCTTGCCCTCGGCATCGATCCAGTCCTCAAAGTGATCCAAGGGTACGTTGAACTCCTCGCACTCTAGCGACTGGTCTGGGACCCTGGTGGTTTCAACTGGTCTGCTGACGTTTCTGTGTAGGCCCGCCTGGCAGTTGCACATTGGTGACGAGGGTATGTCGTACTGGGACGAGGACAGAGTTGGTGTTGCTGGCAACGAGGCACTGGCCGTCAGGAGAAGGGGCAACGAGATTGGATGCTGGACACCATGGTAGTTGGGCGAGGATGGCGCACTGATGTGATGATGGTGTTGGTGATGGTGATGGTGGCTATGGGGAGATGAGGCACTGCCATACGAGGTGGTCGTCTGGGGAGACACAAATGAGTTGTCTTGTGGGCTGTGTGGACGCATCACTGGCGATGAGTCGTATTGGTATTGGTGCTGGCAGTGGCTGGCAGGAGTTGATGGTGGTGTGATTTGAGCACTGTTGCTGGAGGACACATCACTGGTCGAGGAGGACATGCGTGGGGACACCGGGGTGAAGGTGTTGGAGGCCACATTGGCGTCGCGTTCAGTGTTCGAGACGTATTGTGGCTGGGCAAACGTGGGGCAGGCAACCTCAAACTTTAGCCTCTTGGATTCGGCGGTAGCAGTAGTCTGTGGATAGGGGAGTGTGTGATGGTAGCTCTGGGCATAGTCCAAAGGAGAGGGTGGCACCTTGAGTGAGGTCTTCCTCCTGGACTCACGGTCCACATCATCGGCAATACTCAACTGTTGTGAGGAGTATCCCTGGGACGATGCAATGTAGGAGGTCGTTGGAGAGAGCAATGGCGACGAGTCTGGCGTGAAGTGGTTGGCCTGGACTGGATTATAGTTGAACTGGGGTAGATGTGGAAGCAATTGTTGTTGTTGCTGTTGTGGTTGTTGTTGGATAGGTTGTTGTTGTTGTTGTTGTTGAGTATTTACAATGATATTGTTAGAGTCAGGGGAGGATGGTGCAGAGGACAACGAGGATTGCTGTGCAATATCTTCCCAACTTTGGCTCCTTTGGAATTGGACCAGCTCATGTGAGGTCTGGAACTGAGGCCACGAGATAGACAGCTGCTGATGTTGTTGTTGCTGCTGCAGCTGCTGTGGATGATATGGCGAATGGTTATAGTTGTTGTTATTGCCATGGACTTGTGGATTGATGAGCGATGGGATGTTTGGAAGTTGGACAGGTTGCTGTATGTGTGTGTGTGTTAGTATAAGATGGATGGATGGAGTACACCATAAAGACCAAACATACCTTAAGGTCCAACTGCGAGGAAGAGTCAACACCAAATCCATTGGCACTATTCCAGTTGGCATATGGCAACACGGATGTGTAGGACGTCTTGTTGGATGTTGTCACACTCTTTGAATGTTGTTGAGTGTCATCCTTCAAAAGTGTGTTGTTGTTGGTTTGTTGTTGATTAAGTTGTTGTTGTGGTTGTTGTGCATACTTTCCACCAGAGTAGTTGATGGTAGGTGATTGATTACTAGTATCCACTGGACCCATTGTTGATTGATTGATTGATTAATAGATAGATAGATAATTGATTGATTGATTGATTAATTAAATAGTATATAAATATTATATAAATATAAGGCTATGTACTAAGGTTGTTGTTGTTGTTGCTATGTATAAGGTGTAGGTATGTATAAGGGGGTGTAATAGAGCTATAGCTGGATAACTCTTTGAATCAGAATAGATGCACACAAAGACTCAGAGGTGATTGTGTGTTGAACCAAGTTGCGGGTATGTCTTCCGTAGAGGGTAAATATGTTGGATGAGATAGGTTAACCTTTATAAAGAGAGTGAAAGAGATGGAGAGAGATGGAGAGAAAGAGAGATATGTTAGTACGTGATCATCATTAGCATCATCTTAAGAGTAACAACGATATGATGAGTGTAGATTATAGATGGTGATTGACATATTGGATGATGATGATGATGAGGGTCGTTGTAAACATTATAATGGTTACTACATACTAGTATTGCTACATATTAATAAGATCTTTAATATATATGTTAAATGTGCACAAAGAGTGTTGACCAATTGTTTACACAATGACTTGATGAGTTGATGTCGACTAAACGAAGGCAAAGAAAGCCAACTCTCTAAAACCAAACATCAAAACAACGCACAAATAGTGCAAAGGAAAGAGTAGTTCACACGCACCAACGGGCGATGACTAACTTTAGTGAGTGAGAGAGTGAGAGCGAGCCATCGGCATGAAAACCTGGGTCAAAGTGAGTGATGTTGGTTGGTTTGGTGCTGAAAAATAAAATAAATATAAAAACGAACAAAATAGTCATGTGAGATCACAAGGGGTTGATTGGGAACGCAGGAGGAGCTTTGTGTGTTTTAAGTCCCTGATGGGTCCATAATCGATTCGCGGTGGTGGTTGTGTGTGGAGAAGGGTATGAACTTACTTGGTCAACAATGGACTGACTGACTAGTGACTAATTGATGATGTGTTAAGATGATGGGTGTGTATCTGTAGTGTTACTGTGGCACATGATCGTGTTAGTGTCGGTAACATCAGCCAGCCATCCAGTCGTGATTTAGTATGGCCATACTACCATTGCCGACGTCAGTAGTGGACCACTACTACAAACATACTTACTTGAACTGGAAAGGAAATCAAAGTCTAATAGTAGATTGGTATTAGACTGGTGAAGCGGATGACGCAAGATTTGTACCTTGTTGTTGAGTTGGATCGATGGATGATGTGGTTGGTTGTGATTGAAGATTGAAATGGATCGGTGTAGTGAGAGGTTATTTACAAAGATGACTATAAACAATAAGGCAAATGTGTCTATTTACAAACTACTGATTGATTGCAGCAGTGATGCCAGTGTGTTTATATGTGTGTTGGATAGATAGGTATGTATAACAACGAGTGGTAAACAATAAAGTGAAGTTGACTTGACTGACTGATTAGTTGATGATGATGATCATTTGGTGATCTGATCGTCAAGTGTTAAATAGTCAATCATTGACTATGATATTATTATTAACATCACCTACTATTATTATTATTATTATTATTGATCGTGGTACTCAATAGTCCTCCCTGCCCCACATTCCCACACCTGGTTCAACACTCGGCTGGAACATTTAAAGAAAAGTTGATCGAATAGTGTTTTAGTCAGTAGAAGAGTCGAATTACTAATCAAAATGAGTTTGGGCGATGTGATGTGTGTATCGATTGGTCTACACTCCCACTCATTATCGATGCTTAATATAAATTGAAGTGATTGTGGTGATGATCATATCAGCAAGCGTGTTGGCAACTCTCCATTATGGGCAGCAAAGACACTAAAAAATCAATAGGATACCCCCGACACAAACAATAAATTGGATAAAAATTATATCTTTTTACATTCCTATGTTTGCTTCCAGTCCTATGGACCTGGGCTGACTCGGCCAAACGAACCCAATTGTTTACCATCATGTTAGATGTGACTATTCTCTAACTACTTCCATCTACCTTTCAACTAGCTATCACCGTAGTAAACTTCGTCGATTACATTTTCGTGTTACCTTTCTCAGCCCGATGTACACCCATCCCTTCCCCAATCAGAACCATTCATTTCGTCCGTCCCCAAGTTCACCAATGCACCACTTTATCTGGGGAACTCAAGACTAAGAATAGTGTTTCATACTATGATCGTCATTTATTTAAATTTCCAACCTTTTAACAAGATCATAGTTCATTCAATCACTCAGTATTTATTATGATGGCCTTTATTCTCTCACCAATCAAACATTAATCAGATCCTTGTTGAAGATGAAAGTTCGATTATGATTGTGGGGGGGGTTTTTTTTGATTAACTGTCACCTTGACACCCATCAACAACAAGCAAACAGATTAGAGTGAGAGTCAAATTGTAATAGTGTCATTGTTGTACAACAACAAACAATTATTTATTTATTGAGATAGAGAGGGAAGAACTATCAACAACATCATCAACATCATCAACATCATTAACAACAACAAACAGATTAATAACACACAACAACAACAACACGACGATGACATTAAATCTTAGCGCACATTATGACACTTTGTGCAATATGGTAATACGTCCACCAAGATGTCAATATACAGAGAATGATATGGGTCCAAAGTCATTCAGAATTGGTGGTCTGTCTTTTGTTCGCAATGACTTTGAGGTATGCATTGGACTGTTATCTTGTAGAATGACATAACCCTAACACAGCTCCTCATCCTTACTACTGATGCTGTCAACACAGTTAATCAATGTTAGAGGTCTATCGATAAAGTGTAGTCATTTTAAACCTGCAGAGTATTGGACGAACGGAAAGTAAGATTGGTTTGATTGAATGATTGATCGATTGAATGAATGATTGACATACTTATGAATGAATCAATCAACAAATAGACAATTACCATGCGTTATATATTGTCATGGTAATAGTGGATGCAGGTTAGATTCATTGGAATGTGTTCGAACTCTACTTCCAATCAATATAACAGTTATGGCATTGGACTTTACAGGATCAGGCTTGAGCGATGGTGAGTACGTATCGCTTGGCTACTATGAGAAGGAGGACATCTCCACTGTGGTCAAGCATCTGCGAGAGACGGGCAAGATCTCAACCATTGGCCTATGGGGTCGGTCGATGGGTGCTGTCACCTCGATCCTCTACGCCAAAGAGGACCCGTCCATCGCTGGCATGGTACTGGACAGTCCATTCTGCAATCTCTACAAGGTGGCCGAGGAGTTGGTGCACTCCAACGTTCAAAAGATGCCCAAACTCATGATATCGCTGGGTCTCAAGATGATCAGGAGTTCAATCAAGAAGCGTGCTCACTTTGATATCAAGGACCTGGACATCACACCGACCACTGAGCAAGTCTTCATTCCTGCCCTCTTTGCACATGGAAAGGATGATGACTTTGTCAAGCCACATCATTCTGAGAAACTGTATGTTGTTGAAGTAGTCAATCACTCAATCATCCATTGATTCAATCACTGACACTTGGTCTGTCAATCAATCATAGGTATGAGAAGTATCAAGGAGACAAGAATCGTCTACTTTTGGAAGGTGATCACAATAGTGAGCGACCTCATTTCTTCTTTGAATCAGTCTGTATATTCTTTGTAAACACACTCAAGCCAGATCCAATCGATGTCAACTATAATAGTATGTAATCATCAATAATCCAATACTGACTGACCGACAGACTGACTGACCTCTCTGAACATTGTAGATCAATCCAAACAACCACAACACCAACAACAACAGTAGGTTAATCAACTACCATGTCACCAACAGCAGTGATGAATACTAACAACACCTTGACTAACAATCAATTATTAGGATATTCTATGAAGACGAGGAGGATTTGATGTATGAAGAGGAGCAGCTGAGGAAAGCTATACTTCTATCAATACAAGAGCCAAGCTTTGTAGAGTCTCAATGTAATCAAGCAGCAGAGAGTATTACATCACATACACAGACACAAACACAGACACAGACAGAGACACATACACAAACAAATGGACATTCACATAACAACAGCAATGGACATTCACAGAACAACAACGGACATTCAGAGCAGGTGATGGAGAGGAATGAACTGCCACCATCAATGGAGAACACCTCACCAACGAACAGCACAACAAGTAGTACGGACTCACCGTACAGACTGTAATATAGCATAGTATTATTATTAGTAAAGCCATGGCCTACTGGCATGGTCGAATCAGGTTAGTTTATTATTCCAAAAAGAGGTTGTTTAAACACCGCTGCTTAAACAGCTAGCTGGTTGGTTGGAGGAGGTGCTGCCACACATACACAAGCGCACAGTGGGGAGGTAGGAGGGAGGGAGGGGAAAGGGAGCCAAGTCCTTCTTGACAAGGTCTCTCATCTTACACCTCGCTGTATCTGGTTGAGGACTTGCTGAACAATGGAGTACTCTCACTGTCCATACTACGCTCAACTTGTGCATTCTTGATTGGGATCAATCTCAACAAGAATCCAAGTGGCAATGACATCACTCCAGTCAGGACACAAATGCCCCACTCTGCAATGCTCAACTTTACTGTGGCAGTGGCTTCTCCTCCAAAGGTGACAAAGACAATCTGAATGCCAATCGTCACGAACCAAATGATGATGAACAATGGGTTGTTAAAGATGTGCTTGAAGATGTTGAGAGCTACGTAGTGTGCGGGTCATTAAGTTAGTCATATGCTCTGGGTATGTTAATTGAACAGCAACCACTTACAGTTTCCAAGTACACGTGAGTTGATCTCGTTAAAGAGTTGGAGGAATACAAAGGTGTTGAATATCATGGTGTAGTGCTCTACTCCATTATCTGGCATATCTGTTCCTAGGATGTTGTTGTAGAACTCGGCACCACGGTACAACAGGAAGAATTGAACACAGAGCTGGAAGGCAGCCTGACCGAGGATGTCACGCCACATGGTACGGGAGATGAGTGGTGCATCCTTTCCACGTGGTGGACGGTCGAGCAGACCCTCGTGGGGTGGGTCGGTGGCCAGTGCCAGAGCGGCCAACGTGTCCATGATGAGGTTGACCCAGAGCAACTGGATAACAGTAAGAGGTGACTCACCATTGCCAGAGATGTTACCAACGAGTGCAACAATCACGGCTACAATGTTGATGGTGAGCTGGAACTGCAAGAATTTACAGATGGAGTCGTAGATGTTTCTGCCCCAGAGCAGGGCACGGACAATCGAGGCAAAGTTATCATCTAGCAAGACAACGTCAGAAGCGGCAATGGCCACTTCGGTACCAGTGACACCCATTGAGAATCCGACATGTGCCATCTTGAGGGCGGGACCATCGTTGGTACCATCTCCAGTGACGGCAACAATTTCACCAGCCTCCTTCAAACGCTCGACCAATCTTCTCTTGTCCAATGGCGAGGAACGGGCCAACACCTGGAGACGAGGAAGCACTCTGTCAATCTCGTCGTTGGTCATTCTCTGGAACTCTGGTCCCTCGAGGCACACACCATTGCTGGAGAGGATACCACACTTCTTGGCAATGTTCTGTGCAGTGATGAGGTTGTCTCCAGTGACCATGCGAACAATGACACCGGCTCTCTTGAACTGTGCAACAGCGTGTGGCACCTCTGGTCTGATTGGGTCACGGATGCCGACCACACCAATGAAACACAAGTTCTGGCTTGGCTCATCAGCGCTCTCGAGGTCAATCTGACTGAGGTCAAAGTCGCTGTAGGCCAGACCAATGGTTCTCAAAGTGTCAGTGGCGAATCTGTTGATTGTGTCCTCATAGATGCGACGGGCATCGTTGCCCATCTGTTGAACGTTGCCATTCTCATCAAAGTAGGTGGAGCAACGACCGAGGATGATCTCAGAAGCACCCTTGACGTAGAGTCTGTAGCGACCGTTGCCCAACTCGACTAGAACGGCCATGCGCTTGCGAGTCGATGTGAATGGATAGAGCTTCTTGATGTTGGAAGTACTACGGATCGTTTGGTAGTCAGCTCCAAAGAGCTGAACAAACTTCAAAAGTGCACACTCTGTCTTGCTACCAATGAACTCTGTGCGGCCAGTGGTTGAGACACCCTCGTAGGCGTTGGAGTTGAGACAGATACCATCAACAATGATTGAGTGAAGTTGAGCTGGAATGTTGTGCTTGACGTTGTGGTCAACGTTCTCAAAGAGCTTGGAGATATGTCCAGCCACAACAGTCATCTGGTTGGTGGTGAGTGTGCCAGTCTTGTCTGAACAGATGGTGGTGGCACCTCCCATAGTCTCACACGACGCCATGTTACGCACGAGATTGTTCTCCTTGTACATCTTGAGCATACCATAGGCCAGAGCGACAGTGACGGCCAGTGGCAGACCCTCTGGTACGGCGACCACAACGATGGTGATGGCTGACACGACGATCTTGGTAATATCACTAAGACACTCTGTGGTAATTGGGATATCGTCAACCTTAAGCTGGAGGAAATACTTGGGGATGACGATGAGCAGCAACAAAACGGCAGCACCCAGACCAAACTTTCCGATCCTGTCGGCAAGCTCTCCAAGCTTCTCCTGCAATGGGGTGTCCTCGGTCTCAGTGCGAAGAGACATGAGGATCTTGCCATTGATTGAGTTGACACCTACGGCGGTGACCATCATCTTGCCAAAGCCCTCCTGGACAATGGTACCAGAGATGAAGAGTGGGTCAAAGCCCTGGCTGTCATGACCCTTCTTGATTGGGTTAGACTCACCAGTAATGGAGGATTCGTCACAGACAATGGAGTGGCCGTCAATGAACACACCATCGGTGCATACAATATCACCAGTGTCCACCATCAGGACATCACCGACCAACAGGTTGAATACCGAGATAACACATTGCTCACCGGCACGCACCACCTTGACCTGGCGATCCGATGACTTCTTGTTGAGGTCCTGGAAACGTTGTTGGTTCTTGAAGTTGTTGATTGAAGTGACGATTGTAACGATGATCACAGCGAATAGGATGGCCACACCCTCAATCCATCCAGTCTTGGGGTTCTCCGAGGTGTACTTGATTGAGCCCAAGATAATGGAGACCACGGCAGCAATGATCAGGATGATCAAAGTCTCATCCTTGAGCGTATCTTTCATGATGGTAAACAACGAGTCCATGGGAGGATCGGGCAGAACGTTTTTTCCAAACCTGGATTCGTTTGTTTGATCAAGAAAGAGAAAGGTGTGTGGGGTCTGTTGAGCAAAAGGTCACGAGGCAAATGATCGTTTGCTTGTTTGGCGCACTGACACTTAAGCAAGTGCACGCCAACATATATTATATATATAGTATGATGTCCTTACGTTTCAGCTCTTGATGACAATGCATTGGCATTCTTCTGCAAACCATCGGTGGTTGAAGATCGCAACTTTTGTGCCAGTCCATTCACACCGCCAATTGCCTCCAGTTGCTTTGGATCCTTTGGCAAATTGACTAGGTCCTGCAGGTCATTGCCATTGATGTCGTACACCTCATGAAGACCATAGTCCTCAACATGTGATATTATGATTGACATTGTTTGTTTGTTTGATTGTTGTTGTCCTGCTTCTAACCTTGGGTGATGATTACTTCACCAACAACAAACAAATGTTTCCAAAACAAGATAATGGATAAAGAGATAGATAGATAAAGAGATAAAGGATAGGAATTGAGTTGAGTAGTTGTATTGAGCTATTTCAGGAGGAACACTGAACCAGGATCTGTGACAGGAGTCTGAAACTCGAAGAAGTATCATTGGATATGTGCAATCTGCCGGCTGGCCGGTAATGACATGAGCAACAACATCATTGAACAAGGGCATCTGCATCAACAAGAGCCATACTCCAGGATGGAATAACAAAAATCTATCTTGATTCGGACAAGGTTGTTCATTCTCTCACTCCTGAGCTCGACACAAAGTTGTGTCAAGTCAAGGTGTCTAGCATTGTGTTCGGCGGACGCGAACCTTTATCAAATATCACAATCAATTGGACCTGCACCATCAGGTCGCCCGAATTTTAACATCAAACATGTATTAATGAATTCACCCACAATGTTTGATTGTGGAGCCCGCAACAATGGTGACAGGGATGATCCTTCCAGACGGGTGTAGGCGCCCATCTACGTACATGTAAAAGGTTATGGGAAGTTTCAGGTCAATGTCCGATCAAGTATTTGCTTGATTGTTTGATTGGTTGGATGGTTGGTATTATAGATGGATTGATGGATGAATGGTGTACAAGTAGCTTTTAATTGTTGTTGTAATAAGTTGTTCAGATGGTAGTAGTAGTGGTAGTCCATTAGTCCATAGTCCATAAACAAAAGACACATTGATATCGACAACTCTCATGTCCACACACCACCTACAACTTCATGTTCCTGCCCTCAACACTGAGGTTGTGAGCGCGTGGATTGCCTTTGTAGGTCTGTCGCATGATCTTCTTCTCAATCTCCTTGTCAATCTTGCTGATGGTCCTTATTGTTGAACTGCTTTGATTGTCAGATCCCTTCTCATCCAATCCCTTTGGCTTCTTTGTGTAGTTCAACTGTGCTCTTGGGATGGATATCGCATGCTTAATGTGTGCAGGTAGATAGTCATCCTTGGTGAACCTATAAACATCATATGTTAGTGAATGGATCAATAACAACAACCTTTTGTTACGGACCAACAACTTACTTCTTTGTCAGGCCATCTTCGGTCTGCTTGTGCAGCTGGTCAGGGTCGATTTGGACCTCGTTGTGAGAGTCATCACGATACTGGACGGGCGCAGTCCATTTGTGAACGACGTCGTAGGCCATCTTCTTGATGGGAGGGGTCTCATTCTCAGCGCTCTTGATGGCCATGACGATCTTGCCAATGCCACTCCTCTTGATCTTGTCGCGATTCACTGGCAACGTGGCCAGGATCTTTAGCAGGGAGGTCTTGATGCGGATGTTGGGCATCGATCCGTCGGGCAAAGGCTCCAACCACGAGGTGATCACAGAGTAGATGTCGGGTGTGAGCAACGTCATCGTCTCGTGGCAACTGAGTCTTGCCAAGTGCCGACTCCACCTCTGGCAGCAGCTTAATCTTGCTGACGGCTGGCATGTGTCGCTTGTTGTCAACGGCGTCCTGGTAGGCGGCGTTGCTCATCTTGTCCAGGATGTCCTTGCTCATGTCGAATTTCTGTCCCTCGGACAGCTCCTTGGCACGAGTACGCTTAAGAGTCATCAACGCGTGATCCAGGGGATTGATCTCCTCCTTGAAGTTGCTGACGTCGTCGCCACTGCCACCGTCGAGCCTGCCACCCTTGGACTTGCTCTTGTTCTTCTTGCTTCTTCTTGTTCTTCCTGTCCGAGTCGTCCTGGTCGTCGTCCTGCTCCTCCTCATTGTCATCGTCGCCACGTGACTTTCTCTTCTTCTTCCTTTCCTTCTTGTCCTTCTTGTCCTTCTTGCTCTTCTTCTTCTTCTTCTTTTTCTTGTCCTCCTCTGAGCTCTCCTCCTGATCGACCATGTCATCGTCGAGACCGTTTTCGTTTGGTTGGTAATCTGTGTCTTTGTCCTTTTTGTTAGAGTCGTCGCCATCGATGTCCATGTCTGGATCCTCCTCTTCAGCATCCGTCTGTCTGACGATCTTGGCCTTGACCCTTCTTGTCCTCGATAGTCTAGTGAAGCCTGACTTTTCATCCTTGTTTGCTGAGGTTGACTCTTGACCACCCTCGTTGCCATCTTCACCGAATATATCATCGACTGCCTCACCCTCTACTCCTTCTTTGTTGTTGTCCTTGTCAGCAGCATCATCCTCTTGCTCCTCCTCTGCATCTTCATCATCACCAGACTTGCTCTTTCTCCTCTTCTCCTTCCTCTCTTTCTTTCTTTGTCTTCTCTCCCTCCTTTCCTTCTTGTCCTTCTTTCTGCTGCTCTTCTTTTGCTTATCTTCATCATCCTCCTCTTCCTCCTCCTCCTCAACTGCATCCTTATCCTCCTTATCATCCTCTACCTCAGCGACAGTATCAGCAGCTACTTCAGTTGATTGTTCTGTGGCCGTGACCTCATTATCTTCAGTTGGCTGTTCCTCTGTCACCTGATTTATATTATTATTGCTCTTGTCTTCATTTTGTTGATCATCACCATCATCATTGCTCTCTGATACAACAGTTGTAGTTGTAGTTGTATCACTCTGCTGCTCCTCCTCTTGTGATTGTTGCTGTTGATCATCCCCTTGTGACTTTGATTGAGCAGAGTTGTCATCGTCAACCATTGTTGTTGTTGTTGTTGTTGAGGTCACTGAAGCATCAACAACAACTTGCTCTTCAACTACTGCTGTGCTCTCCATCTCTATCTATATATTATATATGTTATAAATATATAAGTATATAAGTAATAACAAGTTGTTTGCTGAGACAACTAATGAATGAACCCACCCCGATTAATTAACTTTTGCAACTGTCGACGACACCACACAACCTTTAAGATCAGTTTCTGGATCGAGTGTGTTGGTCTGTCACGTGATCGTTTCAAACTCAGGTACATGAGTGGACATCTCTAATCTATCTATCTATCTGGAGCACTTGACATGTTTATATAATATATTACACCATTTCCTTAAACTTCTTGATCGCATTTGCTATCTTATTATTTCTGTCCTTTTGCTCCTTGGGCGTTGTAAAGCCTTTGGACTCTTCTTTATACCTGTTGTTGGATGGTCAGTACGGTCCACAGCTCACTGTTTGTAATCAATGTTATAACATACTTTTGGAACAATATTATGAGGTCATGGATATTGGTGATCAGATTGTAATGTTTGGCCCTGATCTTGATATCTCCAAACTCCTCTGGATTCTCAGCCAGAAGTAGGTTGACAGTTTGTCTCAACTCGTAGAATGATCCAACCAGATCTCTGCTGGACGTTGCCGTCCTCTCCTTCTCATCGGCCTTTCTCCTGGCAAACTCCTCGATCTGCTTCAAATCGGCGTTGAAGCACTTGACACCACTCATATTAAACTTCTTCAAAGAGTCGCTATGTATCATTGTCGTCAACAGCTCCGATATCCTCTTGAATGCCTTTGTAATAAAGTCCTCACGTAGTTGTGGAGACAGTGGCTGTACAAATGGCAATGTGAACTCGAGGTATGTTACAACATCTAAATATTTGATTGATAGATTGAGTTAGTGGAATGGTTCCAGGTTGAGTGAGCGGTGAGTATCACTTTACCTTCAATGTAGTCTCTTGGACGATCATCTGATGCAACTGGTGACCAGTTGATGTTGGCTGATGATGACATGAGATCATCAATCTTGCGCTCACATAGTGCTATGATGTGCTTCTCACCTAGACCCTTGGTGGTGTAGAGTAGGTTGGATGATGACAGTGCTACCCTGTTCGATGAGGTGAGATTGACATCTGCAGTCTTGTTGTCGCCCAGAATCAATGAGTTGAGATAGTCCTTGAAGAACTGACAGGCCACCAACAGATGCTTGAGATTTACCACCAGCTGAATCACCTGTGGCACAGCGCTGGACATTGTGAGGAAGTTGTATAGTGTATCGTTGATCTTTCTGATGAGTGTGTCTGTCGATCGGATGATAAAGTCCTCGTTCTCGCTCAGCTGTGATGTAAACTCGTAGAACTCTGATATGAATCGCTTGAGTAACGTGTAGAACTGGGGCACCAGCTTGGAGAATGGGAATGCCTTGGGCAGCATCTTGGCCAGGGATTCGTCGTCCACGGCGGGAGTCTGTTGCTGCTCGTCATTGTCGTCGCTGTTGTCTGTCGATGTGCTCTTTCCAAAGTCTGGATCGAGATTGTTGGCCAGGATCAGATTGCGATACTCCTCTGGCGTCTCGACGTACAGTGTGACGTTGGACTCGGACTCGAGGATCTTGGTGAACATCTCCACACCCTCGACGATGGCGAACTGACAGTACTTCTCCTTCATCGTGTCGAGCATGTAGAGTAGCGGTTGCACGTGGTAGCCATAGAGTGAGAGCGTGTTGGTGAAGACCAGCACGAACTTCTTGAATGAGATGAGCGAGCGTGTGTCGTGACAGTGCGTGAACAGCTCCTGCAGCACCGATGTGATCTTGACCAAAGCAGTGTTCCAGCACTCATTAATGGCAGTCTTTGAGAGATGTGGATGGGTGGTGTCGATCACCATGCTCTCCACCATGAAGTAGCCTGCAATCTGTTGCAGGAATGACTCCCATACCTGTCCATGCTCCTTTGGTTGAATGACCATCTGGAACTGCAGCATACGATTGAGTGTGTAGTATCCCTGGAACTCCTCCATCAGTCCCAGACTACTGTAAATGAACAGACATTGATACAATGGATGGAAGTCAATGTTGACCTCATCAAAAGGTGAGCCTATAAGGTGATAGATTGATTGATTGATCGGTCAATACCAATTGTGCACTCCCAAGGTGTGTATGACTTACGCATTATAAGATCATCCTTCTCTATGTCACTATAGCTGACGAATGATGGTGAGCCTATTTGCTGATTTGGTGACAGTAGTCCAATGGCACTAGTGTTGTCCTTGGATGGAAGTCCAAGGATTCTATCCCAAACTGCCTCGCTCTCTCCAAATGATGTCCTCATCTTTAGTGGATTGATCTCTCTCTCTTTCTCCAATCGTTTGGCCGATTGAATCATACCAAATCTACCAATCTTTGCTGATCTCTCCTTGATACTGTTTATGATGATTGAGTGTCAGTGCGTGTGAGTATCATCGACTTGGTCCAAAGTGATCTGATCGAATACATACTCGACCATCCATGTATTGAACTCATCCTTTACAAGCTTCTTGATGTTCTCCTTGATGATAGGAATGTTGGCGTCTATTGGAGCGTGTAAGTATGTATGAGTGGACGATCAATCAATCAATCAAACAAATACTTACCCATGTTCCTTGCGAATTGGAAGTCGGCCAGTCTCTTTAGATAGACGTTGTGTAACTGATCCATATGTTTGATGGCATGGTAGTATCTCTTGTTCTTGACGTACTCCTCGATCTTCATACCCAACTGTATGGCATACTGACAGTTGTTCAATATCTCCTTTGTCTTGCGTATGTTGTCTTTGGTGCGCTTGCATGCCAACATCTCCTCGGCCTTGGTCACATATCTGCCACCAATCTCCTGTATCTCATAGTTTAGATGTATGACTGATTGCTTCAGAGCCAGGTTATCCTGCTTGAGACTGAGGAATGATGTGACTGAGTTGATGAAGCCTTCATGGTTGTCACCACAGATCTTCTCAATGTCGCGCTCCTTGTTGCCAATGTACTCGTTGAGACTGTCAATGACATCGTTCTGCTTGCCCAGCTCAAAGACCGACTTGATGGCTGGGCCCAAGTGATCAGTGTCTGTGAGGGCGATCAAGAAATTCTCTGATGAGAAGGCCTCTCCATCCATGTACAACCTCGATGCGGCAGCTGCCGACTCGCTCGAAGATTGATTGGCAGCCTTGTTTGAGACGCTCAGGTTGATGTTGAGCTCCTTGCCCGAGGCGGCAGCCTCTGCGCGTCCAGTGGATGTGGTGAGCGAGCCTCCAAGACCGAGCGGGCCAGTGCGATCGAGTGAGCTTGACAGATCACTTATAGAGTCTGTGTCATCTGTGTCTGTGTCATCGACACTCAGGTCGCTGTTTGATCTCTCACGTCCGCCCTTCCTATCCTTTGAAGCCTGTTTCTTCTCAAGCTTTGCCAGTGCTCTTGCCTCCTTTGCGGCTCTCCTATCCTGTCTCTCCTTCTCCTTCCTCTCTATCTTTTCTCTATCTTTCTCACGTTTCTCATCTTTCTCTTTCTCCTTCTTCTCTTTCTTTAGATCTACTTTGGTTGGTGTCGTCGTTGACGTTGGTGTTGGTGGTGCAGCTGTAGCCGACTTGTCTTTAGATGGTTGATCTGACTTCTTAAACATCCTCTTCTCTCTGTATGTATCTATATGTTCATGTTGCACAAAGTGTTTGATTGATTGAATGATAGGTGTGAAGATCCCAGGCTTCAAAACACTTTCGAACTCCAACAACAAAGCTAAAGAGATAATAAGAATGTTCAAACATGGAACAATGATAAGACCATTAATGTTGATTGGTCAACAACAACATTATACACCATCAATCAATAGACTTGTTGTTGGTATTACATCAACAACACAAAGATATTATAGCAAGTCCCAACATGAGTTCACAAAGAGGAGTTCATTCACTCATAAACAAGATGTTACCAATATGAAGAAGAGAGAGGAGAGAAAGGAATCTGCACAGAGACATGGTGATGATGATAGTGTCCAAGAAGAAACAACAACTGAACTTGCACAACAGAAACAGACAAAGAAGAAACAGACAACAAAGAAGACAAGCAAGATTGAAAAGGAAGAGGCCATTGAGGAGTTGGACGAGGACGATGATGATGACTTTGATGAATCAATGATCGATACAAAGAGTGTACTGGAGGGTATCGACCTGAAAACCCTGCCAACAAAGGTGATCGAGCTCACTGAAGAGATGGCTACCACCCTGCCAAAGGATGCCAAGGGTCGTGTCGAGATGCCCGACTTTATCTCCTTCGAGGATGCCAAGCGCTTTGGATTCAGTAAAGCTGACCTTAAGGAGATTGAAGATGAGCCCAAGCCACCAAAGGAACCAAAGGAGCCAAGGGAGCCACGAAGCAAGAAGCTGAGGAACAACAATGAAGATGAGGAAGACTCAACAACAGACGAGAAGAAGAAGAAGAAGACTAGCGATCGTAATAAGAATAACGAGGATGACGACAAGAAGGCAAAGCCAACAAAGGCGAGGCCAGCTTCATCGGACTACTTAAAGAATAAGAACACAATCAAGTTCTAAGACCTTACAGCCTTCGTCTAGACTATCCAATTAGTCCCCGAGTAGTTTACTTTACATCTCACATATCACCTGTCATCAATCATAATCATGAGGGCGCTGTTGCTGATGTGGTTGTTGTCGTCGTCGACGTTGAGTTTGGTGGTGGTACCGATGTAGAGGCGGCAGATGATGTGGTAGTTGTTGATGTCGCTGCTGCTGATGATGCGGAAGTAGTTGCTGTGTTGGTGGCCGCTGATGTCTGTTGCTGCTGCTGTTGTGGATGGGCAGTGGCATGCTTCTTGTTCTGAGTCAGTATGGACTTTCTCATCAGCTGCAGTCGCAGTTTGTGATTCTCTGGTATGTTCTGCTTCTTGTATGACTTGCCGCCACCATCGGGCACAGCAAAGCCTGGCACTCTAATATTCCAATTCCTCTCCAGGTGACACTGAAGATCCTTCACCTCCAGTGAGTTTGAGTTGCGATGCTTGGCCAGTGTGCAAGCAAATGATACGACAGACTCTACAAAGTCATCGGCCAATACAGACAATATCTACAAAAGGAGAATGTTAGATTCCTGATTGACTGATCATGACTCTATAACATACCTCTTCTACTTCTTCATCCATCCTCTCAGTGGCTGATATCTGATTCAGCAGCTCACTCAGCTTTCTCTTGCCCAGTATCTCTTGCTCGAAGTCCTTCATACCCTCCTTCTCCTTGAGCTCACGCTCCTTGGCCGCCTCCTTCTCTTTGGCTGCCTCCTTTTCGCGCTCCTTTGCCTCTCTCTCCCTCTCTCTTCGCTCTTTATCACGCTCTCTGCGATCCTTGTCTCTCTGTGCTTTCTCCTCTGATGATGTCTTTGATGATGATGATGATTTATCCTCGCTCTTTGATGATTTATCCTCGCTCTTTGATGACGATTTCTCCTCACTCCTGGTTGATGTTGTGGTCATTGAAGTTGTTACTGATGGTGCAGGTGTCTGTGTAGTTGATGATGTAGAGGTCACATTCGCAGCAGATGTTGACATATCCATCGGTTGCACAGTTGATATTGGCATTGGTTGCATTGTGGGCACTGTCGTTGTCATTGGCATTGGCTGCATTGGGATCATGTTGCCCATTGGTGTAGCCACTACTCCTGTTGCTGCTGATGATGTCGTCGCTGCTGGCGGTGTCGATACTGCTGTTGGTGTCGTCACTACTCCTGTTGCTGCTGCTGTCGTTGTAGTAGGTGTGGCCACCTTTGTCATTATTGGTGGAGTTGATGGATTGAGACTGCCCAGCGACAGATTAGCACCGGCCAGTCCAGAGATGGGTGGTGTATTTGTAGCACCCTGTGGCGGGGATGAGAACAGACCACCCATCGAAGAGTTCTTCCTGAACAACGAGTCAACAGCCTGTTCGATCGATGTAGTAGGAGGTGTAGCCACTGTAGGTGGTGAAGCTGGTGCTTTATTCAGCACCGGTGTCGATGCATTGCCTGCTGGTGATGACATTATAACTAAATTAACATATATATAATAGTAATATCTATCTACAGTTGATTGATTGAAGATCACAAACTGAATGTATACAGATAATCTAACTGTATATGTGTGTTTGTGAGTTGGCGCGAAGTCAAATGAAGATGCAAAATGATCTGTGTGGTTTGATGAACTTTTGTTGACGAGTTGATGACCTCTATGTCCTGATGATAAGACAGGGCATCACTCAATCAATCAGTGTCAGATCATTAACATATAGATACGAACATACACAGACAGACAGTTAACTATGTTTGCCATCACTCGTCAAGGTGTCAGCAGACATAGTGTCAGATCATTGATGTTGATCAGATACCCATCAATCACGAATCATGGATCATGTTCAAACTTGTTGATCAATCATAACATCAACAATAATAACTCTTCAATTAGTGGACAAAGATATATTCATTCTCATTCGAATGATCATAATCACTCACTCACTTGTAGTGATCCACATCATGTCACTGCTTCAAGACATTACTCAAACAACAGCAACAACAACAATATGGTTGAGGTCACACTTCCAGATGGACGAAAGATAGAATGTGATCCCGCTACAACTACACCATACTCAGTGGCTCGTTCGATATCAAAGGGATTGGCTAGTCGTGTGGTGGTCGCTCTGGTCAATGGTCAATTGTCCGCCATCAACAAGCCAATCAAAGACATCTCCTCATTGACATTGCTCGACTTTGACAATGATGATGCCAAGCGATGCTTCTGGTGGACAACATCCATCATCATGGCAAGATCAGCGCTCATCCACTTTGGTGAAGGTGCCATTGTCACTGCTCACACCAGCACACTCACCAACAATGCACTTCACGATGGCTGTCACATTGACATGTACCTTCCCGCAGACAGGACCATTAACGAGGCCGACATCAAGAGCATCCACACCATCATGTCCAAGCTTATCCAATCAGACAAACCATTCACAACACGTCAATTGACCATTCAAGAGGCACTCAATATGTTCAAAGTATGTTGGTCGATTGATTGATGGAATAGTTCCATCCAGATACTAATCCACATCCAACAAACAGGATAACATATACTACACTCAACAATTGAATACAATGATGGAGGATGGAAAGAAACATGAATATGTTAATGTCGTTGACTTTGATGGCTTTGTGACTTTGGATGTTGGACTCCCCACAATGCCATCCAGTGGCCATATCAAGGCCTTTGACTTGGTGCGTAATTCTAGTGTTGTCGGAACCATACCAACCATGGCATCACTGCAACGTTTGGTCGGCGTGTCATTCCCCGACAAAGAACAGATGACTGCGTGGAAAGACCTCCAACACCAGGCCGCACAACTTGACCATCGACACATTGGACGCGACCAACAGCTGTTCTTCTTCCACCCCTACAGCCCAGGCTCCTGCTTCTTCCTGCCACTTGGCACGCGCATATACAACCGCCTTCACTCATTCCTGCGCAGTGAGTATCGCAAGCGCGGCTACGAGGAGGTGATCACGCCCAACATCTACAGTCAACGTCTGTGGGAGACCTCTGGACATTGGCAGAACTACAAGGACAACATGTTCTCATTCCAATGCGACCACACCAACTACTCGCTCAAGCCAATGAACTGTCCAGGCCACTGTCTTATGTTCTCACATCGCGCCCGCTCCTACAAGGAGCTGCCACTGCGCATTGCCGACTTTGGCGTGTTGCATCGTAATGAGACGCATGGCTCGCTCACAGGACTCACACGTGTCCGTCGCTTCCAACAGGATGACGCCCATATCTTTTGCACGACTGCTCAGATACGCTCAGAGATCAAAGCCTGTCTGGACTTTATGCAGCATGTATATGGAATCTTTGGCTTCACCTTCTCGTTGGAGTTGTCTACGCGTCCAACACCATTCCTGGGTGATGTTGCCGTTTGGGACGCTGCCGAGCAGTCACTCGAGTCAGTACTCAACGAGTTTAGTCCGGGCGCCTGGCGCATGAACCCAGGCGATGGCGCCTTCTACGGCCCCAAGATCGACATCCACATAAAGGATGCCAATGGAAAATCACATCAATGCGCCACGATCCAACTGGATTTCCAACTTCCCATTAGATTCAAACTAGAGTATGCCAGTGAACAGGGTGTTGCTGAGAGACCCGTGATGGTACATCGAGCAATCTTTGGCTCGACCGAACGTATGATGGCAATCCTCATCGAGCATACCAAGGGCAAGTGGCCATTCTGGATATCACCACGACAGGTGTTTGTGGCGTCAGTGACCAGCGGACCATACGATCAATACGCACAGACCGTCCGAGACCGTCTATTCGACGCAGGCTATCACGTTGACATTGATGTATCAGACAAAACAATCAAGAAGAAGTTACGCGATGCCATCACCGATCGCTACAACTATATGATAGTGATAGGCAAGGAAGAGCAAGACAACCAGACCATTAGCATTCGTCACCGTGACACCAGTGAGCAAAAGACCTTGACCATTGACCAGTTCCTCATTGAGCTTAAGCATCAGACTGACAACTACCTCTGAGACCCTCGCGGTGAAGTGAGTGTTCTTGTGCAACCCTCAGATCTGTGGGTTTCCCAATTATTTCCTCACACACAACACCAATACATCGATGAAACTCGCTGTGTGTATTCAAATCCATTGAAGAAAGTTCGTTTGTCACACTTGAATTGAAAAAAACACAAACAATATTGTGTGAGCACTCTTCATCAATAGACGTTCATTTCAACAATACAACATTCATACAAATAATATTATTCCATACATACACATAATAACTAAGTTATTATTATTATTGTTATAGTTTCTACAATACAAACCATTACAAAAAAATAACAAAAACATATTAATCAATTAAACTAAATAATAATGGCAAAGCAACAACAACAAAATAACAACAACAAACAGTTCAATATACAACTACAGGACACGAATCGTGAGGCTGATAGCGATTTGGATGTAGTTGTCAAGAATACACCATTCTTGATCGTATTGAATGTGGTTGCCGGTGCAGACTTCTCATTCGATGCAAAGAGGTTCTCAAAGGATGATGTCAACCTGCAGTTGGTCTATGACGACAACACAGGTGCCGATAGCAACCAAGGTGTCACCTACAGAAAGACAAAGCCACTCGACTACAACGTCTACTTAAAGGATCGCTCAATGACAATCGAGACTCGTCTCCATGTCTTGTCGTCCAAGCACGAGAACAACTGTTTCAGAGTGTCAGTAGAGTTCAACGGTCACCGTCTTGTGACCAAGTCGATAAAGTGTGTGTCAAAGTTGGTGGTCGAGTCAAAGAAGAGGACCAAGAAGGTTCAGCAACCAGCCTCTTCACCATTGATGGTGCCCAACTCACCAGAGATGCAGGACATTGTCCCAGCCAAGACAAGCAACAAGAGAAAGTCCATGGAGACTGAGCCAGCCGTCTCAGAGACCATGTCCAAGAGCCTAAAGAAGCTCAAGTCTCAGCAGAAGAAGGATAGAGAGCTGATCACCTTGCTCTACAAGCAGAATGTCATGCTGCTCAACCAAGTCAACACCCTCACCAAGGGCCTCAACACACTCATCACCGTGCACAATGACACCTCCTCTTCAATGCCCTCCTCTCCATGCTCCCTCCCAATGTATTCGCCCTCATCACCAGCCGACTCATCGGTCGCCTCGGACGACATTGGCATCTTCCCTCACGTGCACACACCATCAATCGAGTCGTTCAGCCAGGATCAGTGCTCATTCAACTATGACGACAACAACAACATGGATGAAACCTGCCAACAACAGCACAACAACATCAACAACACATGCCTTCCAGTAGATAGCTATCAACAACAATCGCAATTGGTCGCCATCCCCACTGACTTCTCACTTTTTAATGAACAGGTAATGCCCGCATCCAATTATTCAGCAGTCACTGCTGATGATCATAGCGGATACACAGAGACTGCCTATAATACGCAACAGTTGAACACTTATTCACCATCTTCTTATTTAGATGTAAATCTAGATTTCAACAGCATCTCTGGCAGCTGTAATGCCACAATGTTCCCCAACGTCATGACCGAACTGTCCCGTGTCAACGATCTCTCCGTCTTCCAATGTTAAGCAAATCCCGCGCCCCGTCAAGACATCCCTCTGGCACACTGTACAGTATCCCCCACTCGCGCCAGTACCTCGTCCTTGCTTACCATGCACCACAAGGCAACCCAACCCCAACCCCAACCCCAAGCTCCAACCCAAACCCATAACTACCAACCTACCAAGACCGCCCGGATCCTTTGTCTATGGATGAATGTGGAATTCATACCAGAAGGTCATCCGACCAGTCCCAACTCTCCCCCGCTGTTAACCGTCCCCTGGCTCATCGTCAGCTGCGGCCGACTCTGCTGGCATTCAAATGCACACGCATATAATCGTCACGGGTAATGTGGTCATCCATTCATGCTCACTCGCACTTTAATGTTCAACTAAATTACCCAGTATATCTTAAGCACAGAGAATTAAACAAGCAACACAACTCAAGCTCCCCCAACGACAATGGGAGTTTGGTGGAGTATACATCACGTCCAGCGCGACACTTACTTCTAACCATACATCTCTCCCCAACAACCTCATAGTCCGGTTGTCCACGACCATCATCCTGGCCCAAAGCTCCCGTGCCCGCCCTGTCTCTTGCATGTACTTGCAATCTCTTTGTGTTAAGTTAGTTCCAATCTTGTTGACACCTTTGCACGACAAGTGATAACTGATCATACCCCTTCTTTCCCCACGCCCCTTGGTGCTAGTATCCTGACATCCCTCACTTGTCTTGGATATAATGACGCGTCACTTGCCGCCTCTCTCAAGGCGAACAATCATGGTGTGGAGTTCTGATGGATAGAGAATAGAGTGGAGTATATTGTGGTGGAGTATGAGTGGATAGTAGAGAGGTAAGAGGAGTTGGTGTTTGTTTGATTACTGTTGTTGTTATTGTTGTTAGTCATCAACACTCTGTTTAGTGTACATTGTAATAAATTATAATCATTTATCTTTACCTTAACAAGTCTCTTATTCTATTCTATTCTTTTAACCTGTTCTTCTCCCTGTAGCTAGGAGAAAGGGTTTGTTCATTTGGAAATCATGTATCATTTATTCGTCTTTATTATTACTTTGAATGAGTTAACAGTTGATTAACGAAGGTCGTTGATGTTTATCACTCCATTTGCGTCCTTGTCCAAGGCTAGGAATATTTGCTTCATGGCCATCATCGCTTGGTTGAATGGAACTCCTCCATCGGCAAGGGCGTTACACAACTCTTGTCTGTCAATCGTTCCATCCTTGTTGGCATCAACCTTGGCGAGCATTGCACCAAAGTTGGTCTTGAAGCTTTGAATCGTTCCCTGAACATCAGCAGCATTTAGAACCACAGGGGCTTGGGGAACGGCTGCTCTTTGGGGCTGGGGTTGGAACTGTGGCTGTTGGGGCTGGAATTGTTGTGGCTGTTGGGGGAATGCAGATGGATTCTGGCTGTAGAGTTGGATGTCAGTGAAGTTGATCACTCCATTGTTATCACGGTCGAGTGCAGTAAAGATCCTGTTGACCATCTGGTTGGCGACGTCATAGGGTGTGTTGGCACGAACAAGTACCTGGATCATCTCGTTCCTGTCGATCATGCCATCTTTGTTCAAGTCGGTGGTCTGGAGACTGGCTCCCCAGTTGGTAACAAAACCCTGGATCATCATGGTCTCGGTTTGAGACAAGCCCTGTTGGGGCTGGTAAGGCTGCTGTGGCTGTTGTGGCTGCTGAGGTTGTTGAGGGAATGCAGATGGGTTCTGGCTGTACTGTTGGATGTCGGTGAAGTTGATCACTCCATTGTTATCACGGTCGAGTGCTGCAAAGATCCTGTTGACCATCTGGCTGGCGACATCGTAGGGTGAGTTGGCGCGAACGAGTAACTGGATCATCTCATTTCTATCAATCATGCCATCTCTGTTCGTGTCGGTGGTTTGGAGACTGCCTCCCCAGTTGGTAACAAATCCTTGGATCATCATGGCCTCGGTTTGAGAAAGACCCTGTTGTGGCTGCTGAGGTTGGAAGGGCTGCTGGGGAGTAGGTACAAATGGAGGTCCTTGGCCTGGTGGGAGATATGCATAGTTCTGAAGGTAGTTGGTGATGTCGACTGCTCGGATGATATCGCCTGGCTGGTCAAGGGACAATTGGGCAAACAAATTGGTGGACACTTGGACTGCACGGTCTGCGGGGATGTTGGCACGGATGAGAGCCTGAGTAACCTCATTTCTGTCAAACACACCGTCACGGTTCATGTCAATCATCTCGATGGCAACTCCATAGGCTGCGAGGGTGGTGAAGATGAGTCCGGCATCGGCAATGGTCAAAGATCTGGATGCCCTCATCCTCTTTCTGTGCCATGGATCACTGTCGGTGGCAGGGTGGGGAATGTTGCGTGGCTCCACCCATCTGCACACAAGGTAGCCCGCGTTTCCGGTGCCAGCATACACCTTGCTACCATTATAGACTGGGTTCATGAAGACCTCACCTGGACTAGTCATGTCCTGGAATCGGCCATCCTCACGGACCTGGAAGCGGATTGGTTGCTTCTGCACGGATCTGTTGAACACGGTGACCATGTTGTCTGAACAATAGCGGTTGCTGTTATCCAGGCCGTTGATGTAGTGCTTCTTGCTGGTCTCCTTGTAGACCTTGTCAGGACTGACGTCGATGTTACCCTGCATTTCACGCTCGTACCAGCTGATACAGATGGTGTTGTCGTTGTTAACTTCAATGCATGGAGCAGAGGCCCAGTTGTAAGCCTTGTTACGGTCTCTTGGTATCTCATTGATCATCTCCAGGTAATTTCCAACCGTGGCCATCACTAGGTCTTTGATTTGGGGATCGTTGTTGTTGTACAAAGTAACATAGGTTGGCATCACCTCGGCAGAGTTGAACTTGCCCATCCAGTCTTGTAAGGAGGTCATTTTTTCTTTGATTGATTATTATCGATTGATTGATTGATTATATGATTGATTATGTATGTGACTCTGATTGATTGAGTGATTCAAGATCACTACTTTATGAGTATGTTCTGATCAGTTTAACGCTCTTCTGATCATTCATTCAATCAAATTACATCATTATCGCCCAACATCACTGATCACTTGCGATAATGAGCCCTGATCGATTAGTACAAACACGATTGGTCGACACCGATGGCACTCAGATCGATACATTTCTGCAAGACATTTAGACGAGGTGACTGTTCGACATTCAGACTCATGATTTGCGGCTGTTGGGTTAATGATTAGTCATGATCATGTTCCCAATGATTGGTGTGGACGAACTTGTGGGTGATTGTTGGGCACAACAGTTTGCAATCAGATTGAAAGTTTATAATGCAATATAATGTCTTCTTTTCCTGATCCTATTAACTATAATGAACACGATGAAGGAGATGGCAATGATGCCAACCATTGCTCCAACAACTATTCCAATCATCTTTTCGATTCGCTCACTTTTCTTTTTGCTCTTACACACTTGATCGTCATCACCATGAATCGAACACTGGTCAGTTGCTCCACATAACATCAGATTGTCATTATCACCATTGTTATCCACCACTTGTTTGAATGTAATGCTTCCTTGGCTACATTGGATCAGATTGTTTGATGTTGGACCTTGAACCTTATTGAACACAATGTTTGTGAGCAGCAGGTTTGAGTAGACATACAATAACATAGGTTCTTTAAAGTTGGTATTGTTGGTGAATGAACTTGTTGACAATACCAAGTTGGAGTAGGCACCCAATAACAAATGACCATCTTGTGACACTTGGTTATCATTGAATGTTGATCCATAGACTGTTACATTCGAAAAGTCAGTATAGATTAAATTTTCCATGTTGGTGTTGCCATCAAACATTGATCCAATAATATCCAACTCTACATAACTACATCTTATCAATGCATTTAAGTACACTGATGTCATATTGTTTAAACTGAATCTACTATATGATATGAATACAGCTGGTTGTTCATCATGATCCACAGTCTCCAATAATATAATATTATAATTAATTTGATTATTATAGAATGTTGTATTACTTATAAATAATCTAGAATAAATATAAGAGTATAATAAATATGATACTTGATTGTTTGTAAATGAAACACCATCAATATCCACATATGATTGAAAACTGCTTATAAGTGGTGATAGGCTACAAGAACAATTAGTTATCAATCCTCCTTTGATTGTCAAAGATGTCCTGTTGGACTTTACAGATATTAATGATGCAATCTTGTTAATATTAATAAAACTAAAGTTGAACATATTAACATTATTCAATACAATATTGGTGTTGGGTAAGGTTGAAACTACTACTGATTGTTGTCCATTGATAAATGTAAGATTGCTAAGAGTAATGTTTGTTGGAAGGAAGGTGTTGTTGTAGTACATTGTTGGATAGATATAAATGAAGGGTGTAATATCACTTGAGTTAAATCCAAGATTGATTGTTACATTGTCTCCGGGTGTTGCTGGACTGATTGTAATGTTATAGGAATATGGGTCAAAGTTGGTGTTACCAAGTTGGGCATTGGTATATAATCCACTTGATAATAATATGTTTAGAGCAGAGTTGATGGGATTGGGATAGAGAGTTTGATAACTTTTAAATGCTGATAAGATGTTTGGACATGCTTGGTTGGATGTTTGATCAAGTCCACAAATCAATGAATTATTTGTTGAAGTTGGGTCAACATAGAGTGATGTCAAAGTGACTTGTTGAGCTCCAACAATGTTGTTGTTGTAGTTGACAAACAACAAGAAGAAGGTTGTTATTATTATTTTTATATTAGTTTGTGACATTATAAGTATCTATTTCAAAATAATGACCAATATCGAGGGAGCCATTGAAGATATTTTGATCGCCTTGAGCCTAAGATTAAGATGCGACGAAAAAAAAAGATATTTCTTTTGATCAGACCCGAATTTCGTTTTTGAATCAAACATTTAAAATTATTTATTATGTATTTGATTGAATATATTTTTATAAAAGTACTAACTAACACTAGATTGAATTGTATTGATTCCTTCTTCTCTTGTGTATTAGCACTATGATGACGGCTATTGCTGCTACTCCAATTAGTGTACCAAATACAATACCAGCGATTGCACCTCCACTTAGACCTTTGTGTTGATCAGGTTCATGATTGCACACTTGAGTATCGCCAGAGATTGAACATTGTGATGTGACACCACAAGCCATAAGACCACCATTGCCACTTTGATTGTTATAGTTGGTGATTTGATCGAATGTGATGTTGCCCTGAGTGCACATGATCACAGTGTTGTTGACTCCCAATGGTCCAAGTTGTTTGCCAAAAACCACATTGGACAGACTGATATGTGACAGGTTAAAGTTGATTGCCACTGAGTCAAACATAACATTGTTAAACATTGCACTCTCGGACATTTCAAAGATTGATCCTTCACCGCCAATCACCTGACCATCATACACAACGTTACTGATGAATGTGCTGCCCTGGATGGTGAGGTCCGCGAATGACATTTGAAGCAAACTGTATAAATGACTGTTGCTGTCAAACAATGTGCCAGTGATGCTCACACTACCACCTGATGATGCGATCAGTCCGTTGAAGTTGGTTACACCAGCCAACTGATTGTAGGCAATGTTGCCGTCAGTGATGGTGCTGATAAGATCACGGCCAAAGTCCTTGAAGTAGATCAAGTTGTTGGTCACTGTGTTATTGATGAATGTTGGTGTTTGGAATGTGAATGATGCGTTGTATCCATAGATTATATATGCTGCAGAGTTGTTGGCAAACACTGCATCATTGATCACCATGTTGTACTGGAATGAATTGACCAAGGTAGTGTATGGTGCACATGTGTAGTTGGAGATTGATCCACCATTGATTGTGAGAGATGATATGTTTCCACGCTCATTGTCCGTGAGGTAGATGGCACCCGACGAGTTGGACATGAATCCAGTGATCGTGACATTGTTCAAGACGATGTTGGCATTGTTGTTATTTGACCTGATCACTGTGTTGGCGTGAACAATGTTGAGGTTGCTGAGTGTGACGATTGTCATTGGTGATTGATCAGCAGATACAGCGAGGGTTATGAACATGTTGCTAATGTTGGTATTTGGCTGGAGAAGGTCGATGATCACCTGGCTACCTTGGGCAAGTGGAGTTGATGGTCCAATGGTCACGTTGAGTCCGGACAAGACAAGTTGGGCGTTACCATATTGATTGGAGGTGCTGTTGTACATTGGAGTGTACACACCTGGCGCAAGGACTATATTGAGAAGTGAGTTGGTTGGCTCTGGTATGATGACTGAGTAGCTAGCGATGGCAGCAGAGATGGTGGGGCATGCTTGGGTAGATGTGGCACCACATCCTTGAGTGGAGTTTGTTGTTGATGTTGGATCGACGAACAGTGTGGTCTGTGTGAGTTGTTGTTCTTGGCCAACACAGGTACCAATAATAAGTGATAGTTGGACAATAGCCAAGATAACAATAAAGTATTTAAAGTTCATTATTGATGTATTTGATTGAATGAATGATAAGTTAAGTTATCCAGGATTGTCCTTAAATAGTAATTAAAGTACCACATCTCGATGGTACTTAAAGAGACCAAACATACTATTCCTTGGAGTAATATTGAGTAATAATACCAAGTTTGCCAACAACAATAACAAGTCGTAATTCCAGATGGTTGGAAATTTGGACAACTTGAAATAAAATATCTATTTGAGATGGTATAATATTTTTTGTTGACACCAAAACCGAAAGATGTCAACAGGAGTCCGACCTCTATTTCAAATGTGTCCGAATAACATCAGTCATCTATTATAATATAGGGTGGAAAGTTCATCAATCTCTTCTTCTCTGTCGGAATTCAATCGTATGTGTACATATTTGTGTGTGTGAAATGGGTCAACATTGTGTCTGTTGTATCTGTTATGTTAACATAATATTCCCAACCAGGGCAAAGTGCCAGACTGTTGGTTTGGTGTCCTGTCATGATTCTCACTTGAGTCAGTTGATCCACATACCAATGACTTCATGTTAGTTACTCTTTCATTCGACCATTGACTTAAAAAGACATTGTTATTTGTTGATCTAGACATGTATAGTCGGTTGAAGAAGATCAAATGTGTATGCTTAGAACATTCATTGTCCACTAGCCTGGGATTTGAAATTTCCACTCGTCTTTGGAATTGGTTGAAATTTCGTCGATAACTAATGTGTAATTGGAAGTACGTTTTGGAAACTGGCCCAACCAGCGAATCATGATGCTAAAAATTCAATTTTTTAATTTTGGGGTAGATAAACGAACGAGGCGAGGAAGGATGGTGTTCACGGTCCCTGGACACTTACACACACACCAACGAAATACTCCTCCTTAATCAGCTTCATCATCAACTCGTAGCCAGTCAATACATTTGCTCATTCTCACGTACGCCACTCGACTTCCTATCCTCCTGTGTGTCAATATCATCGTTTTTATTCATTCAAATCGCTGCATTAGACAAGACATCGTCACATTCTCCCAATAACTTTATATATTACACATTACAGTTATTATTTATATTAACATATAATAATACATTTAAAGATATAGAAGATGTTCAGACAAGCTATCAGAAAGGTTCACACTCCTACCTTTGTATGTATATCTTCTCTATCTCAATCTCTATCTCTATCTCTAACTACATCAATGTTATACAATGAATACTAACATTAATCAATCTTCAATCATATCATTCAACAAACAATAACAGTACAAGGGATTGAGAAGCTATGCTTCTGACAACAAGATCTCAGGACAAGTCATCGGTATCGATCTTGGTACTACCAACTCTTGTGTCGCCGTTATGGAGGGTGGTGATGCTCGTGTTCTTGAGAACGCTGAGGGTGGTCGTACTACCCCATCCGTCGTCGCCTTCACTGACGACGGCCAGAGAATCGTTGGTCTCCCAGCCAAGAGACAGGTATGTTGTACACACATTCACAATCAACTCACATCATCAACTCAAACAACATAATGACTAATACATCATATTCAATCAACAACTTTAATCAACTTGGATTCAACTACAACAACAAAATAGATGGTCACCAACGCTGCCAACACATTGTTTGCTACCAAGCGTCTGATTGGTCGTCGTTTCGATGACCCAATGACCAAGAAGGATATGACAATGGTGCCATACAAGATTGTTAGAGGACCAAACGGAGATGCCTGGATGGAGGTTAAGGGCAAGCAGATTTCACCATCTGAGGCTGGTGCTATGGTGCTCACCAAGATGAAGGAGACCGCCGAGACCAACTTGGGCGCCACCGTCAAGGATGCCGTCATCACCGTGCCCGCCTACTTTGACGACGCTCAGCGTCAAGCCACCAGAGATGCCGGTACCATCGCCGGTCTGAACGTCAGCCGTATCATCAACGAGCCAACCGCCGCCGCCCTCGCCTACGGTTTCAAGCAGGACGAGCCAAAGACTGTCGCCGTGTACGATCTCGGTGGTGGTACGTTCGATATCTCCATTCTGGAGATTGTTGATGGTGTGTTTGAGGTCAGAGCCACCAACGGAGACACCTTCCTCGGAGGTGAGGATTTCGATGTCGAGCTGCTCAACTACTTGATCAGCGAGTTCAAGAAGGAGAAGAACGTCGATCTCTCCTCAGACAACATGGCCGTTCAGCGTCTGCGTGAGGCCGCCGAGAAGGCCAAGTGCGAGCTGTCCTCCACCCTCCAGACAGAGATCAACTTGCCATTCATTTCCGCCACCGCCGCTGGCCCACTCCATTTCAACATGAAGCTGACCCGTTCCAAGTTTGAGCAGTTGGTCGGCAACTTGATCAACAAGACCGTCGAGCCATGCAAGATCTGTTTGAAGGACGCTGGTATGTCACCAAAGGACATCAACGAGGTTATCCTCGTCGGAGGTATGACCCGTGTGCCCAAGGTGCAAGAGGTCGCCAAGAACCTGTTCAACAAGGAGCCATTCAAGGGAGTCAACCCAGATGAGGCCGTCGCCGTCGGTGCCGCCATCCAGGGATCCGTGCTCAAGGGAGACGCCAAGGGAATCGTCTTGGTCGATGTCACCCCACTCTCACTCGGTATCGAGACCTACGGAGGTGTGTTCACTCGTCTGATCAAGAAGAACACCAACATCCCAGCATCAAAGACCGACGTCTTCTCCACCGCTCAGGACGGTCAACAGGAGGTCGAGATCAAGGTGTTCCAGGGAGAGAGAGAGATGGCCGCCGACAACAAGCAGCTGGCCAGATTCACCCTGTTCGGTTTGCCACCCTTGCCAAAGGGAGTTCCACAGATTGAGGTCACCTTTGACATTGATGTCAACGGTATGCTCCAGGTCGTCGCCAAGGACAAGGCCACCGGAAAGGCCCAACAGGTCCGTGTCCAGGCCTCAGGAGGTCTCAGCAAGGACGACGTCGCTAGAATCATCAAGGAGTCCGAGCAAAACGCCGAGGCTGACAAGAAGAGAAGAGAGTTGGTTGAGGCCAAGAACTCTGGTGAGGCCCAGCTGTACCAGGTCGAGAAGGATCTGGTCGACTTTAAGGACTATTTGAACGCACAGCAGGCTGAGGAGATCAAGAAGGCTCTCGCCCAGCTCAAGGAGGTCGTCTCCAAGGAGGACATTGGCGCCATCGAGGCTGAGGTCAAGAAGGTTCGCGATCTCACCACCGCCACCTTTGAGACTGCCTACAAGGCCAAGGTTTCCGCTCAACAACAATCATCCAACACCAACAACACCAACAACACCAACCAAAGCAACGATTCAAACACCACCGAGGCTGAGTTCACCGAGAAGAAATAAACATTCTCGATTATATAAGTTAAAACAAATCAATTATCTCCACCAGTACTGGTGTCTATCTATCTTTTTTTAATTATTCATTGATTCATTGATTGAATGATGACCACGAGGTTAGTGTGTGGCAAGTATCTCGCTCAGCGGAGAATTCGCGCCAACAATTTGAGACAAACAAGTGAATTATAAAGTTTTGTGAATGCAGTAGAGAGATAATTTGAATAGTGTGTGTTTGGTCATTCATTTATTCACTAATACACTAACATACAGATAATAGAATAAAATAGATAGATATGACAAACAATGTACACATAACTCAAATGTCAGAGGATGAGATATCCTCACTGCCAGCTGGACAACTAAAGCAGTTGATCATCGAGTCGGGTGGCAAGACAGACGGTCTATTCGAGAAGTCTGACTTGGTCGAATATGCTAAACACGTATGTCTATCATTCTAATTATATACAAGGGCTGACCTGTGATTGCTGACTTGTATCTATCCATCATCATCATATACTATAGCTTAGATCAACTCTACCAACACCTGTAGATGAAGGAACTGTTGCAACACCAGAGTTTCAACGCAAGAAAGTAAAGGTTGACTATTATGAAGTTCTAAAGGTTGCCAAGACTGCTACACCAGGTGAGATTAGAAAGGCTTATTACAAGTTGGCTACTGAGTTCCATCCTGTATGTGCATGACACGACACGACTTGACCATCTACAACATACTTACGACTACATACAACAGGATAAGAACAGGAATGATCCACGTGCAGAGGAGATGTTTAAAGAGATCAGTGAGGCATATCAGATATTGTCGGACCCTGAGAAGAGACAGAGATACGACCAGTTTGGATTCGATGGAATGGATGATATGATGATCGACCCACTGGCACTCTTCCGTCTGATCTTTGGCGGTGGCTTGTTCCAGGACTTCAATTGGCGATCTGTCCTTCTATGATATGTTTGCACAGAACTTCAATCCCAACCCAGAGGACCCCAACAAAGCAGGTGACATCAAGATGCCCACAGCAGACGATCAGGAGAAGAAGCAAAAGGAGCGTGCAAGACTATTGACAGAGTTCCTGCTCACATTCATCGATCCATACGTCAAGGGCACAATTACAAAGAACATGTTTGAGGACAAGGTAGGTGGAACACTCTCTCCCACATGACTGATCATGAAGTGCTAATCACGTATCACCAACCATTATAGGTCAAGGAGAAAGCAATGGAGATGGAGCAAGGCCCTGGTGGTGCAGAGTTATTATCATTGCTTGGATACGTATACGTTCAAGAGGCCAAGCAGCATTCAATGTTTGGATTCATCTTTGAGATTAGTGAGAAGGGACATAGAGCTGGAGAGGTGATGTCTGTCGTCAAGTCTGCCGTCAAGATGCAGAGCCAAGTCAACACAATGTCCAAGAGTCCGGATGCATCAGTCGACAGCCAATCGGAATCATTGATCAAGGAGGGACTGGACCTCATCTGGAAGATGGGTCGTCTGGACATTGACACAGCGGTCAGACTGGTGTGCGAGGAGATCATGTCCAAGAAGAACTCAGAGTCCAAGGTGAGGAAGCTACGTGTAGAGGCCATCAAGACACTTGGTACCATCTTTGAGAAGGTTGGAAACGAAAAGAAGCGCAAAGGCAATGGTGCAGACGACCTTTTGAATATGGCCAGGCCTCCACCCTCATAAACAGTAGTAAATGAATCAATACACCATGCATGATGGGATATCCATTCCTTTTTGTCGATAACATAATGATGATGATGATGATGACTAGTGATGGGGATATTATCCAGCTACAACTTATCAATTGATGGACTACCTTCGTTGGTCCAGGATTGTTGGTATTAGCTTCACACACTCATGATGGTGTCGAATCATGAGCTGTCATTCATTCCAAAGACGGAATTTCCATTTCGAAATCTTCTTACTCGTTTCTATCTATGAATGCCCTACACATAGAGTAAGGTTCACTTTGATATACATCGATCAACTATACAAAGATATAAATATATACATACATACATAATGTCAACTCTACTGCTGACAGCATCAAGAAGAGCAGTGGCCTCTTCAACCACTATCAATAGAATGTTCACAACAACATCATCTACTTTCATTCAATCAAGACACCTCACATCAACTTCAACATCATTATACATAAACCAACAACAACAATATAGTAACAACAGCTTGATAAACAGTCGGAACACGAGAAACTATTCTTCGTCAACACCACCCAATCCCAATGCACCACTGTAGGTCAATCAATCGGTCGAACCGAACGAATGGACGAACGAACGAACGAATGAACAATCACATACTAACACAAACACTATACTATATAGTGTAGGAATAACATTCATTGATAAGGATGGAACAAAGATAAATGTAAAGGTACCTGAGGGTACCAATCTGCTCGAGGCTGCACATTCCAATGACATTGATCTGGAAGGTGCCTGTGAAGCATCGATTGCTTGCTCCACCTGCCACGTCTACATCGACAACAAGTACTTTGATCAGCTGCCCATGTCCTCCGACGAGGAGAACGATATGTTGGATCTGGCCTTTGCCTTGCAGACAAAGTAAGTGTGAAGGGATCAGAAACATGTTCAGGACCATGATCTAACTCATACACATCATCAACAATGAATGAATATAGCTCTAGACTAGGATGTCAGGTGATCGTTACAAAGGAGTTGGAGGGTATGGAGGTACAGCTGCCGGCTGCTACCAGGAATATGTCGGTCGATGGATACAAGCCTCCAAGACATTAATCCACATCATCACATAATGATGATGATGTGATATCGATGATAATATGTATTGGATTGGATTGGATGAATGGACGAATAAAGTGCACTCAATCTAGAACTTAAACTTCTTCTTGGATGCAGAGTTAACAACAACAGCACTTGGTGGAGGCGCAGTACTGTCCAAATGCGTCGACCTTGTCTTCTTTTGATTTGCAGACAGGTATCGCTCCAGGTCATCATCACCATCATATTGCAGATAATCAGTTGGATCACTGACTTTAGATGATGACGATGTTGTGACTGATTCTGCAGCTGCTGGTTTTGATGTTGGATTCGGTATTGCCATATTGAAGAACTTCCTCTTCTTTGTCTTTTCATCCTCGCCATCTTGCTCAATGTCATTGCTCAACAGTGCTATCAGTTTGCTCATACTAGTATTGTCATTGTTTCCATATGTCGAGCTCTCCTTGAATACAGAATGAAGTGTCTCCAGTAATGATGTATTATGTTCATTTGAAGTAGGTTGAGTCGTTGATGATGTTGATGTTGATGATGATGATGATGTTGAGGATGGTGTCATTGTTGTTGTCGTCGTGGTGGAATATGGGAAGGCAGCTGATAGTGGAGGTCCTTTGACCACGAGCTTGACACCTTCCATATGAATAGAGAACTTTGGATCGAATTGGGACAGTGTCTTCTTTGTCATACCATTATACATCTGATTGGTACACAATGTTATTCCATCAAACATCTGTTCATCTCTCTTATTGAATGAACTGCCACCATAGCACCAATACTTTATGTTTGGATACAAGTCTGACAATGCCTGTATATCAACATTGCACCACATTACCGACCTATGTACGTTCATTCATTGTTAGTCAATCAATCACCGTCAGTCAATCAATGAATGAGGTTGTATCATACATACTTTACAGACTTGTTTATACTTTGATCAAAGACATTATCGATTGGAGAGTAGTGAGATAGTATGATTGTAGTTGATTGATCCAGGTCATTGGATAGTGATGTCTTTAGCCATTTGATATCATTCTTGTTCCATTGATTCTGATCACGCATTGAGCATCGTGGACGATCTTGATCGCCCTTGATCTGTTCAAAGTGGAATTGATAGCCATCGGGCATGTTGACCATGGGCGGAATGAATGGCCATAGTGTCGTGCCCAGCACACGCAAGCCTGGACCCAGTGAATACTCCTCATTCACAAGGAAGTGTACATTGTGGCGCGGTGCCTTTGTATCACACCAACTCTTTAACGTTTGATTACTTTGCTCCATTGTAAGACCACCTCTATACTCTAGTGAACCTGCCACCATCAACACAACACTGAATCGAGTCGATAGTGTAGATAGACATTTGAATAAAGGACAATCATCTGTACTCTTTATCATTGCCACATTACCAGCTAGCAATAATACATGAGCAGTTAGACTACCATCACTATGTAGTTGATTCAATATTTCATCGCAGTTTGATTCATCAATGAATAAATCACTTATTATCTGTAGATTGGCTACAAATGCCATGTTGTCGTTATGTTATTATCTCTTTATATTATATGTATGTATTGGTTAAATGGTTGGGCTACTTTCATTACACTCAAATGAAGCCCAAACTAGTTTCTAACCTAAAAAGGAAAGTTTGAACTTCACTCGCCCACCTCATGTACTTGGACCAATCACCTGGTCATTTATGACATCTATATGGTCAGCCATTGGATTCCATAGCCAATTGAGTCTATTGGGAATCGTATCCATTAACAATAGAGTTTACTAGATATGGATTATTGGTTGATTCCACAGAGAACCAATCAATTGTAATGGAGGGATCGATCATGATCTAATAATTAGATCGGTGTAATGTGGAAGTATAAGACAAGTCAGACCATGTATGTATGCTGTTTAGTCACTGACCGGTGACTTGTCGGTCGGCAGAGTGTGATTGATGATCAATCAGTGTGATGTGGTGTCAAGAGTGTGAGCATCTTGTTGATCGATCCCCCATCTACACCACACCCGACAACAATCACATGACATAGACAAACCACATAAACACACCTTATCACAGACTATCAATGTTATATGTTACACTTATTATTATTAATGTTATGTTGGATGATCATGAGGTGATTGATGAACACCACAACTTAACATACTCCACAACAACATCAAACTAAATAGGATTGTTATTGAGTCATACTACTCTTTCAAAAAACAACCAGAGAGGGGTAAGCAAAGAACATGATTACTTCAAGTAAGTATGACACACACCGATCGGATGTCGCGCTCAAATAAATGATTGATTTCACTTCACATTCTTTACATGGACTGACCCATCATGGTAAATATCCGGGTAAGTATCTTGAGTCGTTACCACCACCTACATACTTACACTGCAGGATTATGATCAAAGTGAAATGATCAGAATAAATTATTAATGTTTTCAAATAAATACGACGAATCACACAAATCGGATTCTTTCATCTATCACGCAACAACAACTATTGGGCATTGGCAGTCTCTATCTGTTCTGTCTTGTCTGTCTCCGTCACTCTTTCACTCTTTCATTCAATCAATCATACAATCCTCAACATCACATACGTCAATCAACTAAACCGTATTACACATACACACACATACAGATCATCAAGTTGACTACATTTTTAGAGATAACTATCTATTTTATCTATTAACAAAGTAAGAATCAAAGTTTGAATCTCATTGTAATTGATTCCAATACCAGCCTCAACTCAGGCCTGGTCATTCAATCAATCCATCAACTACAAAGTCCACCACCACAAAGACCAAAGGGGATAAAGTGGAGATCACAATAACAATCAACTGGATAGATATTACTTTGATCTTTTATTTATCTATCGCGACCCATACCTGCAAGGCTATGATAGGATAATTCCATCAACAACTTTATTCATACATTCAATTCATTGATATCATTGATTACACATCGCGACAACCCAGGTATAAAATATACTACTACTAGTTTACAACAATGTATTATTATCGATGGAGAGAGTTAGAGAAGATAATGTTCAGATTTAGATAAATCATTGCACACCCCACCCCAATCAATTACACACTCCTCACCACACACCACAACATTGTTTTGATCATAACCGCCAATCACCAATACGACCCGACTTTGATCAAATTCATATAAAAGCCACTGGACACACATTGCCGAGCATCACCCCGACACCCTTCTTGGGCACCATCAATCCTCCTTTCTTTGATCTATTACTGTTTGTGTGCTTCAATTATTAATTGAATTGTACAATTCACATCACCTCCCCTCTTCACACAAAGTCCCTCCTCCGTTAGGTCTTAGACCAACAACATCATCATCAACAATAACATCGTGACAGTTGGGAACAAATTCAAATCAACCAATCAATCCTAACATCATTTGTTAGATATATCTTATCTAGAGTAATAATACATATACAACAACAACAAGAAGATGTTTTTCAAAAAGAAGAAGGACGAGCAGCCTGCCAACAAGTCACCGCCACAGTCTGCAATAGCATCGGGATCTCCAAATGGTGCCACAATGCCAGCTTACCATCATGGTATCAAGATAGGTTCAGTGGCAAACAGTGCCAGCACTGAACAATTGAACCAAGTTGCTGTAAGTCATTCAATCAATCAATCAAACATTGTTGGGATTATAATTGATTTCCCGGGTTATCAGGTCATGTTCTAACACAATATTTGTCAACTATGACAATAACAACAGGAGAACAAACAGAAGATTCCATCATTATTCAGATTGTTGGCAGAGCACAAGTTGACAGAGCGTGACATCTGGGAGGGATACCCCATGCTCTTCTCAATCCTCTACCAATTCAAGGATCAATTGGACAGAAGTATGTAGCCTTATCACTCACTCATTCAATCAATTTCCATCAATCAATCAATCAATCAATCATACTGACTTAATTACATCTGTATCATTCCAGCTGATTCCGGTACGGCCAGTGTAATCACTTTCCATTTGCCAGCGATTCCAGAGTTTGCCGACACACGCAAGAAGACTTACAAGATCAACAAGAAGTTCACAATTGCACAGACCATCAATTTGATTTGTAAGAAGCAGCAGGTACCAGATCCAAAGAGATTCTGGATAGGATCACTACAGGGCTTCATCATGAAGGATGACGAGCCACTCAGCACCTACGGTCTCGGAACAATCTTTGAGTCATGGGAACTACGTGTAATCTACAAGAATGACATCCTCTCCAAGTCGCCACTAAAGTCTGAGCCAATGGAGTCCATTGGAACAGAGTTCATTGTCGTCTTTGAGTTGCCACCCCTCCAAGAGTTCAATGGACTAAAGAAGCACGTTGTCAAGGTTGACACTAACCAGACTATCAAACAGGTATGTAGTAATAGTTTATGGACAATCTGTCAATCAATCTAACACTGGAATAATTCCACCCATCAGTCAATCGCCAACATATGTAGGAAGTACAAGGTAGAGTCACCCGATAGATTCTCGGTGATGACTATGGATGAGAATCCACTGGCAGAGTTTGTGTTGTTCAGTGGCGCTTGTTTCAAGCACTATGGCCTCGGCTACAAGTTCAAGAAGTGGGACCTAAAGATCGTGTTCACAGACTTGATACCACCATTCGTTCATCGTCACACTGTGATCCCAATGCACGGTTGGGCACAGGTCAGTCCAGGCCAGCTGGACCCATTCACCGCACGCGCCATCATCAACGACCTTGAGGAGCGCTGCTCCGAGTTCCAGGCCGAGATCCGTCGTCTGAACCAAGACATCGAGGGTGGCAATGAGCTGTCGCGCGAGCAGCAAGCCGAGATTGAGCGTCTGCGACAGGAGATTGCCAGACTACAGGCACTGATGGAGGAGGAGCGCGAGTCAACACAGGCCCAGAACGAGGTCTACGAGTCAAAGTTGGCCGCAGCCAATGCAGAGATCGATACACTAAGCGGCCAACTGCGATCAATGAAGGCCCGCCTGGACGAGACCAACTCGCAGCTCATGTCTGCCAAGATCGCCAACGAGGATCTTCACTCATCATTGAATCTTTGCCAGGCCGACAAGGAGGGACTAGAGGGCCAGCTGCAAGAGGCTCACGCCACAATCACAGACTACATCAGAAAGCTAGAGAATGCCAAGTTGGCCGCGTCCGAGCAGGAGGCCCAACTCACACAAATGATTGCCACTTTGGAGCGCGAGAAGGCCGCCATCAGGGAGGAGGCACGCATGAACCTGGAGCGTCTGTCCACCGAGAAGGTGTCAAGCGAGGAGCAGGCCAAGGAGAGTCTGTTACACATGCAGGCCAGCCAGGCGATGCTTGTCTCCGAGCTTCAAGACGAGTTGGCCGCCCTGCAACGCGAGCGCGAGATGATGGCCCTGCAACTGCACAAGGCCACCGTGGAGAAACAAGAAGCGGTTCAGACTGCCGAGCGCGCCGAGAAGAAGATGGACGAGCTATCCAAGAATGTGAAGCGTGTAGAGCGTCAGTTTGGAGACTTGGAGCGTGAGCGTGATGTGCTGCGCCAGCAGGTGCAGATCAAGCTGGACGAGATTGCCGACCTGCAGAAGGACATTGAGTGGTCGCGCGAGACCACCGCCGACCTCGAGCGTCGTCTGACAAGCGCGTCGGGCGAAGTCAAGATGTTCAAGGACATCAAGAACAAGGAGTCTGCACGTCTCAAGGTCACATCAGCCGAAGAGAGCAAGGTCAAGGGCGACCTGGACAGCGAGCGAAAGAGAAACATCGACGCCACCGCCAAGTTCACCAAAAAGTTGGCCGAGGTCGAAGCCGCCCAAAAGAACCAACAAGAGGCATACCAAAACGCAGAGGCAGTCTTCAAGAAGCGTGAGGCTGAGTTACTGGCCCAGGTCGAGGAGTATCGTGTACGTTGTGAGGAGCTGCAAGCTGGTGGCGCCACCACATCCAGCACCGTCGCCAAGCCAGCATCATCAGCAGCACCAACCACAGGTGGCTTTGTAAAGCGAATGCCAACACAGTCCACAGCCACAGTAGAGCCAATTGCCAACACACCAGTGTTGTTACAGTCGCCCGATGTCAAGGCCACCAACTCATTCGGCCTTCAACCATCGACGGCCACACTGGTGATTGGTGGACGCGACAGACGTAACTCGCCACCCCAAGAAGAGATGTCCTATGCCAAAGAGCAACTCAAGACCTTTACGCCAGCGCCAGTCGAAGTGGCCACACTCGACATTGCCAACAACCTGTATACCTCACTGCAGAGTCGCTTCACCAACATCACCGATGCCAATGGTGTTGAAGAACTCAATCTTTCCGACTCTGATTAATTGATCATGATCACTGACACACACACACATCTCGAATAATGACTGCGATGACGACCAACAGCAACTCAATCCACACATGGACAACAATAACTCTGGTTGTTTACCATCAATCTACTTACTACTTTTAAATATATACATGCATGTAAATGTAACATTATCATCTATCCGCATCCACATCCATGCCCATTCAGGCATCTTGGTATCACATTTGTAACTTGGTTAATGTTTAATGGTTTGGGTCCGTGTTGAGAGCCCGGACGAGGGGTGTCGACTACACCCCAATGATTGGTACACCTGTGCCATATTATCTTGTAGTATGTCCAAGTGTAGTTTGGACAAAAGGTACGAGTTTAATGTTCTGATGGTGCAACATTGGCACACTCAAACCAGAATGACTTGAAGGACCAGGAGAAGATGAAGATATTGTCCAACTTCTCTAAAGAACCAGAAATGTTTTTGGTTAATGGTATCGTAGCAAATGGTGTAAAGTTCTTGTCATTGGAATCCAATATACACTTATGGAAAGACGATAAAACTAGGAATCATTCTCGTCAATACTGGCAATTACGTAATCGTCGCTATCTTCAACTTAGACAGGATGTCAAATAGTTTTGCACTTTCCGTTGTTGAGAGCAGCAGTTTTAATAAAGCAATCAAATTAATCTATCGAAATTGAATGAATCCTTTTATCAATTCAATCTAGTAAATAACTTTTTAATTTAATTATTTATTCCGATTTTGATATTCATACACAATGATTATTCGAATAATGACTGCGACGACGACCAACAACAACTATAGTAATCCAACTTCTTTACAATACTACTACTACTACTTTTAAATGTAAATACGGACATTATCATCAGTCTGCATCAAGGCAGGAAGATGCTCTGGCATCTTCCTTTATCTTTCTAACTTTGTTGTCAATGATTGATGGTTTGGGTGTTGTTGGAGAGCCCTGACAAAGTTGGAGTAGTCGCGGAGCATTGGACTTAAACGGAATTTAACGTTGTTCAGATGAGGGTTGTCTTGAATGGCATCAATGATCATCTGAGGAACTTGATTTTGGTTTGTTCCAAAATGCTTGATAGTGATTGATGATGATTGTTTGTTATATCTTAGTAGTCCAGATATAAACTCGAAGGAATTGTGACCAATTATAATGATCTTATCAACATTGTTCAATGATTGGTATATCTGTATCATCCTCCTTTCTTCTTCTTCATCACCTTGAAACTTCTTTTGAATGATTCGACCTTTTAGAACCAGTTTGTTGACCTTGCACTTGATCACTGGAGCAAATTCAATGGGTATTCCATTTAATCCATTCAATCTGTAATCCAAATGATCAACAAGAGGTTGGCTCTGGAAGAGATACCTGAGGAATCTGATCTCTTGTGGTACATCGTGACGTGGATAGTCAAGACTCAACTCGGTGATTGGTGATCCAGCCAAGTGTTGTTGTTGTAGTAGCTCGATGAGACCATCATAGAATGATATGTGGTTGCCAGCCTCGACTTCCCATGACTCGGCAAAATGGAAGTGGAGCGATTGAATTGATGGCAGTGTCTTGAGCTTGTTAAATAGATTGTGTGGATACTCATTACACAAGTAGTACATTTGAGTATGTTGGCAAACAATCTTCAGCTTTGAGATGACTGGATGATTGGTGGGAATGAAAGGGAAGTCTGTGCCGTCAACGTCTCCAAGCTCGACATCCATCCATTCCAATTGAGTGTTTATCGAGATGAACTTCGTAAGAGCAACCTTTTGTGAATCACTAACTGGGGCATTGTCATTGCTGTCGTACACTAGATATAACCTTTTGATAGAAGACACATTGAGCTGAAGGAGATATCGAATGGCCATCATATTCGTCTCCAAGAGTGATATTGATTCGAGACATTTAGAAAGTCTCAACATCATGTTGTTGTCACCTGTTGTCTCTATTTGGGGATCTTCTTCTTCTTCTTTAGGTAGATAAGAGAGTGAATGTAATGTTGGTGATATTGTTGCAAGAGCATTGTCATCACCATGTGACTTGATGTACTCTATTAGACCATTGCGCTTGATCAATGAAGTATTGAGTTGTCGCACTTGCTTATGAAATGACTTTGACACTAGAGCCAACTCCAACCACCATTTGTAACACACGTAATAGTGTAGACGAGGATAGATGGGACTCTGAGGCCATACATCTAAATGATATGGGTACAGATAACTTATAATTTGTTGAACTATTGTTGTATTCATTCAGAATAAACAACACTTGTTTATATATCTCAAGTATTAAGATAAAATGTGAAGTGTTGTCTCATCAGCTGGTTCATAATTGGCTTTTTGCCCTCTTGGTATTCTCCCACCTTGAGGATAAAGAATAAACTTTGTCCAAACTACACATTCTTCCTGAAGTTTAAACTAATACTATCCAATGAAGATAAGGTCAATAAATTATTCATTCAATCAATCAAACAATCTTATTTAATTTAATATAAATAACTTATTTAACACAATTAATAAAATGTCTTGGCATGATTTAGTTAAATCACTTATGGATGATGGTTTTCAACAAGCTGCCATCATTGGAAACTCTGATAACTCAACATGGTCCAACTCTCCCAAAATTTGACTTGAAGGATGACAATGAGAAGAAGACAATATTGTCCAACTTCTCTGAGCCCATCAACTTTGCCAATGCTGGTATTTTGGTCAATGGTGTAAAGTACTTGACACTGAACGCCAACAACAAAACGGCTACTGGAAGGAAGGGAACAGGAGGAATCGTTCTCTTCAATACTGGCAAGTGCATAATCGTCGCTGTCTACAATGATAAGATGCAATCACCTGCTGCCCTTGCCATTGTTGAGAAACTAGGTGATTTCTTAATTCAAAATGATTCAAATGAATGATCCATCAATCAATCAAACATTCAATCACAACTCAATCATACAATTCAATACAATCAATTAATTAATTAATAACTTTTTTTATTGTGTCTTTCAACCAATCAAAAACTTTGCAAAAGTTGATCCGATTTACCCCCACCACATCACACACAACAATCTGATCTCGTTTTTGATTGAAAAAAAGATCAATCATGTTATCATTCAATGACACCCCCCACAAGGGTTAGAGACCCGTGTTAGTCAGTGTGCCCCGACTCACACCCAGGTATTGTTAATCTTTGGGCATGATGGGATGGTGGGTTGGTGTTGTGACCTGACTGACACTGTGTTGCTCAGTGTGATAATAGTGAGGAGGCGTTTTGTTGTTGAAGCATGATGCCGTCCGTCTTCATCACCATCATAGATTGTAGCGCTGGGCACTACTACGACCCAAAGAAAAAAAAAGAAGAAACAAGATATATATATTTATAAGTTAGTTAGATACAGATAGAAATAGAAAGATAGATAGATATATATTGTTGTTATGATGACTGGATAATGATTGATCTATGTTCTTCGATATCAACGACGACAACAACGAACAACAACAACAACACGCATGCGATAAAACTATCTCAAATGAATAAATATCAAGAGCAGCAGCAACAGCTGCCATTTGTTGTTGGCGTCGATGCCACCACCACCAACACCAATGCCAACATAACGAGGCCATTGGTGATGGGTGGCGACATTGATCAACACACTGGCAACAGCAGTAACAGTAGCAGTAACAGTAACATTAGCGAACATCATAATCATAATCAACATAACAGTTCAACTCTGGACACTTCAATGTCCAGTGATACATCATCATCACCACCAAGTGTAAAGCCAACAACAACAACAACAAGTACTACTACAACAACAACTATAACGACACCACATAAATCACCTCCACCTCCAACTCTCAAGAGTAATCCAACAAAGAAACCATCACTCTTTATCAATACCAACTTTTCACAACCATCACCATCACCATCGCCACATCAACAGCCAGATCAATTAGATCAACATCATCATCACCCAACTTCATCATCAGACAAGTCCAAACATAATAATAGTAATAATAATAATAATAATGTACAAACACCTCATTTGGTGCCATCACTGGTGGACAAGCTCAATAGTATCAATATCACTCATGGAAAGGTAGTTGTACCGCCTACTCCAACATCATCGGCTCACGTGATCGGTCACTCTACGACGACACAGACATCACCAGGCTCAATCAAAGGATTGTATAAAGATCCATCAACGTCGTCTATGATGATGATGTTGTCAGGTGTGAGTGGTAGTAGCGCCACGGGCATTGGTGCCAACCGTGTGGGTGCCACCACCCCACCCGTGTCCGCATTGATGACGCCAAAGAAGTTTGACACGATACTCAAGGCCGACTTGAACCTGCCCAACCTCAACATGGAGAACCCCTACGCCAAGCAGCAGCAGCAGCAGCATCATCAGCAGCAACTACAGCAGCAGCAACAATATCACAACGCTCAGATGACGCACTATCGTAAGATTCGCGCGCACGGCGTTCTCTCCAAGATATTCGGCGCCGACAGCAGCCAGTACATGGGTACTGGTCCGGCCATTGGCTCGACGCCAAAGCTCGGCGCCTCGGTCTACAGCGGTTACTCGCCATTCCTCGACTTCTCGGATGAGGAGGGTGACGAAGACGACGAAGACGACAATGGCAACGGCAGCAACGATGGCAACTACGTGGGGGACATCGACATTGACAAGTTCTCCGACGGCACGTTCAGCAGCGCCATCTCACCCAACGAGTCACCCAAGTCGACGCCCACATCGCCAACATATCCGCCTGGGCTCTTGTCCAATGTGTCTGCCAGCATGATATCATGGGTCTCTGGCGAGTCGCCCACTCGCAAGCTGGCCGCCACCAGAACAACTATCAGTTCAAGTTACGCCGAACAGCTAACTGCCAAGCTTGTGGCGCCTACTCAGGGCAGTCTCCCAACAATGCAACAAACAAACAGCAGCATCAACAACAGCAGTGGAATCATAAACAACAACAATAGCGTCAACAACAACAACAACAGCAACAACATTGGCAATGCGAATACGACTACTTCGACGACGACAACATCATCATCCTCCTCTTCTGGCAGCGACAGGTCAATCAAGGATAATAGCAGAGATGGTAGTAACAGGAGGCCCACCAAACTACTGATACAGAAGTTCCTCTCAAAGAGCACGGGTGGAAGTGGTGGTGGCAGTAACACAGCATTGGGCAACAGTCATCCGCCCATCAGCAAGTACACCGAGCCACCATCAGCCCCGTATATCCTGCCACAATCAAGTAAGGAGTCACTGAGCACATTGATGAAGGATAAGATTGGATACGACCTCTTCCGCACCTTTTGTGAGAAAGAGCACTCTTTGTCAAACCTCGAGTTCCTGGAGGATGTCGAGCATCTCCAGAGCATGACCACAACGGCAGCACTGCCAAACGAGGCGCTTGACGAGGCCAAGCGCATTTATAATAAGTACTTGCAGGTTGGAGCAGCTGACGAGCTGGCAGTCGACAGCGATCTGGTCGCACAGGTGCAGGCAAGACTAAGCAATTGTAGCGGCAACAGTCGGCAACAACTAAAGACATCGAGCGGAAGTTTGGCGGTCGAGCTCAGCGCCGCAGCCCTAGCCAACGAGGACACCACACTGGACAGGACATTGTTTGACAAGATATATCGTGTCATTAAGGAGGACGTCACATTGGACTCGTTCAAGAGGTTCTGCCACGCCTACAATCATTCTACATCGAGTGGCGCATTGGCCATCAATGGCAGTCGGTCGGTGTCACCTCCAACCACACCATCGCTAATGTCCGAGTCGCCGCCACTGGACAGCGCCGACCAAGTACCACTGTCACTCAACAACTCGCCACGCAATCATCATCATTCACAACTGCCGCATCATCAGCAGATCACTTCACTGTCACCGCGCGGACAATCTGAACGCCAAACAACATCCAACTCAAACTCCTCATCACCCGTGCACACGAGCCACCATCATCACCCACGCGAACCTCACCATCATCCAAGCAGCAGCAGCTCATTGCCTGCGCTTGGCGTCAGTCTCCTGACGTCGCCACCACTGTCCCCTCGCATATCAATGATCAAGCCACTCTTCCTCAAACAGACACAATCACTGCCATCGTCCGAGAACTCATCGCCACTGCTTCAAACCCAATCAATCATCGATGACATGCAGCAGTATGGTGTGGCGTTTGGTTTTAAGAGAGGATGCTGCAAGGCACCTTGCGACTGTCTAGCGTACAAGTCACAGGGCCTCAACGGCGGAGCCTGTCTCAACTGTGGACACTATCCTGCCAGCCACAAGAACCTGGGCAAGGCGAATGCCTCCCCACTCATCTATCCCAACAGCTTTGATCTGGCTTCCAATGATCTGCCCGAGAGCGTCACCGAGGTGTTCAATGAGATGAACAAGTTGGACCTGTCCCTGGTCCACAAGGATGGCAGCATGGATGTATCTGGTATCGACTACAGCAACTACAACATCACTGACAACAACATTGACTATGCCAGCGACTTGGACATTAGCCAACAACCATCAGACCTCAGCAGTGTGATCAGTGGAGTGAGCGGTACCACACAGAGGACACAAGTGCCCAACCGGATCGATCACAGATTGTTTTCAAACTTTAGCAACTGGATCATCGATGGCGATGACCTCGTTTTCATGGAGAAGCTGGGCCAGGGAGCATCGGCCAAGGTCTACAAGGCAGACTGGCGCAATCAAGAGGTGGCCGTCAAGATCCTCAAAAAGACACCTGAGCAACAGAAGCTGCAGGACTTTTTGAAGGAGTTGGAGATCATGAGCTCGCTGCGATCGCCACACGTCGTCTACTTCTATGGCATTGTGCTGCAGCCGAGGATCAGCATGATCATGGAGTACTGCTCCAATCTCTCTCTCCACCATCTTATGCACACCTCCATGGACTTCTCGTGGGACTGGGTTATCAAGTTCAGTACTGAGATGGTCAAGGGCATCAAGTGTCTACACAACTGGAAGCCAGTCATTGTTCACAGGGATTTGAAGTCCCTGAACCTACTTGTAAGTTGTGCCTTCTATCGATGCAATAACAAAGCTGGATGCTAACATTCACTTTTTTTTACAGGTTACCGATCATTGGACGATCAAGGTGGCAGACTTTGGACTGAGTAGATTCCAAACAGGCAAGACTACTTTGAGAAAGACGAGAGGTACCTATGCATACTGCGCGCCAGAGGTGCACTTTGGCGACTCTACAGTCAAAGGTGACATATTCTCAATTGGTATCATTATAGTATGTACAATATGGATGATGATGATGTGTACGATGGTAGTGGATCACTAACCAACCAATCAATTTTAGTGGGAGATGATTATTAGATGTATGAGGGGCAAGTACGAACGACCTTATGCAGAGTACAAACAGATACAGTTTGACTTCCAGATCCTGGTCCTTACATCCAAGAAGAACATCCGTCCAACAATACCTCCCAACTGTCCAGAAGGCTTTGTAAATCTTATTAACCAATGCTGGGAACTCGACCCAGAAGTATGTATTCATTCAAATCCAAGAAGTGATCAATCCACCAGACAAGATATCTAACATTCATTCTCAACAACAACAGAAACGTCCTACTTGTCCAGAGATTCTCGAACAACTTCAGAGCTTGGAGCGATCCTACCTCGAAAACAAGAAGCGATGGGACAAGGTCAGGGATAAGCCAAAGAAGGTCTAGTCGACCTCGATCCCAATTCCCCAATCCAAACATCATGTACATAAACTATCTTTAAGGCCTTTTGTTCTGGCCATTACGAGATTCTAGGTGTTTCAACCCGTTGCTGGTCTGTCGTATTCCTAGCAAAGAGGGCGAGTGCTGAGACAGGGTAGTTAATTGCCAAAGTATACTTTCGTCAATGAGAATGGAGAATGCCTTAACCGCCAAAGTTTCTTTTGAGGACGCTTGTCAACGAAAGGAGTGGACAAAGAATACTTTGGTATCTCCATTGAATGGAATAATTCCAGATAGTTGGAGATGTGTACAAGACTTTGGTGGAGGGAACCACCTGATATATTTAATAAGGATAGTATTAAATGAATGTCAGACCTACCCACCTTGGGGTAGGTTGATGACGATGGTAATGATAAAGATTGATGTAAATAGTTGGTTGGACGTTGATGGAATGAATGGATGGATGGATTCTGGGGGCGAGCATGGACGCTGTTTTGGTTCATCCAGACTCTCTACTTCTTCTTCTTTGTTGTTGCTCCCTTGTGATGATGGTGGTGGCTCGAGGATGAGGACGACGAAGAGGAGGGTGTGATGTTGAAGATCGAGTGAAACACCTCCTCAAGCAACACAATCGGGTTGTGGCTGGTATCGAAAGGAAGATATTGGCTGATGAATGAATGGTTTGTTGGTGTGGTCGCTCTTGCCTACTGCCTCTTTGCTGAGTGGTTTGCTATTTACAGATGTGTCTTTGTTGTTGTTGGTACTACTACTGCTGTTGCTGCTGTTTGAGTCTGTGTTACTACCGCTACTGCTGTTGCTGTTGCTGTTTGACTTGTTGTTGCCTTTTGAGATATCATCATCCTGTTGTGGAAGTAGATTCTTTGGTATACTGATTGGCAGTGCGATTGGTGACTGCATGTTCAGCTGAGTCTGCATCTTCTTGCAGTACAACTCCATTGCCGCGGCATAATGTACGAATGATTCCAGCTTGATGCTCACATCAAAGGACAACAACTTCAAAAAGTCAAGCTCCATCACATTGATCTCCTTAACAGACACTCCACCAACTTGTGAATAGAAATGATTGTTATAAAATATATCTGGAAATAATTAATTGATTGATTGATTGAGGGTTAGTAAGTCGGTGGAATTATTCCAATAATGTGGGAGTTGATGAACTTACCATCTAAGTACTTGGCAGCCACTAGGATGCTTGTGATCAATATTCTATGTATGTTGTAACTGTTGACGACAAAGTTCCTCTTGGTAATCAATCGATCAATGTACATTAATATAGTGATGAAGCATTCCTTGGAACAAGGTGAGTACTTGAGTATCCTGGCAATATATAGGTCTATGGTGATCATTGGCAATCTCATATTGTCCGGAAGGAATTGATTATAATTGTTTGGTACCTAAGAATAAAAATAATTAATATTAATATAATTAATTAAAATTAATAAAAAAAAAATTAAAAACTTACCTGATCACCAACAGCCAATAGTTGATTGATACATAGGAATAATGACTTTAGTAGACAATCGTTGGCATTGTCTGGATTGGCAGTGATCTCTGCAATGTTCATCTTGCCATCCTGTAGAAGAGAAAGAATAGTTCGTGTTTGGTTGGGTGGGGACAATGGATGCTGTGTTGCCAACTGTGATCCAGGACTCCTAGTGTCATTGTGGTAGTTGGTCACATGAGAATATGTTGATGTTGACTCCATCTTTTTTGTTTGGAAATAAATATTATTAAGTATTAGAGAATGAGAAAGAGAGAGAATGGAAGAAGAGGGAGGGGTGAGGTCCAAAAGGCAGGCCAAGTCAAACGATCGTTTGGTAATATATAAATATAGTTTTAAAGGGGATGCCTAATGGAAGGATAATATATGAAGAATGATTGTTTGGTTGATTGATTGGATGTTTGTTGGATGGATGATGGTTGGTGAGTGGATGGACAGATGTATATTGGATTAATGGGAAGTATCTTGTGGATGGATAACTTGACAAAGAAGGAGGAGAAGCCAATGTGATGGATTGATTGATTGATTGATTGATTGATTGTTTGGTTAGATGGTTGGTTGATTGGTTTGGTGATGGATGGTTGGATGATGGATGGATGTTAGTTTGGGTGTGGAAGTGGAGCAACAGATGATGTTGTTAATGTTGTTGTTGTTTATTGTTGTTGCTACTGCTTGCAGCTGGCTACGGCGCCTACTGCTCGTGTTGTTAGTGTGTGATGGTCCAACAAAGGATGTGATGATACCTTATCCTTAACAGGCTATTCTTGTGATATCTCTCCGCAGGGTGCGTGTGCGCGCATATCATCCCTGATACCACAGATATATGACTTGATGGATGGCACCGGTTGCTCACCTCCACACACCTCCACACACACATATAACATGTTGGCCTGGCATCAACAGCAACAACAACCACTCGTGTGTTTGTGTTTGTTTGATGTTATATATGTGTGATGTTCTCGACAAGCGTGTTATGTGTTTGATTGTTCGTGTGTGGGGCTCGCAACAGTGAAGGGATGGACTGATGGGTTAACCCATCCAATGCAGTTGCTCAGCAACTTGAGTGATCATCAAACAACTACTACTAATTAATACTGATGGATCAACGTATCACTCACTAACCACCCAACCACCTTGGTCTACTTTGAAGTGAACGTTATTGTTATTATCTCTCTCTCATGTTTATATATTTGATGATGAGCTGGTTGTGTGTGTGTGTGTGTAAGTCACACGTGAATGAATGATTGACTGGTGAGCTAAAAGTAGAAGGTAGGTTTGATCAGTGAACTTGAGAGTGGTGGTGGTTGTGTTGATGTCCTTGATGGCAACACCTAATAATATATCTATCTCTATCACATTTATTTATATATTTAATTAAATAAATATATTTATATTGCCCAACTGACTGATCACGATGATGATGTGGATGTATTGATGGAGCACTGTGTATGTGTGTTAGAGTGTGTGTGGAAGGAGGGCGAGATCACCCCTGATAATATATAATTAGTGTCACTGGATTGATGGCATTGGACCAATAACCGACAACAACAATAACAGTGGCTCCTCTTTCCTTCTTTCCCTTCTTTTGGTATCAAATTGACATCTCTATGTGATTATGATGATGATGATGTTGTTTATCTTTGATTGATTGATTCGATACTGGAAACATAGATTGGTGAGTGAGTGGATGGATCGAAATGTGTAGTACATATCACAGCTCCACTCCGATTCGATTCACATGATTGTTAATGGGTTATAGATGGATGTGATGTACTTGATAAAGTAGTGGTGGTGGCAGTAACTTCAACTCCATTGAATAGTACTATTATACGATGTGATCCTCCACCTCCTCCTCCTCCTTTCTCTTTTTACCATAAATGGTTATATGTACATGTTGTCATCAATCTCAATTAGAACATGATTGGTGGACCACCTTTTGATACCATGTTCCATCTATCTATACTCAATGTATATGTCTGTGTGTGTATTGGTCGAGTAGGTGTTGATTGATTGAGATGGACCATCCATCAACAAACACAACTTTGTCCAAATCAACTTATATGGCAATATCCTTAAAAGTCAAGTCAATAATGATCACCTGATTAATTGATTGATTGATTGATTGAATGTGGGTATTAAAAGTCAATGGACATCAATCAAATAATATTCGTTGGCAAGTCTTCTATGTATTTTTGTTATTGTCTATGACATCCATCCATTCTCAATCACTAAACCACTATCAATCTAGAGCACTTCCTCCATACCATCATTGTTGTTTGATGATGATGGTGTAGTAGCAGGCTTGGTTGATGGACTGGACTCTCCTGATGGTGATGATGATGTTGTCTGCTGAGTTGATGGAGCAGAGACCTGTGCCGCAGTCTTCATTGACTTTGATATTGCTGCCTCATTTCTCTTACGTGCCATTTGTTGGTTGATATTATCCATCATCTTTCTAAGATTGTTCTGAATGATCTGTGCCTGAATCTCTGATGCCAGCTGAGTGACTCGCTGCTGTACAGTGGTGCTGTCACCCAGTCTCAGCCTCTCCTTGATCGATTGCATCGCGGCAGAGTTCTCTGGTAACTTTAGCACATCGCCAATGTCCAGCACAGGAAGTGGCATGTGCTGAATGGTCTTGTTGCGTCTGAAACCAACAGAGAAGTACTCCATTCCAACGGTGGTGGTCAGGTTCTCATCCCAGTACAGTGTCTTGATTGAGCGATTCACCTGGATGATACGACCCAATGCAATGGCCAAGTCGTCGCCAGCGTGATGTCCACTAATGTCCAACTCTGTGATTGTGTCGTTCTTCATCATTGCCTGCACCAGGGGGATGACGTCGGCCTTTAGACGACCGGCGCTGCTGCCTGCGATCGACAATGTCTCGAGAGGACACAAGGCAAATGACCCGGGCGAGATAAGCTGCACAAGTGCCTTCACTGCGTTGGTGATGGCAGCAGCCGAGGCACCGGTGGATGGACGACCGGCAAGCGACTGGGTGACTCTGGTGAGTGAGAGAGTTTGGGTGATGATGTCTGTTGGTGTGGAGTGTCCAATGTTGCGATTGATAAAGAGATGCTTCAACTTGGGTAACGTGGTCTGGATGAGTGCGTCCACCAGGATGAGGATGCCCTCCTCGCCCAACTCATTGTCGTTCAGGTCGAGACGCATCAGGTTGGGCACGGCCGACAGCACCTGGACGATGGCCGAAGATGGAAGCTGCGTGTGGCTCAGATCAAAGTCAGCCAAGTTGGGGGTGACCAGCTGGAGGAATGAGGCCAGGTCGGCAAAGTCCTGCTTGCTGGTGGCGGTCAGCTTGTTGTGTGAGAGGTCGAGACGGTTGATCATCCTCGTCTCCTTTGCCTTTTGTATGTTGTTGGGACGGATGGAGGACCAAACCAGCGACACGTTCGACATCTCAAAGTGTTTGAGCGACACTGCGTCGGCCAAGAAAGCAACCATCTCTGCACCACTGTCTTCCAGCTTGTTGCCGCTGATCGACAGGAACTTCAAGTTCTTGCTGATCCACTTGTTCTCGCGCATCGACTTGAACAATGCCAGCAGACCCTGCTTGCCGATCGAGCACTTGGCCAGATTCAGACTCTGTATCTCGTGGCCCACTGTGGCAAGCCAGTCGTTGCACAGCGAAAGAGTGCCGCGATCCTCGATGGCGTTGTTTGAAAGGTCGATCGTGTGCAAATAGTTGTTGAGCGCCAACGTCATCCATGTCTCGGGCGTGATCCAGCTCTCGCGTGCGCTGATGTTCTGCAGCACGACCTTGTTAAATCTTCTTGTTGGTCTGCAGCGTGGTGTTCAAGCTGAGTATGCCATCGTTGCTTATCTTGCAGCTCGGGTTGTTGTAGGCGATGATCGACTCGAACCATTGATTGTACTTGAGTGCCTCGATCATTGCCTTGCCTTGGGCGGGTGTTGGAGTCTCGGGCCAATCCGAGAGATTGAAATCCTTGATGTTGTTGGCCTCGAACAGGTTGTCGATCTCCCAACAGATATCCTCGCGCACAGGCACACCGAGGTAGTCAGAGACGCAACGATAGGTCCTTGAGAAGCCAAAGCATGGTCCGATCTCCTTGGCCGAGACAGCGCCACCCTGCATGCCTGGGAAGTTGGCAGAGTACATCTTCTTGATGGCGATAGCCAGCTCATCAAGCTTGATAGTTGAGCCACTGTAATGAATGACGTAAGTGCGGAACTTGATGTCGACGCCGCCATCAGCTGGTGCGTACTCGACCAGATCGAGTAGATGACCATCAGTTACAACCTTTCCATTAGTGCTCGAAAAGACATAAATGCGATATGATGTTATCACCATCAATCTCTCCTCCTCCTGTTGCTTTGCATTAATCTCCCAGACCTTCTTCTTCTTCAAATCAGTAAACACACCAGTGAACAATATATCCCTATTTGATCTAATACCCTTATTAACAAGGAATTGATCAATTGACTCTGTTTGTTGTATTAATGTTGTTTAATGTTGTATTGTGAGTAGTTGAGATCACTCATTCATTCAATCACTTGTCAATCAATCATATACATACTCTTCTCATTGGCACCGAATGAGACACCATTGCTCTGTGAATAATCCAATGTCAACAACTCTGCCATCTCTTATATTAATATACAATTATTATTAATGAGTGATAGTGATTATGTATCTGTTCGAATGTTATGTATTTGTTTGAAACAGTGTTGGTGTAGTTTGAGTGAATGTTGTGAAAAAGGTGAAATCACCAAATTTCAAATAATATCTTATGAACCAAAAAGCCAACTTCACTTTATTTATCCATGGTCATGGCTTGACAATCTCATTTGATTCATTCACATTCATTGATTCAAACACATCAATAGATATACAAACATATATATAAGATATAGAATGAGTACATCAAGTAATTATGCAGGACCATGGACTAAGGAGGCATTGTGCAAGGGTGATGGATTCATTGTTGAGGGCATCATAAGGAAGTATAAGATGCACTCGATGTTTGTAAACACAAAGCCATCAATACATGATACTACAATGCCAACAAGATTCTTCACTGCAATAGTAGAGGTGGACACTACTATCAAGAGGAACTTTAGGGATGGTATCGAGATCCCACCAAAGATGCAAAGGGCCACTGCCATCAACAAAGGTTTTCTCAACAAGTTTGGTATGTGTCATCATCTCAATTGCAATGGGATGGTGAATGATCACTGACAATCACTCCATCATACTTTACAGATAGAGTCGAGGCCAAGTTGGTGGAAAAGGTAGACCACCAAGGTTTGGCTGCAGCAATCGGATCTGGAACTGGAAAGGCTTTGCCAATCGGTTTCCATGATGACTCGCTTCAGTCACTACACCCTATCAAGCCAGGTCACTTTGAGTTCTGGTTGGACGCCGAGAAGAATCTCCACAAGGATCTGAAGGTTGGTGATGGTAAGTTATCCCATCCCCCATCCTCTCTCATCACCTCGATCAATCGTTCACTCAAACCCAATCAAACAACAACAGAGATTAGAATCAAGACTATTGGAAACTCAGTGTTTGCAGAGAGTATTATCAAGATGGATGGTCTCCAGATCTCCAACTTCTCAGGTGACACTCAGTTGCTAAACTCATGGAGCAACAATCTAACTCGTCGTGGTGATATTGATGATGACGAACCAGTGAAGAAGCCAACTCCACAGGACGATGATGATGAACAGGACTGGAGTTAATCACTCAACTTCCATCCATCCACCAATCCATCCATCACACTACTACTTGACACTAACATCCATAAATTAACAATCAGCAACAACAGCTGTATGTATTATTATTATTATTATTATTATTATAATTAATTCAGTGATGATGATCAGTGGGACTCATTGGAAGGAGCAAACTTCAAGTTCAAAGTTGTCAACAGCGAGAGTAATACTTTATCAGTCCATTGGAAATCAAACCACATCACCAATAATTAATTTGGAAACTTTGACTCATCAATCCAGGAGAGGTTTAGAATAGACCAGTGTAGTCTATCCTCCCAACAAATTGTTCAAGGAAGTATTTATTAATTATTATTATTATCTCTTCAAACAAACAAACAATCAATCAATCAATCAACTAATAATGACATTCCTTTACTTAAACAAGTCATTTTCTACAACAGCCCCGTCCCAGACTAATCAATCAAATCAGTTTGACGACCACAACAACAATAATAACAACAATAATTACAATACACCAGACATCACTCCAACTCCACAACCATCATCCGATAATAATATGTTTCCACAACCATCCAAGACTTTCAACAACAACTTCTTCACTCCAAAGAAGAGAGAGCCAATATCCAAAGACAAGATAATTGATATCCAAAAGTTAGTTCATCAGAATAATAACAATGAACTAATAATTACAACAGACATGTAAGTGTATCATAAATCACAATAATAGAGGAACAATACTAACTTAACTTAAACTCAAAAGTAATATAATATTCGGAGGAAGAGCATGTAGTGGACAACATACAACAATTGAGGTGCTTAAAGATCCATGCTACTCACCTAGATACACCAAGTTATCCTGTGATCAGCCTCCAGAGGTAAAGTGCCAAACATTCTCCGTGATCAACAGGGTGAACTTTGAAGTGCAGAACTACACACTTCGATTCATATCCACGCCTGGTCTGTTTAGGGAGACATACCAAAAGGAGGAGCCAAAATGGGACAATACCAAGGTCATGACAATGATCGCCAACAACTTGGACAAAGAGGTGACCTACCTCAACGGTCTCATCCTGTTCATCTCTTTTGAGGGTGGCATCAATGAACAAGATATCCAGTCGATATTATGGTATCAAGTCTACTTTAAAGATCAAGGTCTCAAGATGGCGCTCTGTGTCACTCATTCAGACAAACACCTTGAGAAGGAGTGGAGGGACCATATTCTGAACGAGATCAATAGTCATCAAGAATTGTCCAAATTGATCAAGAATGGAGATATGAATATTCTCTTCATGGGCTGTGTAGACCTGGCTCGCTATACCAATGAAGAGCAACTCCTCGAGGCCTACAAATTAGTGTTTGCCATGCGTGACGAAATGTTCAAGTTTATCTTTGACTGTAAAGACAGAATGTAAGTATTATACTGGTGAATATATATGAGAGTCATTGCTAACATTCTTCTGGAAATTGGCAAAGACAATTTAAAGTTGAGGAAAAAGTTGTAGGTAACGATCAACATTCTTCAGAGTTTGGAAAGAGAATTCCAGATGGAAATGGTCAAAATTCCAGTCTTGATGGTTGAGACCCGGTCTCAAAGGTTGTTTTATAAATAAACCGGTGGCCAATTTCAAGTAATGTCCTTTTTCAATCAATTCAATTTCATGTCATGATTTTTTTTTTTTTTTTTTTTTGACTAGAGTGGAAGTTTATTATTATTGCAAATAAATTGGCGTCAGTGAAGAGGTGGGATTATATCTATAAGTCGATTTTGAATTTTCTCACCACCGTTTTCCACCAAGTATTTGTTGATGTCATGACGCGCAGGTCAACGCCGTTTTCCTCTTTCCGCTTTTAAAAAATGTCAAAAAATGCGCATGCCGAGAATCGAACTCGGATCGCTTCCGTGGCAGGGAAACATTCTACCATTGGACCACATGCGCTTGATGATGCGATTAAGGAGAGAGAATGGGTTATGAAAGAGAGACTTCACAATCTGCTACTTTTATTAACATTGATCCCAATGGCCGAGTAAAATATGAATAAAAAAAAATAAAAAAAAAAAAAAAACACATGCGCTTGATGAGAATGACAAAAATAATACTAGTTTTATACCTACCAAAATGGAATATTTTTGACAAACTCATTATTGTTTGATCTAATGTAGAGTTCTATAACTCCTAGGGGCTTATCCTATTAATATTCAGGCTATCTATAATCCTTAACTCATTTCCATAATTTTATTCAATATTCATTGATCAATTTAACTGATAATTTTTTTATTGTAATTCAAGGAACCTAATTCATAATATCAGACATGGTGATGACACCGTTGTTGTCGCGATCCAAGGCACGGAACATGTTGTTGACCATGGTGGTTGCCATGTCATATGGTGTGTTGGCACGGAGGAGAACCTGGGTCAATTCATTCCTGTCAATCATTCCATCTCTGTTGGTATCACAAGTCTGGAGAGTGACTGAGAAGTTGGTCTTGAAACCCTGGACCATGGCAGCCTCAGTTGGAGTCAATCCTTGAGTTTGTATTGGTTGCTGTTGTGGTTGTGGGTATTGTGGCTGTTGCTGAGGGTACTGTTGCTGTTGAGGGTACTGTGGCTGCTGGGGCTGTTGAGGGTACTGGGGCTGTGGAGTGGACACAGAAGATGGGCTCTGGTTGTAGAGTTGGATATCAGTCATGTTGATGACACCATTGTTGTCACGATCCAAGGCACGGAACATGTTGTTGACCATGGTGTTGGCCATGTCGTAGGGTGTGTTGGCACGGAGGAGAACCTGGGTCAATTCATTCCTGTCAATCATTCCATCTCTGTTGGTATCACAAGTCTGAAGAGTGGCGCCAAAGTTGGTGACGAATCCTTGGACCATAGCTGCTTCGGTGGGTGTCAGACCTTGTCCAACCTGTTGAGATGGCTGTTGGATTGGCTGTTGGTAAGGTTGTTGATATGGCTGTTGGGGCTGACCTGGTTGAACAAACTGAGACTGTGGAGCACGGTCCGGGAGAGTAGGAGCAAAGGACATTGGGTTCTGACAGTAAAGCTGAATGTCGTTCATGTTGATCACACCATTGTTGTCACGATCCAAGGCGGCAAAGATCTTGTTGACTGTCTGGTTGGCCTGGTCATATGGAGTGTTGGTGCGGAGGAGTGACTGCAGTACCTCGTTCCTATCAATGTTTCCATCTCTGTTGGTGTCACAAGTTTGGAGCTTGCTGTTAAAGTCGACAATGAATCCTTTGATTATCTCGGACTCGGTAGGGGTCAAGCCTTGTTGGACTGGCTGAGTTGGTTGCATTGGTTGAATGGGCTGTTGGTATTGTTGAGGTTGTTGTGGTGCTGTTGGGGCAAATGACATTGGGTTCTGGCTGTAGAGTTGAATGTCTGTCATGTTGATCACACCGTTATTGTCACGATCCAGGGCAGCAAAGATCTTGTTGACGGCTTGGGTGGCTTGGTCATATGGCAAGTTTGAACGGACGAATGCCTGGATCAACTCATTCCTGTCGATGTTGCCATCTCTGTTGGTGTCGTAGACCTGGAGAGATGAGCCAAAGTTTGTTATGATGCCTTGCAGAGTCGCTGACTCGGTTGGGGTCAGACCCTGGGGCGCCTGCTGAGGGTATTGGGGTTGCTGGGGGTATTGGCCTGGCTGCTGGACTGCACCTGAGCGAGTGTTGTAGGTCAACACATCATTCATATCGATGACTTGGTTGTTGTCACGATCCAACACACGGAACAAGTTGTTGACAGAGATGGTGGCCTTGTCAAAGGGTGTACCAGAGTTGAGGAGTACCTGGGTCAACTCGTTCCTGTCGATACGGCCATCCTTGTTAAAGTCATGGGTCTTGAGCACGGTATTAAAGTCCGAGATAAAGTTCAGCATGATGGCCTGGTCGGCAGGGGCCAGGGCAGGTTTGTCGGACCTCCTGAGTCTTGCTGAAGTGTCTCCCTCGGTAGCGGTGGGGCTGGGTGGTTCCATGGCAATCACCTCGGTCAAGATAACGGTCGAACTGTCGATGGCGGCCCATCTTCCTCCGTGCCAGACCTCCTTCAATCCCATAATACGATCAAAGTTGTCAACCACATAGCAGTTGTTGTCGAGGGCGAAACGTAGAGGGTCACCAGCATCAAAATGGGCGTTACAGTAGTAGTTGGTGAGGGAGAGGCCGTTGACTGGGATCCTGGTGGCGTACTGGCTCCACTTCTTGTCTGGTCCGACGTCGATGTTGCTCTGCGTGCCATGCTCGGCAAAGAACAGCGAGAATGTACGATCATGGTTGACCTCGGCGATAAAGGCCTTGTTCCAGTCGGTCACACGGCCATGGCTTGGGATGAAACGGTCTGGCAACTCGTCTACAAATGACAGGTAGTCACCATCACGGACCATATAAACCTCCTTATTATTATACTCCACCTTAAACTTAAGATAGTGCATGTTGCCATGATTAAATTGGCGAATTAATGAATCGGGAGTTGTCATATTTAAAGCGAAGAGTATAATTTTGTTATCCAATGAATGAATGAATTAATGAATGAGGTTTGTGTCCTATATTTATATGACTTTGGACTCATTCCTCCTCCTCCACTCAATCAATCAAACAATTAATTAATCAATCAATTATCTTTACTCATCATATGAAGTAATATCTATAGTTGTAAATTGGTCATTCGATGATCATCAATATGACCCTTCGTTTATTAGTGATTGAGAGTCGATCGGCTGATATCATATAAGTTGTGTTCACTGTTGATCGAGTGTCAGGAATCTTTAACATTTTAATATTAGCGTTTGTTCGTTGACCGATCTGGATCGTCATCGTACCACAAAACAGTTGTGGTTGTGCCCGTTGAATTTCATCGAATCGCCCCTTTTTGTACAAGCTCTAGTTTGTGATCGATCAACTGTACAACTCAAAATATGCCCTTTCGTTGATGTGACACAAAAACAAATAATAATAATAATTAATAATAAAATCAAAACCCATTAGTTGACGGATGACATGCTTATACTCCACGTCACCTACTCTCCTCGTGATTATTTATTATCCACTTCTATCATTATAACCTTTCCTTCCTTTCTTTCCTTAAACCTATAATCTCTTTACCAAACTATGACTTTATTCAGTAGGCTGCTCCAATCCAGACAGAATGAAACACATTCAAACTCACTAACATATTATTGTTCTTCCCTTTTTTAGAATCACTCACTAGTTTGGGTTCACCAAGCAGCTTTGGATGCACATCTATCTCTCAGGGATACGTGGCCTCCTCCAACTCGACCTTGTATATGCAGGGATCCAACCACACAGCCGAGGCCCCTATCAGTGACTCAGTGGCCAACAACCCAATCTACAAGTCGAGTGGAGAGAGCGGTTATAACCCCCTCCATAGAGCCTAAATCAAACAAATAATTGGACCTGGACTTTCACCATCCGTCCATTATCAACTAAACTCGTACTTTATGATACTTGAGTTCATCATCAATTTTGAGAGTGTTAAAGTGTTCAAGTTGAAATTTTGAGATTGAATCAAAGAATGAATGAGTGTTCTTGGATCGATCTTTTATTTCCTGCTCCATAAATAATGCCCAACAAAGAGTACAGGTAGTATTGCAAAAATGTTAAAGCGGATGTCAACTGCCATGACCACCATGATGGTCTGTCGACTATAGAGTTTGCAGGGGTGATAGGGACTGTTGAGAGGTCAATAGTTTGGAATGTGATTGTATGCTGAAGTGGTTGATTCCTTTGATCCATATCCTCTCCAGTGATTCGACACCATGGATGAAGACTGCCAGTATTAATTGTTGATACATTGCGCAATGTAACACATTGAGTCTTGCTATCTGGCAATAGGAATATGATGTTGAAATCAATCACATTTGGATAGTTGGTGAACAAATGCTTGATTATTTGTTTCTTTGTGATGTGTAACTCTTTGTCTAGTACATCAATGTTATATCCAATTGCTAGCCAATCCAAATGATTGTTATGTGTTGGTATCGATTGACCATCTTGACTGGTTAACACCATTCCTGACTTGTCAGACTTACATACAAGTGACTTTAACAACATCAGTCCACGAAGTGATGGAGGGAGTGTGCATCATTTGATCGAGCTCACAGTTGATATCTCCAGTATGACAAGACTTGTTGGAAGATTGTTTAGTGTCTGCTCAAATGATGGTCCCAGTCTCAACTCGGTCAGTGAGTCTGGCAGTGAGTTGGGCTCCAGCTTCTGATTGAAAATGTGACCACATTCTAAATGTTGGAGCGATAATGGAAGCACTCCTGGGTTGATCACTTGATTGAATTGTGTTCCCAGGTTTAAGTATGTGATCGATGAGTTCATCAAGTTGAGGCCAAAGACTGATTCAAGTGGCTTGTCAAAGTATCCACTCAAACTAAGGTTGGTGATTCAATCCAGATGCTTGGCTCGTGGACAATGATTGAATAGATGATGGATGGTTCGAATATCCTTCATTGGACTGAATAGTAGTAATAGTTGTAGTAGACGAACTCTATCGACGGATCCACCAACAAACAATTCAATAGTATCAATCTATTCAATACATTATAATATCCCAAACTAATAATATCAATTCCAAAATTCATTATACTACTACTAGTACTACTAGTACAATCATCCTCTGGTATTAATAATTCAAATATATTTGATTGAAATGTTTGGTAATATCTCCATCTTATTATCTAAATAAATTATTGATTGAATGAAGTGATTGAATAGATTCCAAAGGGTGCCACTTTGTAGTTTCATCAAGTCCAGACTCGTGTGTTTTGGAGAATCACCAAGTCAGAATTACTTGTCGTTTTCTGTATTGTTTTCAATTTGACAGGTCATCAATCAATCAAACAGATATTATACGATCAGTGAGATAGATATATAGATATAAGATGTTACAAACAAGATCATCTCTTAATATTGGAAGATCATATATAAAGTTAACATCAATATCGACTCCATTATCAAAGTCGTTGTTGTTGCAAACTAGACACATCACTGTTATGCGTCAACACAGCTCACCATTGTATTACGTCGGCGACAACATCATCCACAAAACCAATCTTTACAACCATCACAGCAGCGTAAATAAGAAACAAGCACAACAACTAAAGCTACAACAAAAGCAACAACAACAACAACAACAACAACATCAACAACCACAACAACAACAGCAACAGCAACAACAACAACCAAAACCACTACTACAAAAACGTCAACAACAACAAGAACAATCAGTTACAAAGCACAAAGAAAATGGAGAAGATGAAATCTTTGTAAAGAAGGGAAGATCAAGAATGCTCTTTGATTTCATACAGATGGATATTGAGAGGACGGCCAAGTCAATACTCTATCTGCTAGAGTGTCGCAAGCGAGGCATCTACGAGTACTTGGAGCATCGCCCGGATGTGACGCTCCTGACGATCATCCACGAGCATGTCTGCCATCTCACCACCCGTGTGCACTTTGTCCACTTTGTTAGGGAGTCATTCCGCAACAGGCGCCTGATGGAAAGGTCTCTGCCGCTGCTTTCGTTCGACCTGGACAAACACACCCCTGAGCATCTCAATGCCTGGATAAAGCGCGTCGAGGAGTTTGTCGGACTGGTGCTCTTCCACAACAACATCGACACGCCAGCACTCTCAAAGATACTCAAACAGCGACTGGAGAACGTGTTTGAGCTCAAGGACCTTTTGCAAAAGCGCGGCCAGATGGCCAACGTTGACGAGGGCGACTCGAGACTGCTGGAGGAGCAGATCGACTCGCTGCTTCACGAGTTTGACCCACAGCGCCACTACGACCGCATGTATGACGACCTGCCGCGCGATGTGGCCCGATTCGGCAGTGGCTATGTTGGCTCCTACATCAACACATTGGACACGATACCCAACCTCACGCACAAAGACAAGTTGTTGCTGCACCACAGCGCCGTTGGACTGAGGATCATTCTTTTGAAGGCCAAGGGCGTGGCAAAGACGAAGCCCAAGTACATTGGCATCAGGATAGACCCGGACGAGGAGCTCTACAAGAAGGTCGAGAAGTACATCGACAATGAGATGTCGTACGCGCTGGCCACCGTTCAGTTCTTTGAAATCCTGTACGGCCACTCCAAGGTTCAGCGTGACACCTCGGCCGAGGCAGAGCAGCGCATCCTCCCGCAGATTATCGGCATGTTCACAATGATGCGATACAAGTACCTCTGCAAGTACGCAATGACGCAGAGCAAGCTACAAAAGCCATTAGACAACCTCAAGAAGGCCATATACAAGTTTGTCGAGGCGGTCAGGAATGGTCTCTCACACAATCACCTCGCGTCACACCTGCACGACATTTGCGACATCGTCTCGGTTATACAGTACAAGGACAAGGAGACACACAAGGCTGCATTGGACAAGATCGTGCACTACATCTCTTTCCTGCATATTGAGAAGGAGATGCTGCTGCTCGACAAACAGAGGACACTTGATGAGTTGGAGAGGGAGGCTCAGGCCCAGGCCCAGGCTCAGGACGACCAGGCACAGCAGCCCACCTCATCAACATTCTTCAACCTGGACTCGATGATCACAGACACGAGACAAGATCTTCAAGTGCTGCATGATGAGCTCGCCAATCTGTCACTTTTGAATCATTTGGACTTTGGCAAGGTGGAGCTGTCCAACCAGGACATCACGGTGGCATTGGCTCGATTCATGCAGTTGCGTATAGTGATGGCAGAGATCAGCAACAAGTTGGACACTTTGCCCAATTACAAACTGGACGACAACGAGTCCATTCCACAGAACATTCACGCACTGACCGATGCAGAATTCTACAACATGGTCATGATCAGTATAAATGACATTGTCCAAAGACTCAACATTCTCAGTCAACAACAATCATTATCATCATCACCATCATCATCATCCAATGCTACAAAGACAACAGAAGCAAAAAGACCAAAGAGAGAGAACAACAATAACAAGGAATTGGACAACACCAACAACAACAAGACGATGGCTAAAGATGAGTTTCTGGATACCTTTGTGAAGACCAAAGTCGACACAAGGACACGTAATCTAAATGAAGTTATTATATAAGTTGTAAGAGTCTATATAATCCGATAGTAGTTGGACATTTATTACTTGTATCCCGGCTCTATCCCATCCATTACCCGATATCACTTCCCCCGACATCGTCGGTTCAAAATTCAAACTAATGCTGCGCGTTAATGTTGCCACAATCATCGTTTCAACAAGACAATTGAAAAAACAAACAAAACACAACCTCACATTGTGGACAAGTCGTACAGTCCAGGGAGTGAAACAAGTCAGTTGAATTGAGTCATTTGATAATCTAGAGATAGAGATATATAATATATACACAAACAAACAAATAGATAGATAGATAGAGAATTAGTGACTCATAGTCAAAGTAATATTTATACAATGGTCTATGGGATAACAAGGAGAATAGATACAATTGATCATGAACTTAAACAATCACCCATTCTCTTAAAGACAACTGCATTGCCAGATATTACAGTTAATAATAATAATAATAATAATAATAATAGTAGTAGTATCAATAGTTGTAATAATAATAACATTAATAGTAATAGTAATAGAGTCATTGATAACAATGAAGAAGAGGAGGATAATGAAGCATGCACAGCATCTATTGTGGAGATAGATGTTATGGGTGACAACAACAATGACGATGAAAGAGAACAACAACAACTATTACAATCATCAACATTATCACCAAACAATATACTACTACATAGCAATAACACTTTACCCAACATTAATACACCAACAACACCAACACCAACAACAACAACATCATCATCCAATATTACCACCACTCTGCTACTGCTCACGACAACCGTGACACTGATAGCATGTATATTATACTTCTCAAAGAACCTGCTCTCATTCCTGGAGATGGTCGAGAACCTGGGCCTGATGGGCAACGTCATCTTTGTGCTCTCGTATCTGCCCACAGGCATCCCCCTTGCACTCTTTAGTCTGTACATCCCGCTGACGTTCTCGGCGGGCTTTGTCTATGGCTTCATGCACGGTCTCATCACTGTGATGGTGGGCAGCGTGCTGTCTGCCGCCGCCGGTTTCTGGTTGACACGCAAGATCAGTCTGCGGTGGTTCGAGTCAAAGATAGAGTCCAGTCAGCGACTGTCCTCTCTGCGCTCAATGGTCGAGCACCATCCCTTCAAGATCATCATCATAATGCGAATGTTACCAATCCCCTTTGGACTCCAGAATGGTCTTTGTGCGGTATGTCCCTTGGACCGCATGATCAATGACTCCGCGACTGACTGGAGACTAACATACCCTCATTATAGATGACTCGAATATCATTCTCAACATTTATATACTCATCAGCCATTGGATTGGTACCAGAGAATAGCTTGTTTGTCTACATTGGCACGACGCTAAAGACGATCTCGGACATCACTGGCGATAATAAGAACCCATTCTCTTACTACCAACAGATACTGTTGGTGTTTGCAATCATTGGAGGCATCGTTCTGTCGGTGGTGGGCAAGAGATTGCTCCACTCCTCATCCTCCCTACTACACACTCCCAGCATAACGATCAGCAGCAATACGCATGAGCCAACGATCAATGGACAGAAGGAGCTAGAGACCAGTCGTGATATTATCCTGACCATCAAGTCTACTCAATCAATGTCTTCATCGTCGTCCTCGCCGTCGTCGTCAGGCGCCAACAGCACAACTCCTCCACAACAAACCAAGTACATACCCTACAAGGAGCGTATCGAATAAACCCACCCGATTATCAAGGTCCGCGATGGACTCCAAAGAAGACATCAACTGGCTGATTGATTGATTGGCGCGCGCTTTATACTATTATTACTATGTTATACATTCGTCACTGATGATGAGGTGGAGTTTGTGGATGATGGCAATTGGCTGCCACCGGTGTAGACTAGGCCTCCTGCCTGGCTTATACTCTTGTTGAGTTGGGTCTCGTCGGTCTTTGTGCCGCGCACAGAGTTGTTGTAAGAGTTGGACTGCATCTGAGATGAGTGGCCACTGTTCTGCGATGAGTCGTAGCTGTCGATGGTGTGTTGTTGGCCACTGACAATCATCCACACCTTGGGCAAGAATAGCAGACAGGCTGTGGCGGTGAAGGCCAGCAGGATGGACACGACCTGGATGACGATCTCGGCGGTTGGGTAGTCGGTCAGCAGGAAACCGATGGGAATGGCGACCAGCATCACGAATGTCAGGTTGTAGACGGACAACGAGATTGGCTTGGACTCATTGAGCTGGTCGACAACGTTACGTGTCTTGTAAGCCAGGAACACTCCGACGATGATGTAGGCCACCTTGTAGAGACAGAAGGCGTACCACCATGCGGTCGTGGTGGACATACACTGGTTCTGCGCCTCACCCTGGCGGTAGATGGGGTTGGTGACGACGCGTGGACGATCGACGGCAGTCCACACCACCAAGAAGATGGTCTCAATCACCAGGAACACTCCGACGAATGTCAGGATCATCTGGTTGGAGATCTTGATGATCTTGAATCTGTGGGCATTGGCAAACAGACGCCATGTCCTCCACGTCTTTGTAAATATAGTTCCAAACATAATTACATATCCATATCCAAGCAACCAAGGGAATGCAGTGCACAACTCATCAGTTGGTGATGGTAACAAAGTGTAGATGGCAGCGTATCCAAGGAGTGACTATGAGTATGATTGAGTGATTGAGTGAATGTTAGTGATTTTGGATGGAGATGGAGATGGAGGGCAAGGGAGTACATACACCAAGAAGGATCAGACAACAGAATAGTGGAGATGAGTATCTAAACTTCTTCCACTCAAACACAATGACAAAGGCCATGAACAACACCAGTAGAGTACAGAATCCAGTCACTCCTCCAAGTGCTCCATTCAAAGGAATTGAATATGTGTTGACCATGTCTAAGCAATAAGATTGGTTGATTGGTCAGTCACACTGAACTTGATGTATGAGTAGATGGACGGGGGGATGGTATACTTACAATCAGATGGTACTTTGTGTGAGCCACCAACAAACATCATGTGTTGATTGAGTTGGACATCGGACTCGTTGCCGTTGAGGGCAATGGTGCCAACTTGACTGAAGGACACATTGACATAGTTGGAGATGGCAAAGGTTGGATTCTTGCGATCGCCTACCTCATCAAACTCCACTTGTCCAGAGTATCCGGCAAAGGTTGTGGCACGGATGGCATCACGAACAACCTCACCATTCGACAGGTTGGCCTTGGGGTCCTTCTGAAGGATGCTGTCAAAAGCCAACATCAATGTCTTGGTGGCGTCCGATGAGAACACGGCACCCTTGTAGAATGTGTCCGACTTGGTGTCTGGGCCAACCAACTCTCTGACACTGGTGACGTTCTTGACGAGCGAGGCGTAGTCGCCAGAGTTGTACTGTGGGAAGAATGAGATCACGCCCTCATACTCTGGACGCTGGTCCACCATCTCTGCGCAGCCATCAGTGACGATCCATGCCACGCCCTGCTTCATGTAGTAGTTGTTCTTGAGTGCGTAGTCCCAGAGGAAGGAGCAGTCCTGGGGGAACAGCGCGTATGTGATGATGACACGCGCCTTCACATCGTCCAGGTTATTGTACAGCAGTGCATAGTCTTCGTTGGTGGGGTTGCTGGGGTCGTCTGCGTTGGAAGAGCGTGGCTTGATGGCCTGGATCGTGTCGACTGTCACACCGATCTGGGCAGCCTGCTGCGCCAGCAGCGTGGCACCACCATTGCCATAGTCCTCCTGAGTGTGGACGCAAGATATACGTGTCCAGCCATAGTGTTGGACCAGTGCCAGGATGGCCTGCACCTGGAAGGCATCCGAGGGGAACACACGGTTGTAGTAGGGGTAGGATGAGAGAGATACTGAACTGGCGTAGAAGCCAATGTTTGGCACGCCAAACGCGCCGAGAATCAGGCCAACCGTGCTGCCACTGCTCGAGTAGGCCGGTCCAATGACCGCGTGCACCTTGGACTGCTGGGCCAGTCCGAGTGTGTCCAGCACCAGACTGTCATACTCGCTGACGTTGGTGCGGCACAGAGTGAGGTTGTAGGCGGACTTGAAGTGGGCCACATAGTCCAACAACACAAGATCCGATGTATATCTATATTGGTTGACCTCTGGATCACCCTGTGGCACGATCGATGCCAATCTAATCTGTTCTGACAGTGGCTGACTAAGATCACATCTCAACTTTGCATCGATGCTCTCTGGGTAGGACTGTGCCAATGTCAACGCCACCAGCATTAACACTAGCAATGAATGATTGAGTATTGTCCTCATATTATATTATATATATATTTGTTATAAGTTATTATTAGTATACAATGAATGATTGATTCATTGAGATATGATGGAGTTGCCTTTGGGCTTAGTCCCAAGCTCGATGGTCTGTTCTCAAGGTCGGCACAGAGGTAGGGAGTGAAGGGGACACATGGGTGTTGGGGCAATACAGGGCACACAAGGTTCATCATCAAAGTGGCTATCCTATTTATGATCCTATCCTACCATTCTCTCTCTTTCCAATATACACACTCACACACCACACTCTATTCTGCACACTGATTGGCGATCAGACCATCATCACTGGACCCCCAAGACACAGACTTGCCCACAAAAGCGTGTGGACCTAAAGATAAGATTTGGTTGCTAGTTGTGGACCACACATGAATCCACGTGAATCGATTCAAAGGGAATGAAGATATTTAGTTTAATGGTTAGGATCCATTATCATCATTCATTCATTCCATTCATGATTATCAATCATTCAGATATATCTATTTTCGAAAATATCTAGCGAGTGCAAAGTTGAGCTATGAATCTTTTACCAAAGTTCTGAATTACTCCTTGTATGTATGTATTTGTTTGGAACTTTAAAGATCTAATGGTAACCATCTGTCCGTCCTCTCTTTCTTTCTTCATAACTTGATAGCTATTTTTGGATTTATCCCCTCTACATGTAATAATGACTTCTCATTTATATATATTTTATTCTTATTCTTTATTTATCTATATATATTTGTTGATGTTAAACAAATAATAATATTCTTTGAATGACTCCAATGAAGAAGAAGTTTCTCTTTAACTCTCTCTTAATTGAGAATGAGTCATTCACACACGCAGAAACATCCTTGTCGTTGAGTAATCGTGTTGTTGGACGATTCAAAATTGTTTGTGTTATGTGTTTGTGTTGCACACGTTGCATGAAGCGTGTTCATTTATTCATTTGTATCCACTAAACTCAATTATTTATTATTGTTAACTGTCTATCTCTATTAATAAATATACTTATTATTTGTATTATTATTATTAATAACAACAACAACAACAAACTTAACTATATATATTTTGTATTTATATTATAAACAAAAAGAACAAGAATGCATTTATATACTATTGCACTATTCAAGGTTAGACCAGGAAGTAAACCAGTACTACTTAGCATTGTATATGAATTGTCTTCATTTGGATTCTTTCAAAGAGGTTCAGTAAAGGAGATTACATTGTTTGTAGCAAGAGAGACTGTTGGTCGTATCAATGTTGGCGAGCGTATCAGTTTGATACATGAACAGAGCCAAAAGGTGTGTCATGCCACCGCCGACGCCAAGGGTCTGGCCTGCGCCGCCCTGACCGACTCGGAGTATCCAGAGCGTGTGGCACACGTGCTGGTGCGTCAGGCCATGGAGCACTTCTATCAGACACACGGTGACAGATGGCAGACGGCCACCAACGATATTGAGATGCCCACGCCACCACTGGACCAGATGATCATCAAGTATCAGAACCCGCACGAGGCCGACCCCATGATGAACCTACAGAAGAACCTCGACGAGACGATCAACATCGTCAAGAAGACCGTCGAGCAGCTTGGACAGCGTGGCGAGAAGCTCGAGGACATTGCATCAAAGAGTGACGATCTCAGCTTCCAGAGCAAGGCTTTCATGCAGAACGCTGAACGAATGAACAAGTGTTGTTCATATCTATAGACTACATGTCCTTGCAAAGGCTTGCTGGACTTGTCTTGATTGGAATAGGGATATATACGCTCGAGCGATAATCAATCAATCATTCATTCATTCAATCAATCAAACAGCAATCCTAGACATACAGATAACAGGCTCGCGCCTACCAACTTCACCTTTCGACTCCACCTCCTCCTCCTCTGCTCCTGTGTGCACGGGTTAAGCTCTCCTGCACTCCTCGACAATGACAATGACTAGACTATACTAGCTTCACGTCTCACGTTCGAGAGGGTCAGACACCAAGCCTTGGCCGGCGTGCGTGCAAGAGTATGAGGATTCGGCGACGATGACAATAAACCCCAGATAGACTATCTTGTTGTTATATATGTATCCATTTAATATCTCTCCTCTGGTTCAGAGGTTATCAAAGTACTTCTCTGACAAGAAGTCCATTATAGCTGATGTGGTATTCAATCGATTAAACTCTAGTTTCTCATGCTTGTTGTGAACGGAGAATAGCATGTACATTAGATGACGGTGAAGGATGTTGGGATGCAGTCCACCAAACTCTGTGTATATGTCCATGAAGTCTTTGACGCACTCGGGTGGCGTCACATCGTAGCCTTTGAATAGGGCTGGGTTACAGAGGATGCCTCGAGCCGACATAACACCATTGACACCGGTACGATCTCTTATCTCCTCTGCTTGCCTCAATGTGAAGATATCACCATTGGCAAACACTGGTATCGAGACACTCTCCTTTACCAACTTGATGGCATCATAGTCGACTGGATGTGATGAACGCTGTTGTGAAGTGCGGCCATGTACAGCCAACCATGATACGCCGGCAGCCTCTGCCTGGCGTGCCAACTCCACCGTCTTGTTCAAGTCAGGCTGTATCCTAATCTTTATGCTCAGCGGGATAGGCACACGATTCCTCGTCTGTTTTACCATGTCTGTTATCTTTTGTGGATGGAGCAATAGGTTGGCGCCATAGCCTTCCTTCATGACCCACTTCTGAGGACATCCACAATTAATATCAATGCCCTGGCAATGGTTTGCCACCTTCTCTGCAGCGGCCGTCAACTCCTCAGCTGTATTAGCAGCAAACTGTACAATCAATGCATCATCGTCTGATCAAATGTGATTGGATGTTAATCCTCGTGTCTTTGTCGTTATGTCATACAATGATCAATCAAACATACAAGCATTGGTAGTGAAATCAGAGTCTCTTGCATATTGACTCCTGTTGAATGCATCTGCCAATATCATTGGCGAGTAGGTAATGTCGCATCCCCATCTAAAGGATGGTTGTCAGTCTCTTATCCATCATGCTCCTTTGTCCCAACCTAACCTACCTTTTACATAACAGTCTGAATGGTAGCCTACTGAATCTAACCATTGGAGCAGCAATCTTCATAAAGTCACCTCTTTGTACTCTTTCAACAATTGACAACTGTTGTTGTTGTTGTTGTTGATCATGTCTCTCTGAAGAGATTGAAAGCCTATTTATATCATCTGTAATATCGCATTCATTGTCAATATCTTCATCATTGACATCATCCCTATCCTCTGGCTCTATAACATCATTATTATCACTCATGATCTTCTTATTCTATGTACACTTCATAAATATATAACAGATTTCTCTCTTTAATAATTCAAGCTCGAGCCGACTTCTAATCTAATCTCGTTCGTTTCCAACAATGCAAGTCGGTGTGTTCAACACAAAGTCAGTTCATTCATTCATTCCCTTTCTTCTTCTTATTGTTAATGATAATACAATACATAATACTTGGAGCTGTCAATGAATATTAGGTAGTACACTCTACTTCGCTACACTTTACTTGTACAACAACACTCAAACTTATTTATTTATTAACAAGTACTTGGGACTTGATAAATAGATAAGTTAATTCAAAGCAAGTTACACAACAATTGGACGAACAAACTATAAATAACTGATGGGGATTGATTGCTGGTATAAGTTTGATAACTTCAGCAAATCGTTTGAATAATGTGTACAACTAACACCAACGACATGATGTTGTACAACTTGCCCATTCACAACCCTTCAGAGTGTGACCTTTGGCACAACAACCACGAAAATCACTAAAGTTGAGATATTTCCTTGCGATAAAAAGGTCCCAAAAGTTGACACCAATGCTTGATCACTTGACTGATCGAACCTAGATAAGTATCATTCAATTATATCTATTATCTATTTATAAACATACAGATACATACCTACAAATATACTTAATAATAATGACTAAAATAATTTTAACTTTTCTATTTTTATTGACTTTAAGTCAATTTATTTATTGCCAACAAACACTTCAAACAGTTATTATTTATGTTAATAATCAATCACCTTTTAATGATACTACTTTATGTGGTGATACAACCGATCCAAATACTGCATGTCCAACATTCTCAGCTGCATTGGCTCACTTCAAATATTTGTACCCAAAGGCCAACAACACAGAGTTGGTTATACAGCTTGCCAGCGGACTATATGTAGCCAATATCTCAGAGTCTAAACCCCTGATGCAATTCGATTACCTCAACCTTACAATCAGTCCAATGGTCGATGCCACCGATATCACCATCGATCTCAACAACAGAAGTTTCATTACACTGCTCTCCTCCAACGGCCTTTCACCAACAAAGTGGTCAAGAGTCACTATCAATGGAGCGATGACCTTTATAAATGGTGGATCAAACTTTATCAATGCACCATATGGTAGAAACAATATAACTTTGAACAATGTATTGGTCACTGGATTCTATCGTTACAAGCCCAATCAGAGTATGATTAGGTTTGATGATGGTACCATCATATTCAATGGATGTACTTTTACAAACATCACCAGTGGCACCAACTGGCCATTGATCTACGGTACCAAGTTGAGATTGACACTCAATCAAACAACATTTGCCAACAACTCATTGATCCCATCAATATGTGATACAACCGGTGCTGTAATAATCATCTCATCAACATTCCACAACAATCATTTCACATTGCCAAGGTTCATCGATTTCACCATCACTACAACTATCCAGTTCCCCATCCAAGTGATCATTGATAATTGTACCTTTACCAACAATCAGGGCATCAATTCCACCGCACCTGGCACACTACTCAATGGCTATGGACCATTCATTTTGACCAATTCTGTATTTGACTCTAACTCCAACATCACTGCGGCCATCGATGTGGACTATGCCAACAACACAAAGATTGAGTTTACATCATTCACCAACAATCAATTTGGCAATAATGGATTATTAATATCATTGGAATACTCCAATGTTACAATGACCAATGTAACGATCAATGCCAACACTGCGACCAACACCACCAACACTGGCAAGCAATTATTCTACATCAACTACTCGTTGCTCAATATGGACAATGTTGTGTTTGGACCGACCGACACACCCGTCCAGACCATCATCAACTGCACCCAATCCACCACCCAGGTCAGGAACTTCATCGACACTGGAGGCAACCGATTGATGGATTGTAATTTGGGCAACAGTCGTTGTACACTCTCTGGATACGATCAAGAACTGTGCCACTCATCAGGTGGAGGAATAGTAGTTTCAAAAAAGGCCGGTATGATTGCTGGTATAGTCATTGGAGCAACTGTTGCCGTGGTTGTATTGATTGTTGTATTCATAAAGGTACTGCGGCCAAAGCAAGAGAAGATGGATGTTACCTCTGGCAAGGGTGCCAATGTAGAGATGGGCAGACACTATCGCAGCGAAGAATAAATATTAATATTCAATCGATTGAATTGACTTGAACATTTGTTGGACATCATTGATTGGTTGAGCGAGATCGAGATCATTCATCTCCCATGATTGGTTATACTTGAGTTGTTTGAGTGTCTTGTTGATGGCTGAGAACCATTGACCTTGGACAACATTGAATCTTACTAGATTGACATTGGATGCAATCTTATCCGCCACTTCGCCCGCTACTATTACAGTTAGCTTGATTGATCTGATTGTTTTGTTGGTAGAATAGGCGTCCGCAAACAGTCTGATCGTCTCATCTTTGTTAAATGGATTTGGTGCCAAACCAAGTCTAAGCTTACGAAGTGCAGAGAGTTGATTGATGAATGTAAAGTCCATTGGAGCTGTGCATTCGATTGATAGATATACCAATCTACTTGATAGTGTAGTGAACATTGATGAGTATGGCATCAATGTAGGTCTCACAACAGCATGATCACACAGCATGTGCAGTCCATCGAGTGAGCTCTTGTGTGCCATCAATAGCCTCGTGTAATAATCACTTGGTCCAATTGCTCCCGATGAAGACACTGAACTTTGTTGCTTCTCTCTTGGTACGATATAGCGTCGTAGAGGTGGCTTGATCAATGGTATCAAATCAGCAAATGACTTGTATACCTTTGGATCAAGTATTTCATCCACCATCTTGAATCGATATTTGATTGATAATGATGTGATTCTTGATTGCCAACGAGTGTTTAGATATAGTACCATCTGTTGAACACATTTCCATGTTGTATACTTGTCCACTATCATCTTTACATGTCCAAGGTTGGTCTTTGTAATTAGTCCCTCGAACTCTTTAGTGAAATGCTTGAGTGAACATCCAGAGATATCCAATCTATATCGTTTGAGTATGTTTGATACAGCCACTGTTGCATCATTTCTGTTATTCAATAGACTGTAGAACTTGTCTATTGATTCAACTACTAGAGGTGAGAGTCTATAATATGTGTTCAAATGTTGTATCATATCTTTGATGATCACCAACCATCTCTTTGATAGGCACAACATGTTAACAGTCCATAACTTATCACGACAACTGTCATCGATTGCAAACTGTACTATCTTCTTTTGTACTAGTAATGGTAACTCTATATATTGATCCATTGTATCTCTCTCTCCTTCTCTTGTTCATCACCCAATATATTTTAAGTTCATTCACAGTTAACCAAAAGTGGGCGAGAGAGAAGCTTGGTTTATTGTCATTTGCGATATCTCTTGTTGTTTACTGTGTCCCGCACACCCTCAGTGACGTCCACATCATGGGGAATGAACACATTCACGATGTGAAATGAGCATGGAAGAGCGTATCCATTCCCATTGCCATCCATATAGAAGAGTGGATTTGGATAATTCAGAGGAACTGGTKGCATGACTCGGTAAACCATGATGGTAATGTGTGATTTTGGGTACAAGTGCCACCAAGTTTGTCTAATTGGCTCATCCACTTTGGTGTTGCTTGGAAAGGTTGATTTGACATAGAACAAACTGTAGCTGGAAAATCTTGTGAATGGAATTGTGACTCGGTAAGAGATTGGTCCAAGAGGGAATTTAGGATAGACAGTGTGATTGGGCGAGTTTCCATCCGGGCCAGGACTAACTGAGAAGAACACACCTTGGAGGACCTGGCCATTGATTATTGGGGCATCACAAAGCACTCCATCGTAGTGTCTATTCATTGGCTTCGCCTTGTCAACTAGTAGGATGGAAAGGTTCGGTTGACTGCCGCAATGGTACATGCCAGGTGATGGAGAAGGAAGTAGTTGATAAACACCGACAAGTTGGAGGGAGCGAATCCATGGTGATGGACACGATTCATCGTGATATCTCCATTCTGAGATGCAGGAGACTTCGACGTGCTGTGAGCACTTTGGACATTGATACGGAAGTATCGTGGCGCCATTGAGATCGTTAATGCAAAGGAGGAGTCTATCTTGGTCGAATCGACGAACCAGATACAGTTCGGGATTCTCCAGAGTGTACTCAGTCCATTGCTTCATGTGGATATTGCCAAATTGGAGAAGTGCAGGAGAGTCACCCCCATCAATCCCGTGTAGATTTGTCAGGTGAAGCTCGCAGGTGCTGTTGAGTCGAGGAATGATACGATTGTCAAACACGTAGCATTGGGTGTCCAATTTCCAAAGGTTCTCCAGCGCAACGTCCTCGAGGTTGGGCATTGGTCGACCGCCTCTGCCAATCTCACATACCAATATGAGTGTGCGAAGATTGGGCAAGGGGAAGTTGAGTCGCGGATGTTCCTCGTTCAGTCGCAGTGTCAGCTTGGTGATGCTTGGCGGGAGGTGTTCAATCGGAATCTCACGATCCAAGGTGATATCCAATGTTGTGATGGTGCCATCAAGCGAGTGCATGTTGTGGAGCTGTCCATACGGGAGCAATTCTCTGAATGAATCGAACCTGGCTGGCCACAGGTGGGAGGGCACCGCCAACGACTCGATATGTGATTCTTTCCATTGTCTCGACCCATTGTTGATCTCCAAGAATGTGATTGATTGGGGCAACGCGGCAAGCTCAAACGAAACGTCCCAGGAACATATCTCAAGATGCTTCAATGTTGGAGGAAGATGGCCAATCACTGCTTCGTCGTCAATATCGGCATTGATGTATGTGACAGAGTCTGGTACTTGCGCAAAGTCAAGCCGATCCGATTGGATCGTGAGGTGTTGTAAATGTGCTGAGAAGATTGGTGTTCCCACCATCATTGCCGATAGGATTCCTTGCAGATAGAGCTTGGTAACTGACGACGGAATGCTTCCTGCATACACATGAATTGAACCACGAAGGCTGAGAGTGTGGACAGACGGTGGAATCATTCCAGGCACCAGCTCCATGGGAGAGACATTCGTGTGATCAATGGTCAGATGTTGGATATTGTTGTTGTTGTTGTTGAACATATCTATGCTTGTAGGCTGATCATAATGCTGATAGTATAGTGTCTGGACACTTGGAGGAATGAGTCCTGTGATGTCCGAGGAGAATTTTTTAATCAGCAGTACTTTTGTTGTTGGAGTGATTTTGTATCCACTGACACTGGTCGTATCTTTGTGTATCACTGTGTCGTCAACGAGAGGAGAGTGAGTGGTTCAGTTGGTGTCAACGATTAAAAGATGACAACGACGATCGATAGATGTACATACGTATTTGTTGATCATCAAATAGTTCATCTTTGATGTCGAATGACAACAACATTGGATATTGACTCCACGCTGGAGGGCGACGCGAAGAAGGATCATTGATTAAGTTATGCACATCACTACATATGCCGGGGTAATCTGACTGTAGGTGGTACCTCAGAATCAAGTAGTGTTGTCTGTTCTTGTAGAGATGTGAGCAAGTCAAAGCAAAGAAGACTGCATCAATGAAATGCAAAGAGTTGGTGATCTGACCAAGTATAGTCCATGGTAAACTATGTAATAATATATGTTGTTGTTGTTGTTGTTGTTGTTGCTTATTATTGTTATTGTTGTTGTTGTCCATGATGCGCAAGAATAGAATGAATGAGACACACACAAGTTCAATGCTCCCAAGGCAGCTCCAGAGATTGATGGTAAGCAAATCAAACTTGGTCCTCAGCATGTTATTGAGAAACAGTTCAAAGATTTGGAACACACTGTCATACTACATCTATCAGACCAGCAACAGCAGGAACAACAAGATCCCAGTGAATCCATCACCAACTCACTCAAGCAGGTGTCAGAGCTATATAGTTCACTCAAACAACATCAACAACTAGCTACCTAGCGAATCCTACAAATCGTCAAAAGGGGTACCATTCAAGTCTGGGTTCATCAACAATGCCACCGTTCGTTGTAACGTGATCAAGACAGCGCAAAGGAGAAAGTTCACTATCAGATCAACAACAAGACCCAAGGCGTTCAGGTCCAAGCCATATAACCCCACTGACGTCCATGCCATTGACACAATGGCAAAGGACCATCACTTGGTCAGTGATCTTCCACATGGACCCAACATCTGTGGCCAGTGTGGGAGTGTCTATTCATTATCCTGGTCCAATTGTCGGGGAATTCATTCAATTCAAAATAAATATCTTGAGTCGTTCGGCTTCTTTTCGCAAGATCTTCAGTTTAAGAAGTCTGCAGATGACTTGCCATTTCATTGTCATTCAAAGTCAAACATATAATAATAATCATTGTATTCAATCAATCAATCAATCTAACGTTCAATAACACACTCTTAACGATCAATCAAATCAACTCCATCCATCAATCAATTAATCAATCAATCAAACAATCAATCAGTTATCGAATCACTTGATTGAACAAATACCATATGATAACAAATCGTCATAATACTAATATATTAATTAAGAGAAGAAGCAATGTATCAGCATCAGAGTATCAACAACGAAGAAGACGACGACCAGGAGAAATTAGTTGGTGGCGCAATATTTGAGGATCATATCATCAATGACAATGGTTCACCAGAACCAGCCACATCAAGACCAAACAAAGATCACATCCAAGAACATGAATATGATCAAGTCGACTTGGACTTAAACCCAGACAATAATGATGATGATGGGTGTGATGACTACCAACTTCCCAACAACCCTCTGCTTCGAACATTCTGTCGCATTCGTAATAGCAAGGTTGCGGTACTAGTGTCAATCTCTGTCGCGTTGTTCTGTGACATGGTATGCTATGGTATCGTCCTTCCCATCTTGCCCGGTGTCATGGAGAAGAAGTACCATCAGACCGAGACCGTGACCGGTGTGTTGTTTGCCATGTTCTCTGCCGGCTCAATCCTCTCCACTCCCATCTTTGGCGCCCTCTCTGATAAAATTGGCCGAAAGACACCATTCCTCATTGGTCTGATGTCACTGATCGCATCAACTTTGATGTTTGCCTTTGCAGAGTCATTGTGGATACTGTTCGTCGCGAGGTTTGCCCAAGGTGTCAGCTCGGCTGTATCCTGGGTCGTAGGCCTGGCATTGATCGCAGACATCTACCCGCCTGAGAGATTGGGCACAATCATTGGCTCTGTCGTTGGAGGCAATGCCGTGGGTGCCCTTGTAGGCCCACCCATTGGAGGCATACTCTACGAACACTTTGGCTATCGCATCCCATTCCTGGTTGCCGCTGGTCTCACCGCATTCGACCTATTCATCCGACTGGTGTTTGTGTCGGACGAAGCCATCAAGCGCCACAAGCTCAACAAGGAGCGACTGGTGGCCAAGAATCTGAAGGAGAATGACAAGGACGGCTCAAAGGCCGCGGAAAAGGAGGCTGGTCGAGGCCAATCTTTCTTCAAGATGGCTTTCAACTTCAAAGTTGCTATCCTCTGTGTTACTGTCACTCTGGCCTGCTCGGGATACTCGGCACTCGAGCCAACTATCCCGCTCTACCTTGAGCGTCGCTTCGACTCGTCGTCCACTGTGATCAGTCTAATGTTTGCCACCCTCACACTTCCAGCGATGATCATGGCGCCACTCTCTGGCAAGCTGGCCGACAAGTACATTGGTCACTACCGCACGATACTCATTGGAATGATCATTGTCGTCTTCACATACCCATTCGTCGACTATGTCTCCCACCTGTGGCAGACATTCATCATTGTGGCCGTCATATCTGTTGGTCTGATCACAATGAACACGCCACTGATGGCGGTGCTCACAATGACCATCGATCCAAATCAGTACAACGAGCACAATGGCAAGATCACATCATTGTTCAACATTGCCTTTTGTTTGGGATACTTTGTTGGACCGATCTTGGGCACTGCCATCATGGACCATGCCTCATTCCGTTGGTCCAACATCATCTTTGCACTCTTGGTAGCAATATTCACCGTGGTCTTCTTTGTGACATTCATCAAGAAGATCTTTGCCAGGCAACAGCCAGAGCAGCAGCAACAGCCACAACATGGAGAAGAGGCAACCGACCAAGAGGTACTGTTGGAGAGCGTTGTTGTTAGTGATTAACTTCATTGGTTCAATCAATAAATGGAGAAGGCAACATGGTTGGAAATGGACAGGTGTGCAGATTACATTAATTAATTTGAGTATTGAATGGTGAATGATGATGTGAGTGGAAGTGCCAGGGATTCAATGGTCAGCGTCTGGAGCGTTGAGGAGTATGTGAGCGTGGTATAGGGTGTTCCATTGACATTGACGGTTGTAACAATGATTGGCACACCATAGACTACCACCTTGTCCACGATGAGTGATGACATGTCAAAGCCAGTGTTGACGACAGTCAACTGGATGGTCACGGTTGATGACCCATCAGTACCGGCATTGAACTGTAATAGTGAGTACTTCTTGTTCTCGTACGTCTCGAGGGTGATGCCGTCGTCCAGGTAGAGCTCGCCACTCGCACTGCCGTTGGCATTCAGCGCCACGATCAGTGTGAATGGCAGTGTGCGAGAGATGTTTGTTGTGATAGGAATGCCTCCGTCTGGCACTTGATAGTCGGCTGTGGGCTGGGTTGGGAGGATGGCACCACCGCGCAGATGCACATTGATGACGTCCAATGGTGCGGCGAGGGTGAGGGAGTTGCCTTGTGACAGGTCCACGCGTGAACCGTTAAAGTAGTCGTACCAGATGTCTTGGGGGAAGTAGACGTCGACCGATGTGGCATTCTCGGTCAGCACGGGCGACACCATCAGTGATGGTCCCACCAAGAACTGCGAGTCCAAGGCAAATGTGTTGGGGTCGGCTGGATACTCAAAGAACAAAGGGCGGACGATAGTGTCGCCCTGAGCATGTGCCAAGTAGAACAGTGTGTAGTAGTATGGCAGCAGTGTGTACTTGTTGTTGATGGAGTTGATGGTAATGTTGATCACCTCTGGTCCAAATACATAGGGCTCCTGGGGGATGGTGTCGTTGTTGTTGTGACTACGCGAGAATGGATAGAAGTTACCGAGCTGGATCCAGCGTGCGCACAGCTGTGCGGTCGTATCACCCTGCAGACCGCAAATGTCCGCGCCGACCAAGCCGATGCCAAACATGTTCATATTGAGAATGCCTGGGATTGAGAGTGCCATCGATGCGTACGTGCTTTGATTGTCGCCTAGCCAGTGAGCATGATGCTTTCCAGTGCCTGGGAACGTTGATCGCGAGATGACTGTGGGGCGCTGATTCAGCAGGCTAATCACCGAGTTGGCCGTGACCACGCCCTCAGTGTAACCATAGAGATTGTGAGAGTTATAATATGATACGTTGCCAAACTGAATGGACGACATGTCCAGCGTCTTGGTGTCGAGGGGCAAGCCGCCAGGCAGGTATGGTGGGTTGTTTGGGTATGATCCGACTTGGTCGCCGCTCTGTGACACGGGAGCGCAGTTGCCCGAGCAGAAGTTGGACACCTCGTTCATGTCGATCCACACGCCATCAAAGGGCACGGTCTGGTGGAACTTCTCAAGCTGCACGTACCAGAAGTCCTGTATGTTTGGGTTGAAGAAGTCGGGGAAGATGGTCGAGCCGGGCCACACCACGCCATTGGCCGCCACTCCATTGGGCTGCTGTATGAAGGCGCCATTCTCGAGAAGCTGGCCATAGGCCTCGTACGAGTCGTTCATGTGGATGCCGGGGTCGATGATCATGATGTAGTGCTGGTTGCGAGTGTGAAGCCAACCGACATAGCTGGTCATGTCCTCGGGGGCAAAGTTGACTGGGTCCAAGGTAAAGTCCTGGTAGACGTCCATGTAGTCAATGTCATTCCACATGGTCTCGAGGGGTATGCCGTACTTGGCGTAGTTCTCGGCCACGGTCTTAGACTCGTTGACCGACTTGTAGCCCCATCGACACTGGTGCCAGCCTAGCGACCAGTATGACGGCATATAAGGCGTGCCAATAACCTGTGTGTATTGTTGAATAACCGATGCTGGCGATGGTCCCATGAAGAAGTAAAAGTCAAACACGCCTCCAACGACCTTGTAGGTGAGCGAGTTGGGCTGCATCACAATGTCCATGGCATTGGAGTTGAGCAAGAATACACCATGGGCATCGCCATTTGGGTTTAGATTGAGGTAGAATGGATGTGAGCCATAGACATTGAGATTGAGTGGTGTTGCCTGGTCCCTGTTCCAAATGGTATAGGTGAAGTTGTTCTGCAAGCGCAATGGTGCAGCACGCTCGCCAAGTCCATATATATTCGGGTTTGATTGAGGGAACTGATTGGTTATCTCTAAATAATACTCTGAGAACTGTGATCACATGTGATTGATTGAGTGAGTGGTGGGGCAGTGGGGTGATTGATTGAGGAGTGGGGCGAGGCTGGAATAATTCCAGCCGCATCCACACTCGCCCTCACTCACTAAGACAACAACAAACTTACAATGAGACCATTGGTGGAGCAGTTGGATGGAGGGGAAGTGTTGAAGATGACCTCGCCAGTTGATACACGTGTGATTGAGAATCCAAATTGGGTTTGAGCAAAGCGGATGGTGTAGTCAATGAGGTTGGGCTTGGAGGTGGGCAGTGCACCCATCTGGTTGACAAAAGGTACTTGCCAGCGCTCGTTAGCCGCATCCACAATCTTGACTTGTATGATCTGTTGTGTGTGGAACACCACGTACAACGTCAATGCCTTTACACTATTACCATAAGGTCCTGCTGTAATCATTGCCAAATCAGCAGTATATCCATATGATGTTGTTTGTAAGTTTGACACCTGGTAGCCTGGACATGCAACAGGTTGTTGAGCCAGTGTACCAGTCACAAAGCATGTTAACAATGTGAAAGATACAACAAGTAATACTACAATATTAATATTAAGATTCATCTTATCTTATATCTTAACAATGTATATATATATATATTTGTTATATGTTTAAATTAAACTGTTAAATGTTTTGATTGATCACATGCATCCATCATCCATCACAATGCACAAACAAGTTTGTTAAGATATTTACTGATTGGTTTCGAAACGAGTCCTGGTCATGTGTGTGTTTTTGCACAACACTGTATGCGACTTTGATCAAAAGATGACCCATCTTGTTGGTGAAGGAATGTAGACCACCATCGATGATGCTCATTAATGTACTTGTGCCACAATCAATCACAAAGACAATGTGTCAAGGTAGAGAGGCATGCCTCCACCACCAATCCACTCATCATCAAGATCATAATGATCAGTAGAGAGAACTCTGTTGTTTGTGTTTGTAGTAGTCGTAAATAGATCTATCTATCTATGTATATCATTAATGCTTGTTTATTCGTTGTCACTGTCCTCTGGATCACTCTCGTCTTCGTCATCAGATGCTAATGATTGGTTTGGAAAATGAGTGGTGAGTATGATTGATTGAATGATTGAATGATTTGAATGAACATACTGTAGACAGCCTTTGGCACAAGGAGCTTACGAGCCTCCTCAGACTTGGCGAGGTTGAGTGGAGTCTGACCATTCTTGTTCTGGAGAGTGAGATCAATCTTGCCAGTGTCGACCAGAGCCTTTATGCATGGTACGTTGTCCTTGTAGGCAGCCTTGTGCGCGGCAGTCTCGCCCAATGGATCCTGGACATTGAGTCCAGCACGATACTTGATCAGAATTCTGATGATGTCGTCGTAGCCATTCTTTGCAGCCCACATCAAAGCGGTCTGTCCAATAGCATCCTTGGCATTAATATTAACCTTGTTCTCTGGATCAAGAATGAATGCTTCCAAACTCTCCTCCTCGCCACGCTTTGCAGCATCTATCAATCTTGAGTTAATAATGAATTGTTCATCCATTCCTTCTTATTCCTTTATATTATTATTACTGTTACAAGGGTATATATATATTAAATATAATTACAAGTTTGTTTGTTTGTTTAAATATATTACAAATGATTGAATGAATGAATGAATAAAGTGAATGAATGAAGTGAAGTGAAGTGTATCGATCGTGGGAGAGGGTGTTGATGGGCAAAGAATGCCAACAAAGTTCCAAATTTATAAAATGGGTCGCCAAAGGTTATGTGAAATTAGTTCTGGCGTCTTCTTTTCCAGTCTGTCCAGTGATGATCATATGAATGAATAGTTAATACTTGTTAGTCAATTTCAATTATTAACTGTATAGACAGATATCAAGGCATTTGAAGATGCCCAGTGATCACTTTCCACATCATGACATACCCTCACAGACATACCCTCACACAAGTGTTAGAGTCAACAAGCTCGCTTGGACCCAACCCTCGAATGAACTGAGGGAGTGAGTTGAATAGCACAAAAATTAAATTAAATTCATATTGGAAGTGGGGATGTGGTAACGTTTCTGGATGAGAAACGAAGGGGGAGGCGAGAGTGATGATCATCACTGAGGGGGAAGAGATACAAGGGTTAGGGTGTATCCGATATCATATAAGTAGTCAATCTTGATAATCCAATAATATAATAGTATAGATATGTCAGATATTGAACAGGAACAACAGGTGCAGCAACCACAGGCTCAGCAAGGCGAGGAGGAGAACTCGATGCTCAACGTCGACCTGAACACATTGAGCACGCCAGCCAAGCTCGAGTACATCACACAGTTGATTGGCGATGCGTACAACATCAACATTGCTCAGAAGCTCGAGCAGTTCCTCGACATTCAGATCGCCGAGAACATCTATCTGTTCCAGGCCAACTCCACATTGCTCAAGCTCTATCAGTTCAACCCAACTGCTCTCAACAAGGACAACATCGCCAAGATGCTCGCAAAGGCCTTGATGAACCTGCCTTCAAACGATTTCCTATTCCTTTCATATATGATCCCTTTCTCAATGGTATGAATGATTGATTGATTGATTGATTGAATCATTTGAATGAATGATCGTTGGAGGTGACACACTGGAGATGGAGAGCGATCACTCTGCGAGCGAGTGTGTCAGTCACGACACAACATCATCATCAACATCATCTTCATCACTAACACGACACGTACCAATCAATCAATCAATCAATATATAGCAAAAAGAGGAGCCACTGCTGAAGCTCTTCACACTGAACAACTTGTTGGAGACATGCAAGTTCAAGGAGGCTTGGGAGCATATCCAAGCTAATCAATCATTCTTTTCAAATATACCAAGCTTCTCAGAGAGCGTCAGGAACTGTAGGTGTCGTTAATCAGCATCATCTTCATCAGCAACAGCGCAGCAACAATGTCAACATCCAGCGACAGTGACAGCGACACAAACAAACACCTTATGATCGACATGACATTACAGGACATGATCTAACATCACTCATTCATTAATATAGTCATCGCTAGCGTTTTGTCGATCACATACCAGACGATTACAGTTCCAATGCTTTCAGAGATGCTCAATGTTCAACAGTCTTCACTCGAGGAATTCATCGTGTCAGCCAAACCATTGTGGAAGTACAACGGTACCACTGTATCACTCCAGAGCGATAACATCAAGCAGAAGAAATCCGATACCTTTACTTTTGACCGTATGTCATTCATCACAATCAACTCAATCCAATCATACTAACTAACAAACTTGACTCAATCAATCAATCATTCAACAAACAGAGCTATCAAGAGTATTGCCAACTATGATGAAATAAACTACGATGCATCACAGCAACAGCCAGTTACAGTCAAAAACTGATCACTGTAACTGTATTATGTATGTCAAACTATCATGATGATGGTCTCTTTCTCCATCAACTAATCAATCAACAGAGTGATATCGCGATCAATCAGTGTGGTGGTAGTTGAACATCAAACATTGATTTGATTTAGCAATTCTGATTGGGGCTCTCTCGGAGACTCGGGATGGGGAGGCACCAGGGGTACTTTGAATTCCAAGATCCTGGTCAGCCAACATCAGAATGAATCTTTGCCAAAGTACCCAGTCAAATTTCCCTCATCAATCATTCCATCAAACAACCTTTCACTCGTCACTTATATCACTCACATCAATCACTAACCTAACATTGTACTCAATCAATCAAAGTAATAATAATGAAGAGTGTAATATTTGTTGTAATAGTATTAGTTCTTGGTGTGATCAATGTTGGTGGACAACAGATCATAACTACAACTACACTTTATGTAGATCCAACTTCGAGTAATAGATCGAAAATATGTGGATTGGAATCATCAACCAACATGTCATGTTCAAACATCAATGCAGCAATCAATTGTTATACATCATTACTACCAAATCCTATCAACTCTGTACTTAGCATCATATTGGCGCCGGGTACCTACCCTCCTATTGATGGAAACTCATACATAAATACAGCATGTCTAAATGTAACGATTGGACCATCATCAGACAGAGGCAACCAAGAAGTGATAATCGACTATGGAGGAAGGATATTTGATTCATTAGTTACTATCTATCCTCCATTATTCACTTATCCACAGTGTATGACAAATCTTACACTCTACAATATGAAGCAACTGCATGCATATTCTCATCAATATTGGGTCAGGTTACCATCGTTCTCAATGATGTGGACATTGTCTATAAAGGAATACCCCCTAATATCTCTGGAGTCACACCTATCTTGTTGGGGCATAACACTTTGAATGGAGAAACAGGAGCATACCCATCATCAATCACATTCAACCGTGGGTCAATAACCCAAGGATCATACTTGGGCACAATAATTGATTGCCTCTACTTTGATCTCAACATCTACAACACAATAATCTCAAACAACTCTGCTTATCAAATCATATCAGTTGACAATGGCAATGTTGTAATGGATGGTGTATCATTTCATGGCAACTCATTCAAGGATGGTGTTATCAATGTGGGTGGCGAGTTGACATCACAAGTGATATCCAACTGCACATTCACTTTGAACAACTTAAACAAAGAATCAAATATGATCAATTTAGATTTTTATAGCTACATGGATATAACAAACTCAACATTCGACAGTAACTTTAACATGTTGAGTTTGATAAATTCAAATGGAAACATGACTATACAGGGCTCGACCATCACAAACAATACTATCAATGGTAAAAATGGAGTGATGATTGGATCATATGATTATAGTGATCAATATCAATCCTTCCAAATGGATAATTGTACATTATCAAATAATTATTATGATATTTATACATCTGATATATTTGTATTCACTGGTACAAACAATATATTACTCAATAATATATTATTGGACAATTCATTATTCATCAATAGTTCAGTACATCCAAATAATATTATACAATGTACTCAAGGTGATATTACATTGAATAATATTGTAGTTGTGGATGGTAATGATAATGGAGACATGAACATGATTGATTGTTCACCTAATGATCGATGCTCCATTCATGGAAATCATCATCATCTATGTCCAGTCAAACTTAGCACTGGTCACATTGCAGGAATTGTACTTGGTAGTATAGTTGGAGCAATCATCATTATTGTCATTATCATAGTAGTTGTCAAAAGGATAAAGGCAAGAAATCAATACAAGTCCATTCAATAAATAATTATTCGTCTTCATTAAAAATTATATCAATTGATTGAAAATTCCACCCATGATTTCAAAAGGCTGATACTTATGGTTCTCGAATGAACATTGAACCATCCCTGATAGTCAAGTGATGTTGATCGAATTGATTTGTCCACCCACAATTATTTGTAAGTTAAGATTAAGTTTAAAATCTTAAATATCTTTGATTTGATCGAGCGAACGTCTCTTGGGACCAAGAAACAAGAATTAAAATAAAATTCACCCCATCACTTGCTAATTCCAGAAACTGAGCTTCTTTGACCGCAACTAATAAATACATCAACTAGAATCCTATTTGTTCATTGTTGTTTATATTATAGTTTGATTGAAAGAATGAATAAAGATACTCTAATTATAATAACAATTACATTGTTGTTAGGACTTGCCAACAGCCAACAACAAACAATTACAACAATATATGTTGATCCACAATCTACAAATACTGGATCAGCTCAATGTGGAACAACTTCATCACTCAATCAAGCATGTCCAAACATATCATCTGCATTCACTGTATATAAAACATTAGTACCCAATCCCATTGACTCGATGCTGAACATTGTGTTGGCATCAGGTGTCTACCTGTCTCAAAATGGCAATGCTCAACTAAATCCAATATCACTCAATGTTACAATGGGCCGATTGCCAACCACCCCAGGCGATGTGATCATTGATCTCACTCTGGTCACCAACGTATTCATCAACATGACCCAAGCCGATACGACAGTCCTGCTCCCGCCCACCAGTCTGACACTCAATAACATGACTTTGATCAATGGATCAATCACCTCTTACGTCAACCTGGCCAACATTGTGTTGAACAATGTCACCATCTCAAACTTCAACTCTGTATTCTACGGAGCGATATCATTGTCCAATCAATACAATGGCACCCCAGCACCAAAGTCATCACTCACTTTGAACTTGTGCAGCATCAAGAACAGTGTGACCGGACCCACCATCGGCCTCTTTGAGGTGTTCCAGTATGACTTGGTATTCTCTAAATCATTCTTCACCAACAACACTGGCGACACCCTGGTCTATGGCATCAACTCGAACGTCATGTTCAACTACTCCTACATACACTTCAACAGAGTGTTCTACAACCTCTTCCAACTGGACTCGACCACAACAACAATCCAAAACTGTTTGATCATCAACAATCGAATGATTGGTATCAAGTTCATGTCGTTGATCCTTCAGACTGCCGGATCAATCAACATGACCAACGACATCATCGACACCAACGCCAACTTGTACAGCGTGCTCACCATTCAGCGCACCAATGCAACCATCCAGGGCTCAGTGTTCACCAGTAACAATATCAATGGATACCTTGTACATGGTATTCTTTCAAACATGACAATGTCAAACAGCACCATCCAAGACAACACGTATAATCAAACAACGACATTCTACTTTGACTCTTCCGATGTGATCATTGGTCAAGTGACATTTGGCTCAGCATCATCATTGTATGACAACAGTAATATTCAATGTTCAAAGGGCAACATCACTTTGAACAACATCGAGAACACCAGTGGATCAAAGTTGATTGATTGTGATGCTGACAATCAATGTGATATATATGGTGGTGATGCAGATGAGGCTTGTGACATGCCATCACCACACCACAAACCACATGACAAAGGACTTAGCACCGGTGCCATCGTAGGCATTGTAGCAGCGACACTTGTTGGAGTGGCCGGCATCATTGGTCTCTCGATCATCATCATCAGGAACAAACAAAAAGAGAACTATATTCCAATTTAAGTCTTGTGATCACCCTGCTGGAATTATTCCAAATACTCAATCACACAAATGATCAAACCAAATAATCTGGAGTTATTCCAAATATTATTAAATAAATAAATATATCGACATTTAATTAATTATAAATATATTATTATCCACGAGTGATCATTGCTGTGCCCTGGGCATTGATGGATATTGTTTGTGTGATTGGCTTGATCTTGAGTTGGTATTGCTTGCAGGTAAGTGCGATGCCAAACTTGCCCTCTTCATCCAGTGACACGCCGTCGATGGTCTCAAAGTTGAATCGGAGTATGAGGTTGGAGATACAAAGATAAATCTCATCCTTGGCCAGGTTTGATCCAACACACGATCTCGGTCCAACACCAAATGGAATGAACTTGTACTCCACATCATTGTTGTTGTTGTTATTGTCCATCCAACGATATGGATTGAACTCCTCCGGTTGTGACCATAGCTCAGGACTCATTGCCAGACCATATACATTGGTGATCACTTGTGTGGCGGCCGGGATGGTGTATGGTCCAATCTTGACATCGGATGTTGTCCGACGTGGCAGGGATAGTGCACCAACTGGGCGGATTCGGAGTGCTTCCTTGATGCACGCGTTGAGGAATGGTGTTTGTGATCGTCGTGACAGGTCCATCGATTGTTCGCCAGCCGGGGCATGGGTCATCGCATCATTGATCTCACATCTGACCTTTTCCATGTAGTTTGGATTGTTGACCAGGAATAGCAGCAGCCACTCGAGTGTGGACGACGATGTCTCTGTGCCAGAGATGAGCAGATCGGAGCATACGCGCACAAGACCCTCATCGTCAAAGAATGATGGGTTGTCACTCTTATGGATAGCGTGGATCATTAGGTCCATCATGTCGGACACGCGATGTGGGTCTGATTGCAGGTCGCGGCGATGCTCATCCAGTGACAGTTTGCTGTAGTGCCACACGCGTTCCAGTGCTGATTGGAGATTGCTACGACTTTCACGATAGAAATATGAGAGGAATGGCAACAAATCTGGAATATTACCAACAGCCAGTTCCTTCTCCACCAGATCAACTGCCTTGATCACATCATGGTACTTCTCAAAATAGTCTGAACGTTGTCCAAACAACATTCCCAGTATCACATTGCTTGTATATTGTTTGAATAAGAATCGTGGAGATACCTATTTTTGATTGATTGATTGATTGGTCCTGGTTAGTATGACTCAAGGACGAGAGATTGATTGATTGATGGACACTCACATTCTCACCACTCTCGGCGTGGACTTGGAATGCGTCCATCAGCTTGGTAGTCTCTTCTTGGATCTTGTCCATGATGGTGAGATGGGACTTCATGCGAGTGAAACATGAGGCCAGGATGAACCTATACTTCTTCCAGTAGGCACCATTGGAGAACAAGATGTCTTTGTCATCTTGATATGATGAACATGTTAGCATTATGTTTGATTGATTGATTGAATGATGGGGAAGAACAGTACATACTTCCAATGATGCGTGCTGTCTCGGAGACGAAGCGATCGGTTGTGTTGTCGGATTGTTGGATGATCACCTCTTTGATGTAGTCGGGATCGGTGATGATCACAGTTGGGATGTTGCCCATGTACAATGTCATTGCTCCGCCATAGATCTGGGACAACTTTTGCAAGGCCAAATGTGGCGCCGTACTAAGTTGATGTAAATTACCAATAATAGGAAGGGGCATTGGTCCTGGAGGCATATCAGCTCTCCTCTTATACTATCATTGGTTGAATGGTTAGTGGAATGATTCCTGATTGTGACTTGAGGGATGGGGGGTCATGTGTTCATGAATGAACATACCTTGATGATCAACAGGATGCTGAAGATAAGAACTAGGGTTAGGAGAATCATGGATGGATGGATGTTGTTGTTGGACGGTTATTGGGATGGGATGATTGGCTGATTGAGGGCTGGAAATAATTGATGGACTCTGGTACTGGAATGGAGGTTGGATATTTAAACAGCCGGGGAAATGAGAATGAATGATGGGACGGAGGAGACAGACCGGTAGAAGGTGAGCGGGAGGGGTGTGGATGAAGGAGGTGTAGTCGGAGTAGTAGTTGATACGCTTCTTTTGCAATCCATGTGGATTATACAGCCTACACGTCAAGGGTATTATTATAACAAGGGTAGAGTGGTGGAGGCTGGAGAAGGAGAAAGAGTGTGTGGCGTTGGCGCAGCGTTCTTTAAAGAGCAACAGCAACAGCAACAGCAGAAGCAGCAGTGTTGGTGTAAGTGTAAGTGTAAGACTGGGGGAGGAGGGGTAGGCGAGTGACAGGAAGAGTGCTGAGTGTGAATGAGAGCCTACATTCAGGGAGAGACGACATTGTCCAAGTAGTCTCCGCCAGTGAGATTGGTAGGATCCACTTCATGGTGTGGTCGATGTGTGTTGTATGTATATGTTCATTCATTCATTCATTCATTCAAGCATTCAGACAATTGCCAATCAAAGCGCCAACAAGCATACTGTGTCTGAAAATGATGTTGATTGAATGATTGATTGAGTAATGAGAGTATTTAGTATTGGCACCAGCAATGTTGATTGAGTGATTGACTGAATATTGTCTCTAGGACGACGCTCGGGTCTATAAATGGCAAGAATGTCTAACTTGACTGTTCCATCAATACCCAACAATGGTTGATTGAATGATTCCTTTCTAAGCTGTGCTGTGAACTTGACAACAGTCGCGACTGATCAGTGTGTGGTGTCGTGTTGGGGGTGGTAGTGGTAGTGGTCATCGATGTTGTGTGTGTTGGGTAATGGCTGGTCAACCCTTGGCGGGCGGGGTTGGGGGTTGGAAGCGAGCAATCAATCACATGACATGACATTATAGGATACACTTTGACAAGTTAAGAGAGAGTGTTTCGAATGACGAACTATAATGATTGATTGATTGATTGATTGATTGACTGATGTGGAGGAGTGATGGATGTAGGTGGTCATCAATGTGCGCCACTCTACCTTGATTGAGAGAGTGGGTGATTGCAGAGAGAATCGGTGGACAATGATTGATGATGGGGATACTGATGTCGATTATGGGCTGTCCTACCCCCATACTACGCGTTCCCCACATTCCTTCTCTTTCTCTGTACTTAGAGCATGTTGCAATGAACATTTGGGTGCTGGAAGTTCGATCACACATGTTGGCGCTACACAGTCAACCAAGTGAGTGAGTGAGTGAGTTGATTGATTGATTGATTGATCAATCTCTGAAGAACTTGATTATGTATAATCTCTCATTGTAGGCAAGACGCTGACCAACAACTCCATGTTTGAATCCATCCTTCTTCAATATTGTTGCCACCTCTTGTGGTTTGTTCTCCTCGACCAACACCATGTATAAGCAACCTTTTGGTGAGAGTATGTCCTAATGTGATGCGGGTCGAGTTAGATGGCCACACGATCATGGTCAAAGTGGAGTGTACATACTTTAATCTGAGGCAACAATTGGTCTATGACCTCTCGTCCATCTATGCCGCCTGCCCAGGAGGCTACGATGCCACCCTCGGCAATCTCTTCAGAGGGCGTGGGCACGTAGGGTGGATTGAAGAGGAGTACGTCGACCTTGCCTCGAAGGCGATCAATACCACTCAGGAATGAAGTATTGACAACATCCAACATTATATTATTGTGTTGAGCAGTTCTTGTTGTGACGAGTGTCGCAGCAGGATTGATATCTGTGGCCATGCAATGCACATGAGTGTTCAATTCACGTTGTATTAGCATTGATAGATATGTAATGACGAATCCACTGCCTGAACCAATCTCCACTGCAACAGTCGGTTTCAAACGTCTTATAAACTCTACATCCTTCTTCAAAGAGTCAATGAACAAGTAAGAGTCCTGTGCTGGTTCATAAACATCCTTAAAGTCCTTTGACCCCAGATGGTCCATTAAAGGTTCATCAGCATGTTGTAGTAGTTGACTTGTCATTGTTTGTCCTCTTTATATATATATATGTGGATCTATTATCTGTATTTGAATTAGCGAGCGAGTTAATGAATGAATTATCGAAAGAGTGAACTTGTCTAAGGGGGGAGTCTTCAAAAAGTCAGGCAAATTTGCAACCTTTTCATGAAGATGACAACAAATACACATAAGATACCAGGAACAAAGTTTACACTGGAGGTCCGATATGAAAAGGAGTATGCGTACATACATAGGAAGCATGAAATTGTTCATGCATTGTGCGACAGCTATACCCAGCCGCTGGACATAACCTTGGCTGGGTTGGAGTCAATAGCCATGTTGCAGAGAGATTTTGTTTCACGAGTGCTCAACAATTCAATACAACGAATGACGACCCAAGAACACACCACTGTTCGATGTAGACATCTGGCCGAAAGCCTGATCGACCTCTTGCAGGTTGACATGGAAACTGCCTTCTTTTGCTTGGAATCTTCATGCAAAGCTTTGGAGAGATACCATACTGGAGAGCAGGAGGAATACCCTCTAGTTGTGTTTCCCACAGCTTTTGTTGGTAACATGTTGAAATCTGTCGGCGTTCCAACTGTCTACATGACCACAGTTGTCTTTCTCCATCGTATCGTTGAGAATGCTCTCTACCAGATTTTCAGATCGATCGTCCAACACAAGCAATATCTGGTAAGTTCGCAAGAACAATGCCGGGTGCTCGAGACCTACAACTTGCTGACAATGACACACACCCACACATACGCACAGAGAGAAAGCCACACTGGATACCTGCCACTTCGCCAGAGAATCGATGCCAATGACGTGAGAGACATTGAAAGAGCGGATCCAGTTGCCTCTCTGTACTTTCCAGAGATATTGCAAATGCCAGATCGTGCGTCACTGGAGCATCCGACTGACTATGCTCGGAAAATCAACACATTGCTGCGGCAAATCAAAGAGTCGGATGTGGTGCTCGCATCTGATAACCAGGACGACATATTGACACCTGCTCCCATGGTCCACAAGAACTTCAAGAAGCTGATACAAGTGATTCCAACTGAGCAGCATGTGATCATCGCCAACATGATTGGTATCGACATCTCCAATTGTTTGGAGAAGACCTCGGTAGTTGCCAACAGTATGTTCTACCACCTGTCCGTTAATGTGTATTCATAACAACAAACTGACACGTCGCCGCAACAGAGTTTATCACTCGCATCAAACAGATCACTCAAGAACAAATGGCTGTGTTCCTATATGAAGACAATGGAGATGATGCCGGAGAGGAGTACAGCAAGAGCCAACGCCAGAAAATAGAGAGATGGTATCAGTACATGGCCGAAGAAATTGAGCACGATGGTGATGAAGAGGTTTGGTTCATGACTCCGATACAGGCATTCAAGGTGTTTGGAAATGATGACGATCTCAGACGCATGAAATAATAACACGCCAGATCATGCAGTCTTAGCCGCCACACTCTAGTTATGTGGAGAGAGTGGCACAGACTGAACTGCTTCAGCTGATGTCGCCCCCTTTTCAAAAAGTTGAAGTCGAAGCTCATTCACTCATTCAATTCTCGCAAGACACAACATAGAGATAAAGAATAAGATAGAGATAATAATGAAGCACTGTTTAGTATTTATATTGTTGTTCCTGACATTGACATATGGACAACAAAGACAACAACAACAACAAAGACGTAATGCAGATTATTCAGATGATACAAAGATCACAATGACATTGTTCAAATATATTAGAGAATCATGTTATGATACTGCTCTGGCAAAGCTCAAAGAGCACCAGATGGCTGAATCATTCTGCTCATCATTTGTCCATCACATCATTGGTCATGACACACTTGAGTTGCACCGTTACTACCGTGAGGCGGGCATGTCTCTTCTACCCTTGGTATGTCCGGTAGATTGAGATTGATTGATTGAATGAATGACTGACTGACAACATGATAGGGTAATGCATTGGAGGATTTGATATCATGGAAGCTGAAGGCTAATGAGGAGAGACCACATCAACTCGTTGACTTGTTCTTTGAGTACTTGGACACAAGGACAAAGGAACACAATAGGGCAACTAAACCAAAGGATGAACTATAAGGTATAAAGTATAAAGTAGTATATGTATGTACATGTATATATTTGTTTGTTTGTTTGTTGCTTGTTGCCATGGCAACAACTACAACTGGTTGTGTTGTGGTACATGTCGATGTGTGTGCTCGGTCGCTTCGTTCGTATATATATCGCATGGGCATCGCGTCATAAGGTCGTCGTCGTCGTAGACCATGTGATTTGGTATGCTTGCTTGCTTGTTGGGCTGGCTGGCTGGCTGGCTGGCTGGCTGGGCAGACCTACCACAGTCACAAGGTAGGTTGATCCCTGTGCACCATGGCAGCAGGATTGTTTGGCATGCCCGTGATGGCCGGACTGCAGAGAGCAATGTCGTTGAAGCACTTGCTGAGGTCGGATGACGCGAATAGCTGTGCAGGCTGGTCGAGCGACGATATCAGTGAGTCGGTGGCATCGCCTGACAGCTCTGGCACCTCACCGCCAAGGCTTGATGACGAATGTTGTTTGTTATAATATAATTGTTGTTGATGGTTCTGCTGCGACTGCTGCTGCTGTTGATCGAACGACTGTTGCTGTTGAGGTGGTTGTTGTTGTTGGCCAGGTGTTGTTGGAGTTGGATAATTTACGACCTCGAGCGAGCTTGTGGAGGAGGTGGATGAGGCCGGACTGGGGATAACAGGGGGCGCGGCAATGATTGGTGAGATGTCGGCAGGGGTGAGGCTGATGGGCATGACGGGCACACGCTCAAGATCGAGGTAGGGCAGCTGTTGTTGAATGGCTACAGGCACTGGGGTGGACTGCGAGATGAACATCTGTTGTTTGGGTGAGCTGGATGGGACGACATCGTGCAGGTTGAGGTTGGCTGCGTCGACAAAAATTCTGAACTTGGGGTCGGTTGCCGCCAGAGCGTCCAAAGGATTGGCCAGTGCGTTGCGGACAAAGCACAACGAATGGGTGCGGCCGGTGGTCGCCTCGCCGCCAGTAAAGTCGTTGCAAGCCTTGTATGTCATGGCGGCCTGCGTGTCAAACTTGGCCTCAAAGAAATGTGGGGCCTGGCTGACGGTGAATGTCAACTCGACGCGATCGTCGCTCAGTTGGCGGAGATCCATCGATGATATATCGTCAAAGTAGATTTCCATCTTGGTGAGCGATGCTGCCTGATTGAATATCTCCCACATGAACTTGCGCTCGGTGTAGGAGAAGCGCGCCACCAGGTCGCCGCAGAAGTTGGACTGCTTCTCCCATGCGCCAATGCGCAGGGATATGGCTGGCAAGTCGGAGAACTTGTAGACCTGGGGTGTTGGCTCAGGTTGTTGTTGCTGTTGCTGTACCTGGGGTGAGTCAATGAGACCGCCAGACAGGGACAGAGCGAGGTTGTTGGGGAGGAGGGTGCGTGGAGACTTGGAATAAATAGGTTGGGCGGGTTGGTATTGTTGTTGTTGGGCTGGAATGATTCCAGCTTGGCCATATGCTACAGCCTGTTGCTGTTGTTGTTGATGCTGTATTTGTTGCTGCTGTTGTTGTTGTGCTTGGGTTGCGTTGTATATCAACTCCTTGGGCAGGTCGGCCAAGTTTGAGCCGTACTGGCCCAAGACATAGGGCGAGATACGTGGAGGGTAGAATGGCACGCCGCTGTTGAGCGTGGGCGATGTGTATGAGTTGGGGATCTTGGCGCCTGGATGCTTGAGCTTGATGTGCATCTTGAGTGCACCCTCAGTGCCGTACGACTTGTTGCACGCGGCAACATGACATTTGAATGCGCGCTCAATCTCCGATGCTGTGCGACGGTGTCTCTTCTTGATGCTGGCGTCCGATGTGGACGACTTGCGACGACGACT